TTATTAGAACCAGCTTGTGTTGTTTGGCTTCTTTGCTAATGAGAGAGTCGGGGCTGATTTGATATGGGGACGTGAGAGATCGAGAGATGAGAAAGAGATGAGAGAGCGAGAGAGAGAGTGGGGGGTGGGGGAGCAAGTGAGAGAGGGGAAACAAGAGAGAGAGAGAGGGAAATTAGAGAAATGAGAGAGGGTGAAGGAGGGAGAGAGAGAGAAAGCGCCTCAGATCAATTTAAAAGATTCCTTTGGTGAATGAGGAAACAGAATCATTATTTCTGGCTGTAAATATTTTATCCTGTTGGTGGGGAGGAGGGAATGTGCAGCAGTTGTTGGCTGGGGACAGAGTGCTCTCGGGATGTCGAGATAATAATAATAATCCTTGCATTTGATATAGCGCCTTACCACATTGTCAAGATGTCTCGAAGCTCTTCACGTGATTTACTGTAAAAATGGATGGACTGTGCATTTTGTGGACGAAACTCAGCAATGAGTTTGAGCACAGCAGTGTCCCGCAAACTGCCAGAGTGAGCGACCAATTTGATGTGGGGTTTGTTGGCCAGGACACCAGGAGAGAGAGAGAGAGAGAGAGAATCTCCCTTCTCTTTTCAAAAATAGCGCCGTGGGTCCTCAGTTTAACGTTTCCTCCGAAGGACGGCACCACCGACAATGCAACACTCCCCCAGCACTGCACTGGACGTTGTGATTCCAGATCCTGACGTGGGCCTTGAACCCATGACCCTGGAGGCAAGAGCACTACCACTCAGTGAGGCTGGATGGGGGGAGTGTGGCGGAGGAGGGAGGGATTCAGATTCTTGCCTTTGATACAGCGCCGGTAACATCAAGATGTCCCGAGGCGTTTCAAATGCAATTCCAGTCAAGTGTGGTGACTGTTTATTGCATGCAAACGCGGCAGCCATTTTTATGTAGAGCAATGCCCCGACACAGACACAGACACACAGAGCAATGTCCTTCACACGCAGCTACATATGCACAAAAGCCATACACATACATAGCCCCACACACACACACACCACACACACAAGCAGCCATGAAGTGAATGAGCAATCAATCTGGAGGATTGTTGGCCAGGACACCAAGAGAAACTCCCTTCTTGCAAATAGCACCGCAGGCTCCTTTAACCAGTTGAGGTACAGACATGATCTCGGGTTGACAATAATGATTCAGGCAGAGGACAGCACCTCCGACAAGTCAGTGTTCATCCCCCCCGCAACACCGCAACACCGCAGCGGAGAGTCAGGTGTGTGTGGGTTGAACTGGTCTGTGACTTTCTGAGCTGGAGGCGCCGGGTGGACTGGGATCTGCAAAGCTCTTTGTTACAGAGCATCTGTGTCTGACCACACACACACACACACACATCCATCCATCTCGCTGCCAGTCCAGACCTGTGAGGCTCGGGGAGGGTGTCGCGTCTCGGCTCGTGACGCTCCAGAGAGACATTCTGAAAGGCAGGCTCTTCTGACGAGATGGATCTCTTCACAGAGTGAGCAGTGGATGTGCAGTCTGGGCCCTCTGAGCAATGGTATGTGTGTGTGTGTGTGTGAGACAGAGAGAGACAGGCGGACAGACAGACGCCAGGACTGCTTCTGAGACCCCCCACAGCCCCACTCCCGACCTTTGCTGAGTAACGCTGGATGCGGAGGGAAAGGGCTGCATTTGGTGCCTCAACCCACCCACCTGCGCCCACCACCCCCACACCCTCACCCCCCACACATCACTGCCCCCCACCCTTACAGCCTCACACCAATAACGACAACTTGCATTTATACATGGCGCCCTTCACGCGGGGTAGCGGCCCGGAAACCGGTTCAAACACCCCCACCCAAATCCACGCACCCCCACCCTCATCCTACACCCCCCCCACCCCACCCGACACACACCGTATCCTCTTCCTTACACCGCCCCCCCTCCCCCTCAGCCCCCCCCCTCCCTCCCCCCGCACAGGAGGAAGCCATTTGTCCACTTGAATTCCTTATTTTTCTAAAAATAATTCTTTATTCCATCCTCTCCGGCCCCTTCTCCCCAAACCCTCAACGCTTTGACTGTTTTTCCAGTTTCCCCCTTGACCGGCTCTGGTGCCACACCCTCGGTTAGTGGCTGGTGTTGAATTCCAATCTCCTCCAGCCTCTGGGGGGGGGGGGGGGGGAGGGGAGGGGGTCAGAGAGAGGGAGGGAGGGAGTGGGGAAGGGGCAAATCCCCACCCAGCCTTCTGAGAGCATTGGAGCTATTCTTCACAGGGATTGCACTGTAGTATCCGCTGCGGCCACTGGAGGCATCGACATGTCACGGTACTTGGTCGCCACCTCGTGGCTACAACTGCACACTGCAGCCTCGGCGTTTTCATTCGATGATTCGTTTCACTGGTTCATCCCAGATCCTCAACACCCCCCACCACCCCAAACACCCCACTCCCCCCCTCCCCCCTTCCCCTCCCCTCCTCTCCCTCCCTCCCCCCACCCCAACACCCTACTCGCCAAATCCCACCCCATCCGGACTGAACCAGGAGCACAGATAATTGAGTTATTCTGCAATTGGTCTGTGTAAGGTGTGGGGGTACAGGCTGCGGGGGCGGGGGGGGGGGGGGGGGGGTTGAGGGAGGGGAAAAAGAGAATATTGTGGTGACTGTATAGCTCCTGATGGAAACAGATTTTATTCAGACCTGGAGCAGATTTGCATTTTCCGTACTATTTCCACATTCCCATTCAAAGCCGCTCCCAGTAACTAATAGTGTAACTGTTTCCTGGCTTTTTCGCCAGACAGGTTGGACAGTCTGTGAAGTTTCCTTACTCCGCACGCCTCTGTTTACCCAGCAGTAAAATAGGAACCTGATTGTTAGTCGATTGTTGGATTGCTTTCCGGGGGTAATAATCCCTCAAAAATAAATCCACGACTGATTGTGGGACACTGCTGTGTTTGCAATTGGCCGTCACGTTTTGCCCACAAAATACACGGAGTCGATTCACTTTACAGCATATTCTGTGAAGCATTTTGAGATATCTCAACAAAAGTGCAATGGTTATTATTATAATAAGTCCCCTCGCCCCCCCCCCCATCGCTCTTTGCTTTCAAAACCCAAATCTTTAATCGCCCTGACAGTCACCTCCCTCTCAACCAGTCTCCGCTCTATCTCCGTAAAGTGCTTTGAGGCATTCTCCGACGTGAGCGAAGCTGCGTGAGCGCGAGTTGTCAAATTTCATCCCGACAGCGAGGCTGTGTGTCAGTGCCTGTACCTGTCAGTTACACGTGGAGCTGCTGCTCACAGAGCCTCCAGGGCAGATGAGGGAACTCAAATGTAGCTTCAAATTGGTTTATGTAAGCGATTACTCATGGACGGTCACTCGCTTTGCCTGTGGCACTGCCGCACGCAGGCCGGGTGATATTGGAGCTGACCTTGAGCAGCTTGAGTGGGTATAACCCGCGTTGGCCTCTGTGGGGGTTGGTGTTTGGCAGCGGCAACTGCCCCCAGTTCATGTCATGGCTCAGCCCATCTGCCAGGCGGCCCCAACCCTACCAGAGCTCATCTGTGCACAAGTGGCTGTGAGCTGGGGAGGGGGGGGGGGGGGGGGGCAAGTCCTGGCCTTCACCCACTTTCCTGGCAACCTGGTCCAGTCCTTCAATTACAGCCTAAGGTACAGCCTGACCAGAGCGCTGTGTATCTCTATACAGTAAATCTCACGTCAGTCGGGACCATAACATTTAATATGAGTGAGGTCCGAGTTGCAGTCAAATGTCGTAGAAAATCCGATTCAATCAGTAATCTACACTGAGTTTGCGTAATTTAACGCAGGCGGTAAGTGCACATCCGGTGACGGGTTTAGGCTACATTTCCCGAGACCCAATGCGTCTTCACCCATCGCCGGGTGCCCTCACTTACTGGCAGACGTTGGAATCCCATTGAATTGCGGGAAATTAGGTTCTTTCTGCCCATGCGTCGATGGGTCAGGAAGTAATTTCCCGCGATTCGAAGCCTCCGGTATGTGCGGAAGTAATGGAGGGGTGGGGAGGGGGTGGGGGGGGGCGACGTTATGAGTTAGGAGGTGATTAATACGAGTAGCGCAAAGAAATCCTAAGAGCTTCTGAACGCTACTGATTTACACTATAGCAACGCGCTACGTGAAGCGGCTGACATGCATCCCTGTGTGATTGCCAGGCCAGGCCGCTCTCCCAGGGACAGGGGGGTCGGGCCTGCTGTGTGCTGGGCTGTGGCGCTGGGCTGGGCAGTGGGCTGCGCTGTGGGATCTTAAGGCTGTGTGCTGTGTGAGTGACAGCCCAGTCGGGCTGAATGCTCGGGGATTCAGTGACACGCTCTCCGAGCTCAGTCTCCCCATTGCTCCCCATCGGGAGCCTGGTGAGGCTCACTCACACATTACCTCGTTTTCTGCTTAAACAGATTCTGAATTCGTAGCTGAGAGCCCTGTAAGTAATGCGTCGCCAGGGAAATGCAGGGGTCAGAGTCACAGAGACCCCCCCCCTCCTCATGAATGATGCAGAAACAGCAGTGTGTATCTGACTGTAAATCAGTGTGTGCGTGTGTGTATCTGTGTGTATGTGTGGACTTCCTTCCCTCTGCCTCTTCTTGTCCCCTCGTTATCTGTCTTTATCCAGCTCCGCTATCCACAAACTCCCAACAAATTCAGAGCTTCTGCCACCCTTATCCCTAAACTCCATCCCCGCTCCCTGGTCAGCCCAGTCCTCACCTGCCTAGCACAGATGGATTGATTTTAAGATCCTCACGCTCATCAAATCCCTTTACGCCTTGGCACCTCCCAACCTCTCCGAGCCGCTTACTCCCCAATCCACCACCCGCCACCTCTGCTCGACTGGCTCCGGCCTCCTGCTTGTCGCTCATCCTCTCCGTTCCACCGAAACTCTGCAAGACTCTCGCCAACCTGTGCTGAATACTCTCTATCTCCATCCCGTTGTCTGTCCCCATCTATGGCTCGGTTGCTGCCCCCCTGAAATCCCATTGCTTTTCATTGTTTCAGGTTATTTCTGCCGTGTCCCGTCTCTCCCATCACAGCATCGCCCAGAACAAAGGGATCAGGTGAGACACAGCCTGTTAGCGTGTTCCATGTTGGCGTGGGGGGGCCGTTGGCATGGGGGGGCGTTGGCGGTCGGGGAGATTTGGTGGGGGCCGGGCTCTTGACGGCTGCTGTGTTGCTCTCAGGCCGTTCCCCTCAGAGGAGACCGTGGAGAATGATGACGATGTATACCGGAGCCTGGAGGAGCTGGCGGAGTGAGTGCCTAGCGAGTCCACATGGGGGAGTGGTGGGGGGGCTGGCAGGAGTGTGAGGTGTGCGGGGGGGGGGGGGGGCGAGATATGAGCATCTCTCGGGGCAAATGACCTCCGCAAATCAGCCGGGGAGCGAGTGTTTACTGATGTTTTAAACAGTTGGTAAATTTCACTTGTAGATTCCCACTCCTGTAAATTCTCATTAGTTACTGACAGAAACAGAACTGAGACTCCATGTACCCTGGGCCCCAGCTCACACACACACACACACACACACACGATTGAAGGGGTATCGGGAAAGAATGGGGGAGTGGGACAGTTTGGGCAGCTCTTCCAAAGAGCTGGCGCGGGCACGATGGGCCGAACGGCCTCCTTCTGTGCTGTAATATTCAATGATCTATGATATTCTGTGAAGCCCTTTGAGACATGTGAACGACGTGATATGGTGCTATATCAAATGCAAGGATTAATTATTATAATTACAGCAGGGGGCAGGGAGGGTGTGTGAGCCCCACGAGTGTAGGAATAACTCCTGGCGACCTGTCCGGTCACAGCCTCAGTCAGGCTTCAAATATTACGTACAGACACACGAGGCAGAGAATGGGACAGGCAGGTTCCTAATGCCACGTACGATTGCTAATGACTCTGTAACTCATGTCATTGTAAAGTGATGGGAGCATTTAGAGGATACCAGCCCTGCAATTTTACCCTGGGATTGAATTAAATAGTAATGTAATAAATAAATCACCATTAAATAATAATTATTCCTTACTGGCAGTGGAAGGAAGATTAACAATTACTTCTGACCACGTCTGTCACAGTTAATTCTGTGGCTTGTGTCAGATTAACACGGTGTTGCTCTGTCTCAACCTCTCATAGAATAGAATCGTAGAATATTTCAGCAAAGAAGGAGGCCATTCGGCCCATCGGGTCTGTGCCGGTTCTTTGTAAGAGATCGGTACCCACTGCCCCACTCTTTCCCCATAATCCTTTTCCTCTTTCGAGTACTTTTCCGCGGGCTTTTTCTCCGAATGTTTTTAAAAACGTTTCCTGACAAAAAGTCTGTGTGTTCACGTGGAAGCTGAAGAGGGGATGGCAGTGTGGTCAGTGTGAGAGAGGGGACTTTCTCTCTCCTGGTTAACAATCCACCCAAATAAATAGGTCCATCACTTCTTGGCCGTTTGTGGGATGTTGAGATGCACAAATTGGTGACCACCCACCCCCCCCCCCCAACTATAACTCCCCCAACCCCCTCCCATCCCCCGGGCCTCTGATCTGTCCTGTTTTGCAGTGAGCACGACCTGGGGGAGGATATCTATGACTGTGTGCAGTGCGACGACGATGGGGATGATATTTACGAGGACATCATCAAGGTGGAGGTTCGGCAGCCGATGGTGAGCGCAGCGCTGAGCGCAGTAACTGTGCGATGTGACAGGCCCGCGTGTCGGCTCCGCGTGTCAGACCTGTGTGTGTGTGTGTGTGTCTGACCCCCGCCTGTTTGTCGCCCCCCCCCCCCCCCCCCTCCACGTGTTGGGCTCCTGTGTTGTGCAGTGATTTACTGAGGCTGTTTGTCTTTCTGAATGCTGCAGATCCGCTACATGCAGGTAAGAGGGGAACACTGACTTGCCACTGAATGTGGTCCTCGTGTTACGTGGTGCTGTTTCTGTGTATCCCTGTGCTTGTGTGCGTGTGTGGGTGTGTGTGTGAGTGCATTTGTACGTGTGCATGATTGCGTGTGAGTGCGTGCGTGTGAGTGAGCGCGTGTGAGTGTCAATGCGCGAGTGAGTGTGTTTGTGTAAGTGAATGTTAGTGAGTGAGTGTGTTTGAGTGAGTGAGTGTGAGCGAGTGAGTGAGTGTGTTTGTGTGAGTGAGTGTGTTTGTGTAAGGGAGTGTTAGTGAGTGAGTGAGTGTGTTTGAGAGAGTGAGTGTGTTTGTGTGAGTGAGTGTGTCTGCTTGAGTGAGTGAGTCTGAGTGAGTGCGCGTGAGTGAGTGAGTGAATGTGTTAGTATGAGTGTGAGTGGGTGTCAGTTTGTGAGCGAGTGTTAGCGAGTGAGCCTTTGGGGGCAGGGAGTTGGAGTGGGGTCGGAGTTTGTCACAGCCCGGGCTGCTGACCGCATTGCTGCTCACTCTCTACAGAAGATGGGAATGACGGAGGACGACAAGCGTAATTGCTGCCTCCAGGAGATACAAGAGACCGAGGCCAAATACTACAAGACCCTGGAGGACATTGAAAAGGTCAGGGTCCTCTCCCGATCCGTCTGTCTTTACACCCCACCCTCCTCCTCAACCATCCCAGTGCTCACCTCCACTCTCCTCTCGTTCCCCCCCCATCCTCTCCTCCCCTTCCCCCCCACTCCTCTCCTCCGCTTTGTAACACTGTCACTCTGTGAATTGCAGAATTACATGATCCCATTGAAAGGTGTCCTGAACCCTCAGGAGATGGAGAGCATCTTTATCAACCTAGAGGTAATGTCACAGCATCCTGTGTCGTGGGTGGGGCGAGGGGAGGGGAGACTGACCTCTGACTTCTAAGGGTTGTGTCTATTTCAGGAGCTGATCAAGGTTCACTCGAATTTCCTACGAGCCATCGATCAGGCCATCATGTCCGGGGGCAACACGCTGCACAAAGTCTTCCTGGACTTCAAGGAGCGGTGAGAACCAGGGGGCAAAGGGGGGCTGCTCAACGTGGGGGGGTGGGGGCGGTGTGGGGGGTGCAGTGAACTTTGCTGGGGAAGAATTGCTCAATGTCTGACGTGCTCGCTCTCCCCCCCCCCACCCCCTCTTCTCCCACCCCCTCTCTCTCTCCCCCCTTCTCTCTCTCGCTTCCCCTCTCTCACTCCCCCCCCCCCGCCTCCCCTCTCCCTTCCTCTCTCTCACTCACCACACCCCACCACCCCCTCTCTTTCCCTCTCTCTCTCCGCACGTCTAGGCTGCTTATTTACGGCAAGTACTGCAGTATGATGGAGAACTCACAGAAAACACTGGACCACCTGCTCAATGTTCGGGAGGAGCTTCGAAACAAAATTGAGGTTGAAAACCTGGAAATAACAGGGAAAAGTGGTGCTGGGTGTGGGGGTGGAGCAGTGCGTGTGTGTGAGTGTGAGTGTCTGCAGAGATTTACAGCACTTAAGCAATCCACTCGTACCAAAGTTTTACTCCTTGCGGCAGGTGTTTTGCATGTGTGTGTGTGTGTTGATAGTGGACGGTGTGTGTGTTTGTGTTGATGGTGACTGTGTGTGTGTTGATGGTGACTGTGTGTGTGTGTGTTGATGGTGACAGTATATGTGTGTGTGTGTGTGTTGATGGTGTGTGTGTTGATAGTGATCGTGTGTGTGTTACAGGAATGTACCAAGAAGGTGCAGGAGGGTAAGTTCAAACTGCAGGACCTGCTGGTGGTGCCGATGCAGAGAGTCTTAAAGTACCACCTGCTGTTAAAGGTGAGGGTCAGCGTCATCTGGTAATGATGGTGGGGGGGGGGGGGGCGCAGGAGGGGGGGGGTTGTAATCATCATAATAATGATGATTATATTCCTTGCATTTGATATAGCGCCTTATCATGCCGTTCAGACGTCTCAAAGCGCTTGATAGAATATATTGTAAAGTGGATTGACCTCAAGGTGGGAATGTCCTGCTGTTTGTCTCTCTCTCTCTCTCTCTCACACTCTCTTTCTCTCTCTGCACCCTCAGGACTTGCTGAGCTACTCGAAGGAGCGAGCGGAGCAGCAGCAGCTGAAACAGGCACTGGAGGCCATGGAGGTGAGGGTGTGCGAGGATGTGACTGGCCACGTGTGCGAGGGTGTGACTGGTCACGCGTGCGAGAGCGGGACCGGTACATTCAACAAGGTGTCAACCTGACTCAGGCGTGGCGAGGGTTCGAAGCACATGTTGGGACTGAATGGCGCGGGGGGGCGGGGGGGGAGAGCTCTGCGTTGGTTGGAGGTGCCGTACTTCGAATGAGGCGTTAAACCGAGGTCCTGACTGTGTCTGGTCAAAAGGGAAAGAGGAAGGAGTTTTTCCCCTGGTATCCTGGTCAACAATCCTCCAGATAGCATTGGTATCTCACCTTCTGGCTGTTTGCGGAAGTGCTTTGGGACATCTCGATGATGTGAGGAGGCGATGGATCCAACGCAAAGCTTGTTGTTATTTAGCACCGATGATATGTACAAATATTGCCATCTAGAAGGCTGATAGAGACTGCGTCTCACTCAGACAGAAACAGGACCACGTGTAGCTGAACGTGCGATGGACTGAGAGCGCGAGGGCCTGCGGGTTTGAGGGGCTGAGGGTGAGCGTACCAGGGGAGGGCTAAGCGTGCGAGGGGAGGGGCTGAGTGTGCAAGGAGCTGAGCGTGTTCTCTGTACCAGGACCTGGCCATGTACATCAATGAGGTGAAACGAGACAACGAGACTTTGAAGAAAATCGGGGAGTTCCAGTGCTCGATCGAGAATCTGGTCAGTTGACCCCCCCACCCGGTTGTGGCCGGTTGGGGAGTTTGGGGCTGGGTTTGGGGGGTAGGAAGGGTTGGGGCTGGGTTGGGGGAGGGGTGAGGCCGGGTTGAGCGGGAGGGGTGGTTGGAGCAGAGTGGGGTTCGGGTTGGGGGAGGGGAGGGTGGGGCATGTTTGGGATGGGAGGGGGTCTTTGGGCCGGGCCATATGGTGTCTCACATCCACTCTGCCTGTAGCAAACGTCGCTGGTAACGTACGGGAGACCGAAGATTGACGGGGAACTGAAAGTTTGCTCCATCATCAACAGGACCAAACAGGACCGGTGAGGACCTCACCCAAGGGGGCGGGGCTCAGTGCCAGGGCCGGGGCTTGTGCCGGGGTAGGACTCAGGGATGGGGGGGGGCAGTGCCAGGGGCGGGACTCAGGGTTGGGGCTCAGTACCGGGGTGGTGTTGAGGTTGAGGCTCAGTGTTGGGGGTGGGCTTTGGGGGCGGAACTCAGTGCTGGGGTGGGGCTGGGTGTTGGGGGTGGGGCTTGGTGCCGGGGGCGGTGCTCGATGTTGGGGCTGGGGCTCAGTGCTGGGGCGGTATTGGAGGTGGGGCTCGGTGTTGGGTGTGGGCTTTGAGGGCGGGACTCAGTGCTGGGGTGGGGCTGGGAGTGGGGCTCAGTCCCAGGGTGCTGTTGAGGGTGAAGCTCGGTGTTGGGAGTGGGGCTCAGTGTCTGGGCTGATGACTGTTTCCGCTCCAGGTACCTCTTTCTGTTTGACAAGGCCGTGATCGTGTGTAAACGGAAGGGATATAACTATGAGCTGAAGGAGATCATTGACCTGCAGGCACATAAAATGAGCGACGACCCAATGAACAACAAGGATGTGCGGAAGGTACTAACCAGAGAGGCTGGGCACTGTGTGAGCAGCTGNTTTTTTTGGTCAGCCGGGTATCTGGAAACCCATCCAAACCAAACTCAGAATTCCATGCATCCCACCTAACCATGGAAATCCCAGAGATAGTTTGTTGGAATGGAATGCGCTCTCTCTCTCCCTGGAGGGACGCAGCCCGTTTACCTAATTCCAGTGGGTATCAGGAGCAGGTTGGCAAGAGCCAAGGCTTGGGGGAGCCCAGAGTGTGCGTTGGGATTACTGCTGGAGTCTGACCAGCTAAAACAGCATAGCTTGCCATTGAGAGCGCCGTCTGGCAAACGTTCCCACTTGTTAGGGCTTTGGCTGGCAGGGTTAACGGGAGCTGAGTGGGATGACTCTCTGCCCCCAGTGACTGCTCTGCCCTTCCAAGTCCCGCCGATGAGCCAGGCTGGGCCGTGCTGTGCTGTCATCAGCGGTGCCCTGAACACTGGGGACCCTCCTGGCTCAAGACTGTCACAGAGGGTGGGCTCGATTCTGACATTCCGTTACGAAACACCCACCCCCCCACCCCCCCCAAGGAGCAAGTCAAGAGTCCGAGTGCTTGTGGCTGAGATGATTAAGTTGAGAGCTGTGCTGTGTTGACTGATCTCTCCTCTGTTTCATGCCTCCCAAGTCCCACGGGAAGATGGTGAGTAGCGGTTTACAGGGTGATGATCACGGGACACATGAGGTCAAGGACTGGTCCATGTGTTATTTCGGGGTTCTCCATGTCATGGATACATTGACACAGATCATATGGCCCGGAAACAGGCCATGCAGCCAGGGCTAACTAGCTCATGCTGGTGTTTATATCCACATGACTTTATCTGGAGGTGGGGGGGGGGTGGTGTTATTGGGGTTCAGCAAGCACAGTGACCCCTCTATAAGCCGGCTCTCTCCTTTCTCTCTGGCAGTGGTCGTATGCATTTTACTTGATCCACCTGCAAGGCAAACAAGGCTTCCAGTTCTTCTGTAAAACAGAGGAGATGAAGAGGAAATGGATGGAACATTTTGAAATGGCGCTGTGAGTCTCAGTCCTCCCCTTCTCCTCTCCTTCCCTCGCTCTCTGCTCCCCTCAGCTTGGCCTCGCTCTCCCCTTGCCTCGGGCTCTCTCCTTCCCCTCCCATCCCTAAGGCGAGGGAAGGGAGACCGAGGCGAGGAGCCAGTGATGGGGGAGTGATGTGCAACCCATTTCTTTTCAGGTCGAACATCAAGCCAGAGAAGGGAACGGCCAATTCACACAACTTCCACATGTCAACCTTCGACAAGTTTACTAACTGCAAAGCCTGCACGATGCTGCTCAGGTTACAGTGCATAACTCTCTATGTGTGTAGGTGTGAGTGTCTCTTTTTCTGTGCTGTCTGTTGTGTGTGTGTATGTCTCTCTCTCAATGCTGCCTGTTGTGTTTGTGTGTGTGTCTGTCTCTCTCTCACTCTGTGCTGCCTGTTTTGTGTGTGTGTCTGTCTCTCTCTCTATGCTGCCCTTGCTCTGGGTGGATTGACTTTGTCGCTGAGCTCTGATGCCTGTCTTGTCCTCTCCGCAGAGGGATCTTTTACCAGGGATACATCTGCTCAAAGTGCGGAGCTGAGGCACACAAGGAATGCCTGGAGACCACGGCACAGTGCATGGCATGTACGGACCCTCGCCTCGCTCCTCATCCCCAGGGGCAAATGTGGGCAAGCGCTGCGATTGGGGCATGTGCCAGGGCACAGTGCCATTGGGTTGCGAGTTGCTATGTCTCTGTGTGTCTGTGTGTGGCTGTGGCTGGGATGTGTGGCTCTGTCGCTGTGGCTGTGTGTGACTGCAATCTCAGTATGTGTGTGTGTCTCTGTGTGGCTGTGTCTATGTGTGTCTGTGGCTGCGGCTGTGTCATGGTGTCTGTGTATGGCTGTGTCTGTGTGTGGCTGTGTCATGGTGTCTGTGTGTGGCTGTGTCATGGTGTCTGTGTGTGGCTATGTCTGTGTCATGGTGTCTGTGTGTGGCTGTGTCTGTGTGTGGCTGTGTCTGGGGTGTGATTCGCTGTGTTTAATTTAATGACTTGTAGACATGTAATTTAATGAATCTTTTAATTTAATGAATTGTTTTTTTTTCAGACTCTTCCATAGATGATGAGGTAAGTTACACCCAATCTGTGGGGGTTGTCTCATTGGGAAGTGGGTGGGGGTCTCTGCGGGTGGGGGTGGGTGGAGAAAGAACCTTGCCGGGGGTGGGAAGTGGTGGGGGGAGACGTAGTAGCCATTTCCGCTAACAACCCTTTGCCTTTTGTCTCCAGGATCGAGGACAACCTCCCTCGGAAGGTAAGAAGGAGACTCTGTGCCGAGGGGGTTTGTGGGGTTGGGGGGGTGAGAGTGGGTGGAGATGGCTGGGGTGGAAGGGAGGGGTGAGATTGGGGGGAGATGACTGGGGTGAGAGTGGGGGGAGATGGCTGGGGTGGGGGGTTGGGGTGAGAGTAGGGGGAGATGGCTGGGGTGGGGGTATGGGTTGAGAGTGGGGGGAGATGGCTGGGGTGGGGGTGTGGGGTGAGAGTGGGAGGAGATGATTGGGGTGGGGGGTTGGGGTGAGAGTAGGGGGAGATGGCTGGGGTGGGGGTTGGGGTGGGGTTGGGGGGAGATGGCTGGGGTGGGGGGTTGGGGTGGGGTTGGGGAGATGGAGAGTAGGGGGAGATGGCTGGGGTGGGGAGTTGGGGTGGGGGTTGGGGTGAGAGTGGGAGGAGATGACTGGGGTGGGGGGGTGGGGTGAGAGTGGGCGAAGATGGCTTGGGTGGTGGGTGAGATGTGTTGGAGCCAGATTTCCCTTTGTAAAGTTTTGTGTAAAGTTCACACCTCTCGCTGCTGGTCTCCTCTCCACGTCACCTTCTCAAACTCTCCCCTTGCCATCTTCCCCGCTCCACCGTCCACGCGCTCCAGCTCAGCCGAAACTTCATAGCCCGTGTCCTCGCCCGCACCAGTCTCCACACGTCCCTCACCCCAATCCTCGCCAGCCTCCACTGACCCCCTCTCTCTCTCTGAAGGGACCGAGAACAAGCTCCTCACCGCCACAGTCCAGTCCAGCATCTCCCAACCTCTCTGACTTGCACAGACCCCTCTCCCCCACGCTCTCCCCTTTGCTCAGCTAACACAGGCCAGTGTGTGCCCCCCCCCCCACCCCCTCTGCTCCGGGCCACCATCGGCGGCCGTGCCTTCAGTCACTACACTGTGTGTACAGTGTTTAAAAAAAAGTTATTGTTCGGTCACTCAATCCTCAACTGTTTGTGGGACACTAACAATTGGCCGCTGCGTTTCGCACACAAAATATGCAGTCAAATCACATTACAGTATATTCTGTGAAGCGCTTTGAGACGTCTCAATGATGCGATAAGGCGCTGTGTCAAATACTAGCATTATTATTATTATTACATCCCTAACCTGTGGAGCTTTGGCCCCATTCCAGCCGCCTCGCCCCCTTTTATCTGCCTTTAAATCCCTTCTTAAAACTTACTTCTTTGCTCCCCCAACTATGGTCACCTCCCCCTCCCTTTCTCCCACACTCGGGGTCCACCCCTGCCTCTGCACAGCGTTCCCAGACGCTATCCTGCACGAATGGCCATTAGTTGTTATTTTTGTTCTAATTGTTGCTGCTGTTTATGTTGAAGGACCTAAAATGGTGGCGCTGCGGAGCTACCAGGGCATCCCCCCACCCCTGCCGCCTGGGAGATCATCGCTCAGCTTCCAGTCCGGAGACACGCTCGAGCTGCTGAAGGGAGACCCCGACTCTGCCTGGTGGGAGGTCAGGGTCCTGTGCTATGTGACTGGGGCTGTAACGGGGGGTGGAGTATGGGGGTTGGGGGCTGTGTGGGGGTGTAACAGTGGCGGGAGTTGGGTGGGGGGGTCTGAGGTGTGAACGGGAGCTTTACTGATTGCTGTAACGGGTCGCGCTGCTGCTGTTCCAGGGACGACTGATTCAGACGAAAAAGACGGGCTACTTTCCCAGCTCTGCAGTCAAGCCGTGCCCTGTGGGTCAGCAAGTGAGTCAGCAAGTGTGTGGCATGTGTCACATGTGGCGTGTCTGAGGTCTGTGTGTGTGCGTGTGAGCGCATGTGGCTGGCGTGTTTGGTGCTGTGTTGTTCGAGACTAATCGCTGTTCTCTTTTACTCCAGCATATTAACAGGCGGGACTCTGACTATAGCGCCTACTCCTGGTAAGTGCTGGTCTTGCGATCATCTGGCGCAGAGTACAGCAAACTAATGTGTGTGGGGGGAGTGGGGTGGGGGGGCCACGTGACTGCAGTGCTGTTGTGATTGCAGCAGACGACTTATTATACCATCACTGGAGGATACAGTGAGCAGGATCGCCTGTCGGTCTGTCGGTCGGTGGTCGGCCTCTGTCCTGACCACACTGAGCCATGTGTTGGGTGTTGTCTGCAGGTTTGCTGGGAATCTGGAGCGGGGCCAGGCAGACATGTTGCTCAAAGCCCACATCAGTGGCACTTACCTGATCCGGGAGAGGACAGCCGAGGCCGAGAGATTCGCCATCAGCATCAGGTCAGTGGGGTGGGGGGGGCGATAAGTGGGGTGGGGGGGGCACACACTGGGGTTGATGACTGATCCCCCTAGGTCTCCTCGTCTCGTAGCCCACAACTCGTGGTTCTCTGGTGTTCGGGTGTTTAAGGCTTTCCCTCTGACCCACACCCTCCTCTTCGCAGGTTCAACGATGAGGTGAAGCACATTAAAGTGGTGGAAAAAGACAACTGGATCCACATCACTGAGGCCAAGAAATTTGAAAGCCTCTTGGTACGTGACTGTGGCTGTGGCTGTGTCTGTGTCTGCGCCACTGTTTGTATCTGTGCTACTTGCTGTGTCTGTATCTCCCTCTCTATCTGTGTCCCTCGCTGTGTCTGTATCTCTCTCTCTGTGTCTGTGTCCCTCGCTGTGTCTGTATCTCTCTCTCTGTGTCTGTGTCCCTCGCTGTGTCTGTATCTCTCTCTCTGTGTCTGTGTCCCTCGCTGTGTCTGTATCTCTCTCTCTGTGTCTGTGTCCCTCGCTGTGTCTGTATCTCTCTCTCTGTGTCTGTGTCCCTCGCCGTGTCTGTATCTCTCTCTCTGTGTCTGTGTCCCTCGCTGTGTCTGTATCTCTCTCTCTGTGTCTGTGTCCCTCGCTGTGTCTGTATCTCCTTCGCTGTGTCTGTATCTCCCTCTGTGTCTGTGCCCCTCGCTGTGTCTGTATCTCTCCCTGTGTTTGTGTCTTTGCCCCGCGCTGTGTCTGTGTGATAACTTGTAAACTGTTTGATGACAGGAGCTGGTGGAATATTACCAGGTACATTCCCTGAAGGAGAGCTTCAAACAGTTAGACACCACACTGCGTTACCCCTACAAGCACAGAGAACACCACACCTTGCCGAAATCCAACAACCGGGCTTCAGGTACTGACCCGCGCTGCCTCTAACCTGCGCTGACACTGACCTGCGAGTGTGGACGGACAGTGTCGAGGGAGCTCTACAGGGCCAGGGGGGGCAGTGCGAGTGTCGGGGTGGGGGTCAGCTTGTGGGGAGGGGCAGTGTGTGCACATCATGGGGAGTGGGGGGTAGTATGCAGGGCTGGGGAGTGTGGGGGCGGTGGGGGCAGCGTGGGAGTCTGGGGGCGAACATTAGGGGGGGGGAGCAGCGGTGGGGGAGACATCGTGAGGGGGGAGACATTGTGAGAGGGATGCAGTGTGGATGGTGGGGGGTTGGGGGGGGATCAATGTGAGGTGGGGGGCAGTGTGGGAGTGGGGGGAGGACATTGCGAGTGGGGGTGGCGGTGGGGTGGGGAGGGGGTTGCAGTTTGCCGCTGTGCTCTGCTGCTTCTGTCACTGTGCCTCTGGCCTCTCTCTCCGCTCACTGTGCACTGACTGACCTGCTCCTCTCTCTAACCCCCCACAGCCGCTTGCTACAACTTTTCTTTTCTCAGCCCTCAGGCCTTCAACGCTGTGCCTCACACTCCAGCTCCTCTCTGGTCAGGTACTGACAGCTTGCGTTCTCCCTCTCACTGAGCGTGTAAACTGGAGTGGGGGGGAAGAGGGAGGAGGGGGGGAAGACAGCCGAGCACAGGGCTGAGCCATCACTGCGTGTGTGTGTGTGTGTGTGTGTGTGTATGTATGTGGGGGTGTGGGTGAGTGTTCGGTTGGGTTTGGAGGCTGCAGATGTACACATATCGTTGAGTTTAATGGTTTGCTTGTTTTACCTCCGACCAGTTTTCACTCCCCGCCCCATTGCAATGGCAACGGCACGCTATAACTTTGCCGCCCGGGACATGCGGGAGCTGTCTCTGCGGGAAGGAGACACGGTGAAAATCTACAGCAAGATAGGCGGAGACCAGGGCTGGTGGAAAGGAGAAGCAAACGGCAGGGTGAGTGAGTGCTGAAACTGCAGGGAATCCCTGACCGCAAGCAACACGGGCTGGTCTTGGTAGCAGCGGAGTTCTCCCTAATGTAGTGCTTAGCGCAGCGAAATAATAACTTGGTCACTCAATTCACGACGGTTTGTGGGACACTTGCTGTGCGCAGTTGGCTGCTGCGTTTCGCCCACCAAATACACAGGCAATTCACTTTACAATATATTCCTGTGAAGCACTTTGAGACGTCTCAACGATGTAATAATGCACAATATCAAATGCAAGGATTATTATTATATATTGTAATACAACCCAGATAGCCTGGCAGCTCACTCCATTACTATCACATTAGGAATAAACCTAATTTATAAGCTGCATAGAAACACAATCGCAAGAGAACTAGTTACTTACCTGTCACTGCAGTGAGGGTCTCAGAGATTCACTGACGGGAGCGACGGGCTGGAGAACATAAGGTAAACCGGATGGACCTTTGGGTCTTCTATCGTCCAACATGGTTTACCATGTCTATCCGGTTTACCTTCCACTATCCTGGCATTTGCTTGCACGTGTCGCGTTCCAAACAGTTAGCTGTACGGCACTGCAATGGGGGAAACGTCCGAATAAAGGCTGAGGTTTGAGGTGGTCCGTGGCTCTGGTGTGCGGGCCAGTATAAAGGCAGTGACTGACGGCTGTCCCCTCTCCCCGGCTCTGTGCAGGTTGGCTGGTTCCCTTCCACCTACGTGGATGAAGAGGTGGGTCAGTAGCTGACTGTGTCTCGGATGCGAGGACGTTTCGTTTGCACAAGAGACGCTGGACCCAGAGGACAATTCGCTGCTTCTCAACCCACACACCCCACCCTCTCACCACCTCCCCACACGACAGACGGACATTTGATGGTCGGACATTCGTTTCAACGTTTTGAGCATGGTGCCCGGGAGAGTGCGAGGGAGAAAGGGAGGGTGTGAGCGAGGAAGCCCTTCTGTTGTATATAAATTCCTTTTCCAGAATGTTCAGTCTGAATCGCAGCAAAATTCCTGGTAACCGCCCGGGTGGTGATGTGCGTGATTGCACACGGGTGACGCGTGCGTGTATTCACGTGTGCACGACCCTCGTATGTGCGCGCGTGCGCGCATGAGGGAGTATCTGCGGGAAATGGGGACGTGCGCACGCGCGCGTGTGTACGTGTGCATGATATGTATGTAACGAATGTGCCAACATGCGTGTGTGCGCGTGTCCGTGAAGAGTGTTTTTTTTTCTAAATAACTTGTAATTATTTTACAAAGACAAATGCCACAATGTGAATGTGAATAGTGGGGGAAGTGCCCTGTGCCGATGCCGGTGTATATATTTGGGTTGATTGTGGGTGATGCAGAATGATGACTGACTGTGCTCCAGAATGAGATATACTGTAAATTCTTACCCGTCAGGCAATGCACTAACACACAGCAGGGAGGGGGAGGGTGCGGGGTTGGGGGGTGCTGGGGGTTGGGGGTGCTGGGGAGCGGGACTGCACAGGGCGGTGTGGATCTGTGTCTCTTGGTTCTCGGATGAGTCAATTTCACTGCCCCGGACCTCATGCGCGGGTGGACAGCGCCTTCTGCGAGCGCGGGGAGGGAGGGGTTGGGAGTACATGCGCAGGTGCCACGCGAAGGGGCTCAAGGGTTCATGTGTGGGCGCGCAGAGACCAGGACCGTCCAAACAATGCTCCCACGCAGGGTGTTTAACAGCAAATAAAGGGAAAATTTTTGAGTCAATGGAAGTGTTGTTGTCTCGAATGCTGTGGTGCGGAGAGTGTCAGACAGAGACACGAGAGGAGTAACCTCAGTCACTGAATACCTGACGGCAACTAAGAATTTTTATTTCGTTCTTTCCAGCATCTGCAGTACTTTTTGTTCAACCTTTGAGCAGATTGACATTGAACCCTACGCCACAGGCAGCCTGACCTTGGACCTGCTGACAATGTTGAAACCAATCCTGACTTCTCACCAAAGCGCAGGCAGATAAGCTGCTCGTGTTCACTTCTGCACTGAGCTGCCTCTCTGTCGGGTGACCAGCGACTGCATTCCAGCCTCCCTGGTGCTGACGGAGGAGCTGAGGGCAGTGAGTTCCAGGTTTCACACGCACCAGGCAATGCCTTGCCACAACTCAGCTTGGCTCCCTGCCATCTCGACCACGTGATTAAGGCGCTATATCAAATGCAAGAATTATTATTATTATTACTACTACGGTTGATGGGATTTCTGGCTTTAATAACGAGGTGATGTCCCAGTCATATAAGACCTCGGGGTAGAATTCATTGGATACCGTGTTCGGTTTTGGGCCTCTAATCACAGGAAGGATAAACCAGCGTTGGAATGGTGTCCCACGACAGTCACTACATTAATACCTGAACTGAAGGGGGTTACAGCACAACCTACATTTAATTATAATAACAATAATCCTTGCCTTTGATATAGCACCTTATCATGTCTCCGAGAGGTCTCAAAGCACTTCACTGTAAAGTGAATTGACTGGATACTTTGCGGGCGAAAGATGGCAGCCAATTGTGCCCAGCAAACAGTCGTGTCTCTCACACTCGCACTCCTCTCACACACGCGTACACACACACACCGAGAGGTCCGAGTGGGAAGGAGAATTAAAGTGACAAGCGACCGGAAGCTCAGAGTTGCACTTGCAGACGGAACGGAGGTGTTCGGCAAAGCAATCACCCAATCTACGCTTGGTCTCCCCGATGTAGAGGAGACCACATTGTGAGCAGCGAGTACCATATATTAGGTTAGTGGAAGTCCATCTAAATTGCTGTCTCACCCGGAAGCAGTGTTTGGTGCCCTGGACAGTGGTATGGGAGGAGGTGGATGAGTAGATGTGGCATCTCCTGCGCTGGCATGGGAAGGGGGGGTGGGGGAGAGGAGAGCAGGTGTTAGTGATGGTGGAGGAGGTGGATCAGGGAGTCACGGAGGAGCTGTCCCTTTGGAATGCTGAGAGCGGAGGGAAAGATGTGTTTGGTGGTGGGATGGCGCTGGAGGTGGAGGAAATGGTGGAGGATTACCCGTTGAACGTAGAGGCTGGTGGGGTGGAAGGTGAGCACGAGGGGGACCCTATCACGGTTCTGGGAGGAGGGGAAAGGGGTGAGGGCAGAAGTGCGGGAAATAGGACGGATACGGTCGAGAGCCATGTCCACCACGATGGAGTGGGGAGCAGGAAGCAGCACCAACGCAGCCATCAATGTACCAGAAGAAGACTGCGTTGGTGGGGCGTCAGACAGGTGGGCGAGGCGAACGTTTTGGCCCAAACACAGCAACGGAAATCGCCAGGCCCAGTGTGTCTTGAGTTGCTGTCGCCAGTGAAGGGTGGTATATAAATGCAAGTTGTTGTTGTCCGTCCCAGTGAGGAGCCACCACATTGCCACAGTCACCACACTCCCTGTGCGGTTGCGACGGTGAGATCCCAGCACAAAGCACGCTCTCCATCCCTCTCCGTCTCCCATCTCTCCATCGAGAAACTCTCTCTCTTTCTCGTTCTTCTCTTTCTACGTCAAGAAATGTCCTACCCTCCACGCATTCGTTCACTCCCCTCACCCCCATCGCCTCCTCCCTCACCGGTCTGTCTAAACTTGGCCACCATCCCAGAGTGGGGAGTGGGGAGGAGACACAGCTCTGCTAACAGCTCACTGTCCACAGGGTAAACAGCTTTGTGTGTGTGTGTGAGAGAGAGCCAGAGAACAGGATATTCGGGAGGTGGGGCTCTTGTTACCTTATCTTCCCCAAACACAACCAATGGGTTGAGGCTGTGAGGAGGCCTCCCATATAGTTATCCTGTGATGACCGGCCTCTCAGCTCCTGCTCCGAGCCATTGCGTCAGCTTTATTCCCCCTCTCCCTCCACACACACAACACACAACACATCTGCTGCTGGCGCTCCAGATCCCAGCAAAATACACGCTCCAACTCACTCGCTCACTCACTCACCACAAGAACAGGAGAGAGCAAAGCAAAGCAAAGCTCAGAACAACCCACAACTTCATCCCCGGACTGGAGAAGCCCAGTGTCCTGTGTCCTGGCTCCACAGTAAAGCACAGAGCCCACACCGGCCACAGGTAAGAAGAGCGCATTTCGTGTAACGCACCTGGCTGTGTCACACAACCCCCCCCCCCGCTGTCTCACAACGTCCTAGCGCTGTTGCTCAGGGATTTCCCAGGTTTGGAGGAATTCGATCCCTCATTCCCTTTCACCCACAACAGCTGTGAGGCGCTTTGAGACGTCTCAACGACATGATAAGTAAGGCGCTACATCAAATGCAAGGATTATTATTGTTATTATCAGTACCTGTATCCGCAGCCCCTCGTTGGGTCCTGTAAAACGTTCACAGAATCTAACGCTGTCCGGCTCTGCCACTGCCCAGTGTAACCAACTGCTGGAATTTTAAATAACTGTTAAGAGCTCAGGGACCCTCCCCTAATTGAGGGCTCCTCACGCTCGTGTTCAAATCCATTCACTCTCTGTCACCTCCCTACCTCTCCGACCTCCTCACTCCCCAGTCCACCACCCGGCTCCTCTGCTCGACTGGCACCGGCCTCCTGCTCGTCCCTCGCACCCATCGCCCCACCATCGGAGGTCCCGCTTTCAACCGCTACTCCCCGAAACTCTGGAACACTCCCTTAACCCCTCTGCCTTGCACCCCCCCCCCGGCTCAGAGTCAGGCTCCGCCACTGTTAAGCGCTCTGAGATGGTACCCTGCGTGGATGGCGCTATAGTTGTTGCTTCCCATCTCTGTGCGGGAGACACCTCGACGCGGGCTGCCTGGGTTTGGAGAGTTTGTTGTGAGTGTGTGTTTTGGGGGTGGCAGTGTTTTCCTTTCACTTTCCCCGAGGCCACTGACCCGTGAAACAGTGATTCAGACAGGCTTCAGCCGGGTACAGGCGGCTCTGGCTCGATCGCTGGTGCTCACTGTCCGCTTGTTACACACGCGGGCACACACTCGCCACTCCTCTAACTCGCTGCCTGACACACTCGTTAGGCATCACCCACTCACGTTCGCACTGACACACGCCATCCTTGACCTCTACCCTCACTTACTGACACTCATTGCCACGCTCATCCACGCTGACGCGCTAGAGCTGCCGCGTTTGCCTACAAACACACACGGGCAATTGTTCTTCGCGGTGAACGCTATCCCGTGGTCTCTTCGCCTCACCCCCAGCCTCGACTCCTTCAAGGGCCGTCTCAAGGCCCTCCTCTACGCCTGCGCCTTCGGTCACTCTCCTCCTCTCTACCTCCACCGCCTTCCTGATCCCAACCTCCAGCTCGGGACCGACTCTCTGACCGTCCAGCGCCTTGGGACGTCCCCTCCACGATCTGAAAGGCTGTGTGTGAACGTAATCTGTTGTTGTTGTTGTCTCGTGTGTGTGTGTGTAGTGCTAGATCACCATGGCGTACCTGCCTGCGACACTCCGAATATGGACGTTCTGCAAGCGCGCCGAAAGCTTCCTGTCGGGCCGCAGCGGGCGGCGCGTGACCACTGGCCCAGCAACGACCACGGAGAAGAGCGTGCCGTACAGCAAGACCCTGAAACGGGAGAGCACCGCGGAGGACGCCAAAGGGCCCGGCCGACCCCTGCCGGCCAGCGTGGACGCTGTGGTGGTGGGCGGGGGCAGCCTGGGCTGCCAGACCCTCTACCACTTGGCCAAACTGGGGCTGACCAACGTGGTGCTGCTCGAGCGAGACCTGCTGACCGCAGGCACCACCTGGCACACAGCGGGTAAGCACACGGTCAGTGTGTGTCACTCTCAGTGTGTCAGTGTCTGTGTGTGTCTGTGTCTCAGCGTGTGGCTGTGTCTCTCTCAGGGCTGCTGTGGCAGTTACGGCCCAGTGACGTGGAGATCGAGCTGCTGGCCCACACCAAGCGGGTGGTGAGCGAGGAGCTGGAGGTGGAGACGGGTTTAAACACCGGCTGGATCCAGAATGGTGGCCTCTTCATCGCCTCTAACCAACAGCGTCTGGATGAGTATAAACGCCTCATGTCTGTACGTCTGGGGGTGGGTGGGGAGGGGGGGGTTAGCTTGCGGGGAGAGTTGATTGGGGGTAGGGGAGGTTTGTGGGAGGGTCGTTGTGTGTGGCTGAGGCTGGAGGAAAAGGGGGGCGCAGGGGTATCTCTCTCTGTGTGTGACTCTGTCTGTGTGTGACTCTCTCTGTCTGTGTGTGACTCTCTCTGTGTAATTCTCTCTCTGCCTGTGACGTTCTGTCTTCGACGCTCTTTATGTCTGTGTGACCCTCTGTCTGTGTGACCCTCTGTCTGTGTGACACTCTCTCTCTCCGCAGTTGGGGAAGGTTTACGGGATCGAGTCCCACGTGCTGTCGCCGGCAGAGACGAAAACACTTTACCCGCTGATGAACGTGGACGATCTGTACGGGACCCTGTACGTCCCCTCCGATGGCACCATGGACCCGGCCGGCACCTGCTCCACACTGGCTCGGGCCGCAACCGCTCGGGGGGCAACGGTGAGTCCCCACTCACCCAACCACCCACCCACTCACTCACTCACTCACTCACTCACTCACTCACTCACTCACTCACTCACTCACTCACTCACTCACTCACTCACTCACTCACTCACTCACTCACTCACTCACTCACTCACTCACCCCATCCCCACTCGCACCCACACTCTCTGTCTTCTCCACCACGGAGACCTCGGCTGCGTTCAGTTTATGGAGCTGACACACACTGCGAGTGGCGAATGTTGTCAACATGTTAGATAGTGTCTACTAGGAGATGGAGAGGGGGAAGGGGGGGAAAGGGAATGTCGAGGGGCGATGGGGTTGGGGGGGTGGGGGTGACTGACACTCACCGAGTGGGTAGCAGGGAGGTTTGAGCCCAGTTTATTGGATGATGCTGCTTGTGATGTGCCTGCGGTTTTCAGTGTCCGTTCACTGTTTGCTCAGGTGATTGAGAGCTGCCCAGTGACAGGGATTCAGGTGAAGGTGGATGATTTGGGTGTGAGGAGGGTGTGTGGGGTGGAGACACCTTACGGCACAATACAGACTCCGTGTGTGGTGAACTGCGCAGGTGAGTGAGTGAGTGCTCAGACAAACACACTTCCTTCCCATGTAGCTAACATTCTGCGTGAGTGTGGCACAGAGCACAGTCCTGCCTCCCAACAATGTCTCGTTGGGTCCCCAAGCCTTGGCTCTCGCCAACCTGCGCCTAATACTCTCTGCAATTAGTTAAGCAGCATGTCTCCCTCCAGGGACGGAGATTGCATTCCATCCCATTCATTTATCTCTAGAATTTCCATGTGTAGGTGGGATGCGTGGAAATCTCAGCTTGGGTTGGACATTCGTGAGCATGGTGATGGGTTTCCACATGTGTCAGACACCCGGCTGAAATCCCCCACCCCCCAGTTCAGGCAGACGTTAAAAATCCCTCGACACTATTTGAAAAGAAAAGCGAGTTTCTCCCTCCCGATGTCCTGGCCAACAATCCCCCAAATAAAATTGGTCTCTACACTCCTTGGCTATTTGTGGGACATTGTCGTGCGCAAATTGGATGCCAAACCCTGTCTCGAAAATACAGGTTAGGCAATAATAATAATAATAATCCTTGCATTTGATATAGCGCTTTTCACGTCGGGAGGACGTCCCAAAGCGCTTCACAGAACACACTGTAAACTGAATTGACTGTAAATTTGTGGGCGAACGCGGCAGCCAATTGCGCACAGCAATGTCCCGCAAACAGTCGTAGATTGAAAATGCCAATTTTATTTTTGTTTTTGGTTTTTGGAGGGATTGTTATTAGGCTCTGTGTGGAGTAAGGAAACTTGCCCAAGGTTTCGCCCTCTGCCTGGAATTGAACTCAGGTCTCTCGCTTGCAAAGCGAGTGCTCTAACCACTGAGCCACAGGGACTCCACAATAGTTCCTTGTGAAGCACTTTGAGATGTTTTGATGCTGTAGGCGCTGCATCAAATGTGATTATTATTATTATAAGCTGTTGATGAGGAGGTTGTGAAACCTGTAATTCTTCCCACGGGGTCCCTTGTTAACCCTGTATAAGCTGGACATTCAGTGAGCAGCGTGCTGGATAGTCCACATAATCGCACAATCTGGGGTTCCCAAAGCCCTGGCTCTTGCCAACCTGCCTCTAACCTCTCCTGGCGTAGTGACTAGGGTTTCCCCCCACCCCCTCCCAGTACTCCCGTTCCCACACTACCAGGAACCTTGGTTATTGTTCTGCTGGAATAAAGTGAGGGGGCAGATTTTCCTGAAGTATTTCTCGAACCCCAGACGTTTTCAGTCTGCAGTAACAGATGGCGTCCACCAGACAGCAGCGCCACCCAGGCTACAAAAGGACATATTTCCCAACGCTGAGACTTTTCCATTTGGAAAGAAACGAAGACCATTCCAAAAATTCCGCGCCAGCTTATGGCTAATAATGCTAACGCTAATGATGTCGCGAAGAGGTGATAAGGCGCTGCATCAAACGCAAGGATTAAAGCGCTTCGCAGAATATAGTGTAAAGTGAATTTCTGGGCGAAAAGCATTCCGAATGTTCTGGTGCTCACTTGCGCTGCTGTTGTGTTGCCTTCAGGTGTGTGGGCCCAGAAGCTGGGTGCCATGGCTGGGGTCAGTGTGCCTCTCATCGCCATGCATCACGCTTACATAGTGACAGAGCACATCGAGGGAATCCAGGTACGTGGGACTCTGCTGTGTGCAATTGGCTGCCGTGTTTCAGCCATAAAATGCACAGTCAATCCACTTTGCAATATATCCTGTGAAGCGCTTTGAGACGTCTCAACGAGGCGATAAGGCTCTCTATCAGATGCAAGGATTATTATTAGACCCAGGGGAGGCGATGTGAATGTTCATTCGTTTAGCAGTGAGATCGGGAAATGTTTTCATCGCACAGAGCGTGTGAGAGTGCTGGAGAGGTAGAGTGAGGTGGACTGTTAAGGGAGATGGAAAGATATGTGGGAGGTGGAGGGATTAATGAGTGTGGCGAAATGACAGGCGGTAGGGGGTATGGGCGCGTGGGTGGCAGGCGGGGGCTGACAGGGATGACGGGAGGGGTTGGGTGACAGGATGTGTGTGGGTGACGGGCTGGTCTCTGGTGACAGAACATGCCGAATGTGCGAGACCACGATACGTCCATCTACCTGAGGCTCCAGGGCGACGCTCTGTCTGTCGGCGGTTACGAGGCAAACCCCATCTTTTGGGAAGAGGTGAGATCTCAGTCCGAAGGGGGCTCTCTGTGTGTTTGTGTGGCGGGGGGTGAGGGTGGGGGGTGGCGTATGCGGGGGCTTGTGTGTGTGTACGGGGGCAGTGTGTGTGCACGTGTGTGTGTGTGTATATGGGGGTGGTGCACTGTGTGTAGGTGGCGTAGTGGGGGGGGGGGTTACTAAGCTGGTGTGTTGTTTACCTCTCTCCTCTCTGCGTGTCAGGTCTCGGACTCCTTTGCCTTCAGCCTCTTTGACCTGGACTGGGACGTGTTTACGCAGCACATCGAAGGAGCCATCAACCGGGTCCCTGCGTTGGAGACCGCAGGGGTCAAGTCCACTGTGTGTGGCCCAGGTCAGCCCCAGCCCCCGAGGATCACTGGGCTTCCAAATGGGGGTGGGTGGGGGGGAGGCGTTAGTAATAATAATAATAATCCTTGCATTTGATATAACGCCTTATTACATCACTGAGACGTCTCAAAGCGCTTCACAGAATAGACTGTAAAGTGAATTGACTGTATGTTTTGTGGGCAGCCAATTGCGCACAGCAGCGTCCCCACACAGAGCGGTGAAGTGAGTGATTTTGTGCGGATATTGTTGGCGGGTACTTGTTAATAAAGTCAGCATTCGTCCAGAAAATACACAGTCAATCCACTTTACAGTAAAGTATATCCTTTAGTGCTTTAAGACGTAACAACGACGCGATAAGCCGCTATATCACACACAAGGATTATTATTATTATTATCCCTTTTGTCTCATTGATTACTTAATTGATCACCGCAAGTGGGTAACTGTAAGTTGTTGTTAGCTGTCGGCTCTGTCTGTCTGTCTGTCCGCTCCATCACTGACCCCTTTCCTGTCTCTCTTCCAGAGGCCTTCACTGCTGACCACAAGCCACTGATGGGGGAGGCGCCCGAACTGAGAGGCTTCTTCCTGGGCTGTGGCTTCAACAGCGCCGGTGAGGGGCTGGGGGGGGCCGACGAGGGGCTGGGGGGGCCAGTGAGGGACCGGGGGTGGGGGGGGTGGGGGGCAGTGAGAGACCGGTGAGGGGGAGCGGTGCTGGGGGAAGGACGAGGAACTGGGGTTGGTGGGAGGGGGTTGGAATTGGGAAGATCGGGCGATCGAGGACCCTGAGTGGGTGGATGGGGTGTTGCGGGTGGGAGTGTGAACCTCTCTTGTCTCCCCGAGGAATGATGCTGGGCGGAGGCTGTGGGAAGGAGTTGGCTCACTGGATCATTCACGGCTCCCCAGAGAAGGACATGTTTGGATATGACATCAGGTGACACAGCACAACCCCCATCCTCGTCCCCCCACTCCCGCCGGCACTTACACTCCTCCGACCCCCTCCCCCATATCCCCACCCACCCCCACTGTGTTGATTTGCTGTGAACTGGTCTCTGATGCCTTTAACCCATCCTCTCCCAGGAGGTTCCACCACTCACTGACACAAAACAACCGCTGGATCCGGGAGCGAAGTCACGAGTCTTACGCCAAGAATTACTCTGTCGTTTTCCCGCACGATGAGCCGCTGGCAGGCAGGAACATGCGGCAAGACCCTCTGCACCAGGTCAGTGCCTCCACGCCCACCCTCGCTGCAACACATCTGCAGTGCGGTGCGGTTTGGGAGCTGTGGAACTGCGGTGTTGAATGTGTTGTTGATTGCTGCAGGGTTGCAATGGATTGATGCGGTGTTATGGGCTGCGTTGGCAGCTGCATTGCTGCAGGGTTGGGTTGGCGGCTGCATTGCTGCAGAGTTGGGTTGGCGGCTGCGTTGTCGCGTGGTTGTGTGGGAAGCTGTACTGCTGCAGGGCTGTGCTGGCATCTGCATCGCTGCAGGGTTGGGTTGGCGGCCGCACCTCCGCGGGGTTGGGTTGGCGGCTGCATTGTTGCGGGTTGCCCCACGAGCCGCTTTGCCGGCTGATTGAGTTGGGCGCTGCATTGCTGCGGGGTTGTGTTGGGGGCGACAGTGTTGCGGGTTGCGTTGGGAGCTGCATCGCTGCAGTCCCACGTTACTGTAACGTAAAGCTGCTGGATTGATGACAGCAGGGAAGTGAAGCACGAGGAGCCGGTCAGCGACCCCACCGCAGCCTGTGGGTAAATGTGACATGAAGTGAAATTAAACTTTAATTGCGTTTCAAACGTCTCGACTGAAAACAGCTGTGGGGGCGAAGGGGAGGGGGTGGGGGGAGGGGGCGGGGAAGGGAACGACAGCGGGAGGAGAGGGTGGGGGTTATTCTTACTGTGTTTCTGAGCTCTCCCCACTGCAGTATATAAGGTGTGGGGTATTTGAGGGGAGCGGGGTGTGTAAGGGATGTGCTGTGTGGTTGCAGGAGCTGCTGCGGTGTGGCTGCGTGTACCAGGAGCGTCACGGTTGGGAACGGCCCGGCTGGTTTAACACAGACCAGACCGTGCCGGTGAGTAGCAGCGAGAGAGCCACAACAACCCTCCCGCTACCTGATCCGGGTGGGGGGGGGGGCGCGGTCGGGGGGCGCTGGGGGGTGGGGCGCGGTGGAGGGTTTCCAAAGGAAAGCGCAGTCGAAAAGTTAAATATGTGACCCGTTGGGGTTGAATGTGGGGGGGAGCGCGGGCGGGGGGTGGGGGGGGTTCACGTTGGAGTGACTCCAGGATGGAGGTAGAGTGGGGCTGTGGAGGGATTTGAATGTAAATACCCTATTCCTCTCTACCCGCTCTCTTGCCACCCCACTCCATCACACTCCCGCTCCCTCTCTCCCCCGCTCTCTCTCTCTCTCTCTCTCTCTCTCCCCCTGCTCACTCTCCTCCCACTCAGGCCCTCAGTCTCTCCCCCTCCCGCTCTCAGTTCACTCTCGTGTGTGGGGGAGTGAGGAGGCAGCAGGGGGTGGGTGGGGGGGTGGCTGCAGTGGTTGGTGAAACGATGTGTGTCTCAGATTTTAGATTACGATTACTACGGTAATTATGGCTACAGTCAGCACAAGGACTATCAGTACAAACAGCTGCTCAATGCGGAGTACACCTTCAAGTTCCCAGCCCACCACCACAAGGTGAGCATCATTCACCACTGCACCCTCCGCGCCCCCCACCCCCCCACACACACACACACACAAACTGCACGGGACGGGGTGATTGATTGTGGGAGTAGGAGGGAGGCAAGTTGGAGTGACTCCACGATGGAGGTAGAGTGGGGCTGTGGAAGGATTTGGATGTAAATACCTCCACACTGTTTGCCTCCCACTGCATTGCACAGCGACTCAGTTGGAGCACTCTACTCTAATCCCATTCCCCCTGCTCTCTTCCCCCATCATGTCTGCGCTGGTGCCGTAAAACCCTTTTTATGTTTGGGATTTTAAGTGTTCTAATCCCTGATAAACGACGTCACGGACTTGGCTTCAGGACACACTCTCGGCGCCAGACTGAATAACCCGGTGTAAAAATCGTTACCATTTACACAGGCACGTTCTGCACAGAGCTCGGCAGATCAGCCCATCGTGTGCGTGTGTGTGTGTGCGCGTGTGTGCGCATGTGTGTGTGTGTGTAGCGAGAAGATGTTATGTGATGTGACATGACGTGTGCTCTGCGTCACAGGTCGGGGCTGAGTGCCTGAGCTGCCGCGAGGCTGTCGCTGTCTTTGACATGTCGTATTTCGGGAAATTCTACCTGGTCGGACCGGATGCCAAGGCAGCGGCCGATTGGTTGTTTACTGCCGATGTAAGCAAGTCTCTAGGTAATGACTGAGTCTCAATTCGGGGCGGGGGGGAAATGGAGGGGAAATGTGGGGGGAATGGTGGGGGAAATGAGGTTTCTGGGCCTGGGCTTTGCGTGCTGGCTGTAGTGTTTGGGTCTGGGGGTGGGAGGAGTGGGGGGTGGCAAGGAGCCGGGGGTGGGGGATGGTGAGAATGGGGTCTGGGGTTACAGAATGGGGGTTTGGGGCTTTGGGTGAGGTGGGGGGTGATAGTGTGCTGGTGATGCCAGTAACCGGGTTGGTGTGCGTGTGTGTGTCTAGGTTCCACGGTGTACACGTGTATGCTGAACAGCCGGGGCGGCACAGAGTGTGATCTGACTGTCAGCCGCCTCCAGCCCCCGGCACAGCCCTCGGCACTGGCCCCCGCCTTCCAAGGTAATTATCAAGCCACGGAATCGGTCACACACTCAAAGGCATATACTGAGCAGCGAGCAGTGGGAGACAGGACAGAGCCCGCCATTTCAGTGTTGCCCATTAATAACCCAAGTGTCTCCTGCTTGGCTGACCTTCCAGTGGGCGCTGGAAGGGTGGTGGGGGTGGTTAAGCTGGTGGGGGTGGGTACAGTGTGGAGGGCAGGCCTGAGGTGCGGGTGGTCTTAAGTTCAGCAAACCAATGATCGGCAAACGAAATAATAATTCTTGCGTTTCTCACATTATTGAGACGTCTCAAAGCGCTTCCCAGCATATACCGTAAAAAAAGTGTAGTGACTGTATTTTGTGGGCGAAACGCAAACACCCATGGAGTGAGTGACCAATGTATACACAGTCACTATGCTTTAGAGTACATCCTGTGAAGATGTCCTCCCGACGTGATAAGGCGCCACAACAAACGTAAGGATCATTTATTACTATTAAATGACACGTAAACGCAGTATGTGTGGGGCTCAGAGCGGGAGCGAGAGGCCCACTTCCCCTGGCGAGGCCTGTTTAAGGACTTGAGAGCCAGGGCCTCATGAGCAGAACAGGTAATAGATGGGTCCGGGCGGCGGAGAAGGTCAGACTGAAAAGTGATTTGATTTGATTGTGTTAAGGCAGAAAGACGGCCTCCGTTATCAGCCGGTGATGGACTGGCTGGGCTTACGCTAACTCGATTGAGCTGCCTCTCGCCTGGAAGGCCTAAGGCCACTGCGCAGTTAATGGGCTGGCTTTCACTTTTTCATCTCTTAAAGATCCATTAGCCCCCAGTAATCTGGTTACACCGACATTGAGAGACTGAGTAACACGGTGACAGGCCCCTGCGCGGTCCTCACTTTGTCCTGGCGAGACGGCGAGGGAGTCTGGCACCCTGGCTCAGTGGTATCTCTCTCACCTCCCGAGTCAGATGGTTGTGAGTTCAAGCCCAGCATCAGGACTTGGAATCACATAGTCTAAGCTGACGCTCCAATGCGATGCTGGGGACGCACTGCACTGTCGGAGGTGCCGTCCTTCGGATGAGATGTTAAACCGAGGTTCCCGTCTGCCTGTTCAGGTGGACGTTAAAAGATCCCGTGGCGCTGTTCGAAAATAGAAGGGCGTCTCTCTCTCTCTCTCTCCTGACGTCCTGGCCAACAATCCACTAAATAAAATTGGTCGCTCACTCGTTGTTTGTGGGACGTTGATGCGCGCAAACTGGCTGCCGGTTTCACCCACAAAAATACACAGTCACTCCACTTTACAGTGCATCCTGTGAAGAGCTTTGAGATGTCTCGATGACGCGATAAGGTGCTATATTAAATGCGAGGATTATTATTATTATTTTGTTTGCCTATCATCGATTTGCTGAACCTTAAGACTACCCATAGCCCGAGCCTGGCCCCCAAATGAGGTTAGCTGAGACAGGAGACACGATAATTGACGACATGATAAGGCGCTATATCAAATGCGAGGATTATTTTTCTGGCGTCTTTGATCTGTGCAGGTGATGGGTATTACCTGGCAGTGGGAGGGGCAGTGGCCCAGCACAGCTGGTCGCACATTACCAGTGTTCTGCAGGACAGAGGGTATAACTGCCGGCTGATTGACTTCTCCGAGGAGCTGGGCATGATCAGCATCCAGGGACCCAAGAGGTAAGAGGCCTTCATCACAGGGCACAGAGCATGGGAGAAACGCCCAGCAGCCTGACTCTGCACATCAGTTAATGTTCACCCCCACCCCCCACCATCCCCCATGGCTGTTAATGTCTGTAGCCCATCACACCCCAGTCCTCGCCAGGCTCCACTGGCTCCCTATCACAGAATGGATCGATTTCAAGATCCTCTCACTCGTCTATAAATCCCTTCATGTCCTGGAACCTCCCTACCTCTCCAACCTGCTTAAACCCCACCCCACCCCAGTCCACCACCCACCGCCTCCACTCCGCTGGCTCCAGCTTCCTCCTTGTCACTCATCCCCTCCGCTCCACCAACGACGGCCATGCTTTCAACCTGAAACTCTGGAACTCTCTCCCTCAATCCCTCTGCCTTGCCCCCTCCTACACCCATTTTCAGATCAAGTCTGAAGACCTTCCTCTTCTATAGTGCTTAGGATCACCTCCACCCTCTCCAACACCCCCCCCCCAGCTCAGGATCAGGCTCCACCACTGTTAAGCGCCCCGAGACGCTGCTCCATGTGACGGGCTCTGTATAAATGCAAGTTGTTGTTGTGGCAAGTTGTGGCCGCAGATTGACTGGGGCACAGTTTGCCTGCGAAACACACAGTCACTGCACTGTGCAGCACGGTGAGGCGAGGGCCTGTGGTGAGGGAGAGTGAGGGCAGAAAGAGGAGGCTTCTGGCTCTGACCGCCTGCTCTGATTGACAGCCGGGAGCTGCTGCAGGAGGTGCTCGACACTGATCTCAGCAACGAGGCCTTTCCCTTCTCAACACACCAGCTTGTCAAAGCCGCCGGGCACATGGTGAGTGACACACGGTGACACATGGTGAGTGACCGTCTGTCTGGGCAGTCGGTCAGGACCCACTTTGTGAAAACACTAGCAAACTGACCTTGCACCGTCACACAGTGAGTCAGCCCGACCCTGTATCTCTACACTGGGAAACTCACTGTGAGCAAACTCAACATCGTTCTTTGGGCTGATATCACACTGTGGGTGATTGTGTATCTGTGTCAGTGAGAGCGTGTGAGTGAGAGAGTGTGTAAGTGTGTGTGTGTGTGTGTGTGGGTGTGCTCGTGAATAAATGAGTGTTTGTGAATGAGTATGTGAGACTGTGTCTGTGTGTGAGTGAGCGTATGTGAGAATTTGTGAGCGTGTGTGTGAGCGAGCCTGTGTGTGGGTGAGCGAGCCTGTGTGTGGGTGAGCGAGCCTGTGTGTGAGTGAGCGAGCCTGTGTGTGGGTGAGCGAGCCTGTGTGTGGGTGTGTGCGAGCATTTGTGAGTGTGATGAGTGAGTAATGGTGCTGTGTCTCCCCCAGGTGCGAGCTATGAGGCTGTCCTTTGTGGGGGAACTGGGTTGGGAGTTGCACATTCCCCGGGAAGCCTGCGTACCGGTGTACCGCGCAGTGATGGAGGCGGGCGCCAAGCACGGCATCGTGAACGCTGGTTACAGGGCCATCGACTCCCTCAGCATAGAGAAAGGTAAGACTGTGAGTGAGCGAGTGAGCGAGTGAGTGAGCGAGTATGAAAGTGTGAGGCTTCCTGTCCCTACATACAGCCAGCAGCCTGCACTGAAAGGCATGCGGCCACCAGACACCATCTGATAGTGTCTGTCTGTGTGTCCGTCCCAGTGAATGAGAGTGTCTGTGTGTGAGTATGTGAGTGTATGTGCCTGTACGTGTGTGTATTTGTCTGCGGGCGAGTATGTGAGTGTATATGTGCATGTGAGTGTACGTGTTTGTGTGTGAGTCTGTGAGTATATGTGAAAGAGTCTGTGAGATTGTATGTGAGATGTGTGTGAGTCTATATTAAAATATATATGTGTGTGTGTGTGTGTGTGTGATAAGGTGTCTATGGGGGTGAGTGTGAGGCCGGTTGGGGAGAGTGGGCAGTAATGGGCTGTGCTGTGTGGGGGGCAGTGGCGGGCTGCGCTGTGTGGGGTGTAGTGACCGGCTGTGCTGTGTGGGGGTCAGTGACGGGCTGTGCTGTGTGGGGGGCAGTGACGGGCTGTGCTGTGTGGGGGTCAATGACAGGCTGTGCTGTGTGGGGGTCAGTGACGGGCTGTGCTGTGTGGGGGTCAGTGACAGGCTGTGCTGTGTGGGGGTCAGTGGCGGACTGGGCTGTACGGGGGTCAGTGGCGAGCTGTGCTGTGTGGGGGGCAGTGACGGGCTGTGCTGTGTGGGGGGCAGTGACGGGCTGTGCTGTGTGGGGGTCAGTGGCGGGCTGTGCTGTGTGGGGGTCAGTGGCGGGCTGTGCTGTGTGGGGGGCAGTGACGGGCTGTGCTGTGTGGGGTCAGTGGCGGGCTGTGCTGTGTGGGGGGCAGTGACGGGCTGTGCTGTGTGGGGGTCAGTGACAGGCTGTGCTGTGTGGGGGTCAGTGGCGGACTGGGCTGTGTGGGGGTCAGTGGCGGGCTGTGCTGTGTGGGGGGCAGTGACAGGCTGTGCTGTGTGGGGGTCAGTGGCGGACTGGGCTGTACGGGGGTCAGTGGCGGGCTGTGCTGTGTGGGGGGCAGTGACGGGCTGTGCTGGGTTACAGGGTACCGACACTGGCACGCTGACCTTCGCTCTGACGATACGCCGCTGGAGGCAGGGCTGGCCTTCACCTGTAAACTGAAGTCCCCGACGCCGTTCCTGGGCCGCGAGGCGCTACAGAGGCAGCGAGAGTCGGGGCTGTACAAGCGGCTTGTGTGCTTCACCATCGACGAGTGAGTATGGGGGATCAAGTGGGGGGGGGGGGTTACTGGGTGGGGGAGGGGACTGGGCAACGGGAGGATCTGGGTAGGGTTTGGGGGGGCGGCGGGGGGGGGGTCTATAACTGCAGGACCACCCGACCACAGCAGGGCTTTGTAGGAAGGGCCCTGTGGGGCAGAGCAGTGCAGGGATGGGGCAGTGGAGTGGGGCAAAGTGGGGGCAGGGCGGGGCAATGTGGGGGGTTGGGGCAGTATGGGGGCGAGGTTGGGGCAGTGTGGAGGCAGGTTTGGGGCAAAGTGGGGGCCGGGCCAGTGTGGGGGTGTTGGGATTTCCGGTCCCAAGGTTCAAATAATGACCCGACAATCCAATTAAGGTGTAATAGAGATTTATCAATCAAAGTAACACATACAAAACTAGTAAAATAATACTGCCACGACAAGTAACAGAACATATACTACCAGTTTTGGAGCAGTCAGTCAGTTGCGATGGTTTCAGCACACCTTCTCTGGTGTGGCTGTCCTCTTTGTCCTGCTGGATCTGCTGCCTTATTTGCCTAAAGTCAGGATAGTTACACTTTTTTCCACCTAAGGATCTTCCCCCCTTCTTCTCCAGTCAAGCATCTTAGAACGTACACAACGTACTCGACCCTTGCACATCTTTGCACCCATATCTTCTAGATAAGCAGACCCTTTTGAGGCAAAGCAGCTTGCTCATTATCAACACAGGACATCGTGCTTTTCCCTTCCAAGGCCGGAGCCTGTCTCTGTCTGGTAGAAACATTTAACGTGATCAGCATATGTTCACAGAATACTGAGCAGCTTTACTTAGGTGAGCTCATGGAATGAGCCCAATTTCTTGGGCCCTTCTTGAAGCTTGTTCTATGCCTTCTCTCACCATCACAACTGACTGACCGTTGGCTTTTCAGAACCAGGATGGTTTATTCTGCCAATTCCTAAAATGTTAGTAAAACAGTTTCTTTCTCCCCTGTTTCCTACCGCCATGCATATATGGGTATTGATATACACACTATTAATTCTTCTATTGCTCTTTTTACAAACTATATTAAAATCAACCTTTTCTAACGGGCGGGGCAGTATGGGGGCAGGGTTGGGGCAGTGTGGGGTTGGGGCAGTGTGGGATTGGGGCAGTGTGGGGTTGGGGCAGTGCGGGGTTGAGGCCAGGGCTAACCTGACTGTGGCATGGGGTAACCTGTCGGGACCGGTTGTGCAGGAAGGTGCCGATGTTCGGGCTGGAGGGAATCTGGAGGAACGGCCAGGCTGTGGGTCACCTCCGCAGGGCAGACTTCGCCTTCGCTCTGGATAAGACGCTGGGTTACGGATACATCAGCAACCCTCAGTGTGGAGTGGTGAGTCCAGCCCCAACCCCACACTCTCCCCGCTCTCACTGCCCCACCCCACACTCTCCCCGCTCTCACTGCCCCACCCCACACTCCTGCACTGCACCCATGTGTGTGAGTGTGTGCAGGAGTGAATGTGTGTGTATGTGTGTGTGTGTGCAGGGTGGGGGGGAATATGTGGGGGGAGTTGGGAGTGTGTGCAGCCTCTCGTAACCCCCCACCCCCTCCACACACTATGCTTTCTCTCCAGGTGACGCCTGACTATGTTCGGAGTGGGGAATACTCTTTGGAGAGGATGGGGGTCCGGTACCCGGCACAAGCCCATCTCAAGTCTCCCTTCGACCCCAGCAACAAGCGAGTGAAGGGGATTTACTGAGGCTGAGCAGGAAGCCATCCTGGCCTGTTCCTGCTCCGGGATCCGGAATCCGGGAATGCCAGAAGCAGCTAAAGTCCGGATGTTTAATTAGGTTTAATTCCAACCCTCCCTCCTGGTTTTGTGTAGAGTTAAGGTTAGGGTTAGGGACTCGCCAATAGCTGGGACTGGGAATGGGGTCCCAATAGCTGGGACTGGGAATGGGGTGCTGATTTCCGTCTCTCCCACTCAGGACCAGGGAGCGACTCAATGTTTACACCAAATCAGGTGCTGATTTCATGGGAACTCTGTCTTTAATGAGACGTCAGAGAGTCCATGCCCCTAAATCCCTCTCCAGCCTCGGGTTTGGACACAATCATCTGTAATTTGTTCATTCAGAAATGGAAGATCTTTATATAATAACGGGTCAGTCTGTCAATAACAAATTGTATTTATCTAACCTTTCATATAGGGAGGACGTCCCAAGCCGCTGAAGTAGGGTTATAACCTATACAATGTCTTGTGTGTTACGTGATGTGTTACCGTGAGGCTGGTGCAGGTGAATGCCGGGTCGTGGGATATAACATTGTTTGTTACAAGGTCTGGTGCAGGGGCTGCATGTAATTTCATTGCAAGTTACTCGGCGTCTTACAGGACTGCATGTAATGCCAATGCGCTAGGTTTGGTGTTAGAAAGGTCCATTTTGTTGTTACTGTGTTTTACGTTGGGTGTTACAGGGTTACAAGTCGTGCCATTGTGTGTTATGCCATGTGTAATGGTACGTCACAGGTCTGTATTATGTCAAGTGTATGTATTATATATAGTATGTATGTATCATACATGTATGTATGACCCTCCTCTTCTCTCAAGACTGAAGAGCTCAGCAATTATCTAATCGCTGCTCATAGATCATTCCCCTTAACACTGGAGAACAGCCTCGTTGCTCTCCTCTGCACCACCTCTAGGCCTGGGCAGCCCCCTTGACCAGAGCTGTGTGCAGTATTCAATGTGCGGCCTGACCAGAGCTGTACAGGTTGAATTTGACGTCTAGGGATCTTTATCCAACTGATTAAGCAATGTAGCCCAGCATCCTGCGTGCCCTCACAATGTTTTGACATAATGAGCGACGAGTCGGTTAACACCCCGAGATCTCTTCCAGAATCCCCCTTGAATCCTAGAAAGTACAGTACAAGAGGCCAGTCAACCATTCTGTCTGTGCTGGAGCTCGCTCCACACTGGAGCTCTCCACTCTAATCCCAATCCCTGCTGCTTCCCCATTGTGTCTTTGCTGGGGGTCGCTCCCCACTGGAGCTCTCTACTCTAATCCCATTCCCTGCTGTTTCCCCATTGTGTCTTTGCTGGGGGTCGCTCCCCACTGGAGCTCTCTACTCTAATCCCATTCCCTGCTGTTTCCCCATTGTGTCTTTGCTGGGGGTCGCTCCACACTGGAGCTCTTGGCTCTAATCTTATTTTCTGTTCCCTGTTTTTAAATGTCAGTATATCCAACTTCCCTTTAAACACGGTGTTAGCCTCAGATCTGGTGCCTTTTGTGATAACGGATTCCATGCACTAACAATGCTTGCATGTCTTCCATCCCCCGCCTTCCACCCTCCTGATAATCCTCAATTTCCATCCTCTTGGCACTGATTCGAAACAAGGCACTTTCAGATATTATTCTGAACTCTTTAACAGAAACAAAAAGCAGCAGGAAGGGATTGGAGTGTGGCGAGCCTCCCACACAATGATCATTAATAAGCGGAGAAGCTAATAATAATAATGATGCTCATAGCTACAGTGTCCCATAGCTAATAAATAGTGGTTAGAGCACTTGCCTCGCAAGATTGAGCACCTGGATTTGATTCTCGGGCTGGACAAAACCTTAGGCAAGTTTCCTTACTCCACACGCAGTAAGTAGGAACCCGGTTGTTTGTTGATTGGCGGATTGCTTTCTGAGAGTAATAATCTCTTCAAAAAAAAGTGGTCACTCAATCCACGACTCTTTGTGGGATATTGCTGCATACAATTGACTGCCGTGGTTTTTTTTTGGGGGGGGGGATTTCTTAGCCAGGACACCGGGAGAGAGAAACTTCCTTCTCTTTTCGAATAGCGCCGTGGAATCTTTAACGTCCACCTGAACGAGGAGATGTTACCTAAGTTTAACGTCTCATCCAAAGGCAGACATGACCAACAATGCAGGGCTCCCCTCCCCAGCACTGCATTGGGGCGTTAACTTAGACTATGTGATTCCAAATTCTGACGTGGGGGCTTGAACCCATGATCTTCTGACTCTTGAGGCGAGAGTGCTACCACCACGCCAAGCTGACACATAATCAGCCTCATCACAGCCAATCTCCACTGTCCCCTCTCTCCATGGCTGAGGCTGTTCTGTCGTGACCAGGCTGGATATGTTACTCCACGCAGATCACCTACTGCCTCTTGCAGTCACTGTCCTGACACACTGCTCTGTGAGGAGCTCTGCTCCATGAGGTTTGAGGTCCTCCCAACGTGAAAGGCGCTATACAAGTGTAATCTTCTTGTTGTTATCAGGGATCCTGGAATCTTAGCAGGTCAGACTCACGCAGACTCCTGGTGCGGAGAAAGTCAGTGGTCAGAGACCAGACACTGTGTGTTACATGCCTCCTCTGGGTCCCATGTCACAGTGGTGTGTCACACACGCCTCCTCTGACTATGGATTGACTACACATTCCCTTTTGAATGGCAGCCCAAACCAAACCAGTGTTATAAAACACCCGGTAATGTGATAAACACCCAGTGATGTAATAAACACCCATTAATGTAATAAACCCTGCTTTTAACTACAATAATATTGTGATTTTATTTATTCCATGTTCCAGGCAATGTCTGGCAGTGTATGTGTATGTGTAACTGGCTCAGTGAATGCGTGTGTATACCTGGTTGCATATAATCTTCTCTCCCCATACCTCTGGTTTAATTTCCATTTTGTAACTCACTTCCCAGGGACACATTATTCTATATACACCCCCACCCTCCCCACCCACCTCCAAACCCTGGGATTAGACTCCAAGCCTGTAGCTCACTCCCTGTTCTCTGGTTCTGTATGAAGCTTGCGAATGTTGGAATGATTAGTAAAATTGCTGGATTAGTCATCGTGCTGTGTGGTGCGTAGCTGCGTGCAGTGTTTGCTGTCTGAATCTCAGTTGCTATTTGTGTGAGTGAGTGGGTGTCTGTGTGGGAAGGGGTTCAGGTGAAGAACGTAACTGTGCATGTTGTAAAGGAGAGATAGCACACAGTAAAACCACCTCACTGCCTCCCAGCTTGGCTCGGCACACAGCTCAACGTTTATTTCAAAGGATTTGCAACGTACAAATCGGAAACAGAGATTTCAGGCTGATCGGTGGGTAAAACACAAGTGAGAGGACTGGCACATCGGTGAGTGGGTTCCCGGCACAGATTGGTGACTGCCCATTGCTCCCTGGCACAGTTTGGTGAGTGCTGGTGATTCCCAGGCACAGATGGAGGATTGGTTGTGTTTGTTGTTACACAGAGCGGGTGAACGAGATGAATATTGGGTGGAGAACAGAACAGGAGTGTGTAACGGTTACTATGGAAATGTCAGTGTGATTCGCTTTGTGTTAAAACCTTCATTAATCCGAAGCGTCTTCTCAGAGTGCGAACTGAAGCTTCCGAAATTATCACAATGAGTGTGGAACAAGTCGAGCATTCCTGACATTCCGGTATTCCAGTCACTCAGTAATTCCAGTCGCTCTGGTCACTACAGTGATTCCGGTCATTGCAGTCGTTCCGGTAAATCCTGCTGCGTCCGGTATTCCGGTCACTCCAGTATTCCGGTCGCTCTGAGAATTCCGATGGCTCTGGTATTCCGGTCATTCCAGTGTTCTGTTCACTACGGTATTCCAGTCTCTCCGGGAATTCTGGCAGCTCCGGTATTCCAGTCGCTCTGAGAACTCCGGTGACTCCAGACCTTTAGTTACTGAAGGTGCGGCTGATGGCCTGGACCAGGCCTGGTGACGCGGGGGGCGGGCGAGGGGCAGCGGCACAGAGAGGCCGTGGCTCTGGCAGCACCGAGGAGATCACCGGCAGAGGCTGCCGTTCCCAGTTTCCCTGAAAACAATTGAAAACTAAAGTTTGTTCCTACGGGAAAGCCTCTGAGCCTCAAACTGCACAGAGAGAAATGTCCTCAGTGTGAGGGGGATCTCACCGACTCACAGACCAGTAGGAAGCTTTTCTCCGTTTACAATAATAATACTAATCCTTGCATTTGATACAGCGCCTTATCACGTCATTGAAGCGTCTCAAAGCGCTTCACAGAATATACTGGAAAGTGAATTAACTGTACATTGTGTGGTTGAAACGCGGCAGCCAATTGCGCACAGCAGCGTCCCACAAACAGTCGTGGATTGAGTGACCAAATTATTATTATTTTTTGGCAGGGATTATTACCCTTTAAATTATCAATTGTTAAATTGACATGGTTTCAAACCCTCAGAGTTCTGGACACCTCAGCCAGGTCTCCTCGCAGCTTTCTCTGTTCCAATAAAAATACAACCTCAGTTTCTCCTCAAGATCAGTTAGGACCGATCGCTAACGTTCACTGTGCTCATAAATGATCTGGACTCAGATATAATAATAATAATAATCCTTGGGATGTCCTCCCGACGTGAAAGGCGCTATACAAATGTAATCTTGTTGTTGTTGTTGATATAGCGTCTTATCCTGTCATTGAGATGTCTCAAAGTCCTTACAGACTACATTGTAAAGTGGAGTGACTGTGTATTTTGTGGGTTAAATATATAGATATAGGAGGATCTCGGTTTATTGCCTCGTCTGAATGTCTCACACCTACCCCACTCCCCAAGTACAGAAGTCCAGAACGTCTGACAATGCAGTGCTTTCCATTTGAGTGCAAGCCCCATATCCCTTAATACCCTGACCTAACAAATATCTATCCACCTCAGTCTTGAAGATGTGAATGGATCCAGGATCCACAGCCTTTTGTGGGAGAGAATTCCAGATTTTCATTACCCTGTGGGTGAAAAACTGCCTCCAAATTTCACTCCGAATATGGGTGGATGTTAATATGTTGTTTCTACTTGTTGGTGACTCTGTTAGAAGGTGACATAAACGAGAGACAGCAGCAGATCTAACGGGGAGTTTAGGAGGAACTTCTTCACACTTCACACTAATGAAGGTGATGGTGAGAATGTGAACTCACTGCCGAGAGCTACGGTTGAAGCAGAAATCATCAAAGTATTTCGGGGGAAACTTGAGACATTCGGAGAGAAGGGGAATAGAGGGGTGGAGGCTTGTGTGGAATATAATCGCTGGCACGGACTAGTAGGTCTTGGGGAGTGGGGAAGGCGTGAGCAGGGAATTGATAGTGATGAGCGGGGAGGGGAGTGGGTAGTGAGCAGGGAGTAGTAGTGAGCAGGGACGAGCAGCGAGCGTGCACTTACCGGGAAACGAACTGCGGAGGAGCGGTTGCAGTCCATGGAGATGGGGGCGGAGGCATACAGGAGGCGGAGCACGTGTTTGCTGAAGGAATCCCAGGACACGGCCTGGAACTGTTGGGACACCGGCTCCGAGGGGCAGCTACACACACTGTCCTCAGCCAGACTGCAGGACAGGGACACAACACGCAGCCTCTCAGCATTTAGTTTGGGACACACGGGGAAACTCATCACCATGATTAAGAGTCCCCAAATCACACTGAGAATTCCATGCATCCCACCTACACATGGAGGTTTCAGAGATAGATTGTTGGAATGGAAATGCACACTCTTTCCCTGGGGGGACGCATACTGCAAAGGTTTAGGCGCAAGTTGGCAAGTGCCAAGGCTTGCGAACCCCAGAGCTTGCACTGGAGGTAACTGCTGGAGTCTAACCAGATAAAAATGGTGTGGCAATGAGAGCATTGTCTGGCAAGCTTTCCCACTGCTTGCCCAGCTCGGACCACCTTACCCGTTAGGGCTTTGGCTTGCAGGATTAACAAGAACAGAGTGGGAGGATTCCCTGCCCGCAGGGACTGGTCTGAGAGCTGGACTCCGACAGGATGGGGAGCATCGAGCAGGGAGGAGAGATTAAAGGCAGTCCCACAAAATCGTGGCCTAAGTTTTTTCATAGGATTTTGGAGAGAGGGAGAGAGGAGCGAGGCAAAGGGAATTTGGGAAAGAGAGTGAGTGAAGAACAAGGGACAGACTGGTTGGAGTCTGGGTGGGGTGAAGGGGTTGGAGGAGATTGGGATCCAGTGAAGACCTGATGAGAAGTGAGCCTATTCGTCAAAATATCTCAAGTGGGTCACAAGTCATCACTTTGAAGGAAGCAGATTCCATAGTAGCTTTCAAAAGGATTGGATATGTACTTTAAAAGGATCAATTTGCAGGGTTACGGGGGTTAAAGGTGGTGAGGGGGGTGGAGTGGGACTGGTTGGATTGTTCGAAGAGCAGGCACCGGCACGATGGGACGAATGGCCTCTTTCTGTGGTGTAAGATTCTAGGATTCTAGGATCTTTAATGTCCACCTGAACAGGCGCAGATTGTTGGCTAGGGAACTTGGTTTAACGTCACCTGTTGATGAAGCGGAAGTATTTTTGCAGCGAGTCTGGGTCCACGGCACTCTTACACAACTCCAGCTTGCTCTGAGGATAGTAGTGCACGTAATTCACACACATCTCCTCCTGGATCCCAAAACCGCCCTGAATCAGAGAAGCCGAGAGAGGTTGAGAAACTGGTGACATTGCCCCAATCCCAGATCCTGAATCCCTCCTATCTGACCCCCCGCACCCCCCACATCAGACCTCCAGCCCCCGACTCGCAGCCCTGATTCCCAACCCCGACACGTTATCCCCATCTACTGACCCTCAACCCCTGCGCACTGCCAGCCTCTCTCAGGGTGGGGAGGCTCAGGAGACCAGGAGCAGGGAAGCACTCAGGGCACTCAGGCCACCTGTAGCCTCAACTACTGTTCCCCCTATCCCCCCAACCCCGACTAAGATCAGCAACTCAAGCGCAGTGCAGAGACAGAGCGGAGATGTAACTATATGTACAAGACCCACCCACACCCCCAACCTCAAGCTCACTCCCCAAACCCCACTCCCACCAGCACTCCAACCTTGATCCCCACATCAAATCCCGCCCCCCCCACACCACTGTGGCTCAGCGCCTGCCTCCTCCCCCACTAGCTGTGGACCAGGAGGGGCGAAGTGGGGTGGGGGTTCCTTACCAGGGTGATGTGTGTGCGAGCACTGGTGCTGTACGTACACGATGTTATCAGCACGTCTCCCTGTCCGGCGAGCATGGGTGGGGGGGTGTGGGGAGGAGAGCAGAGAGCAGTGAGCTGTGTTACACACATCAATAAACTGGAAAAATCAGCTTTAGTTTACAAGAAGTAACCATAGAGCATGAGTGTGTGCGTGTAAAGCTGGTAATTGTGTACAGCGCAGGCCTGGGGTGTTTTGGGGTCAGTCGGGTGTCTGACACGTGCAGAAACCCATCACCGTGAACGCTTAAGAGTATCCAAAGCAAACTGAGAATTCCACGCATCCTGCACATGGAAATCCCTAAAATAAATTGTTGGAATGGAATGAGCACTCCCTCTTTCTCTCTCTCTCTCCCCCCCCGGAGGGATGCATCCAGTTTACCTAATTCCGCAAAGTCTTAGGCGCAGGTTGGCAAGAGCAAAGGCTTTGGGGGAGCCCAGAGTGTGGGCTGGAATAACTGCTGGAGTCTAACCAGCTAAACCTGCATAGCTCGGCATTGATATCGCTGTGCAAGGCTGGTAAACGTGTAAAAGATGAGGCTCCACGGCGCTCGGGTGATACTCACCGGACGGACTGTGACCTCCGACTTTAACATGCGGATCTCCTGAACGCAAAGTAAATGAAGTAAAGTTAGGGCATCGAGTGTTGGAACTGATTTCATATCATCCTCTTAAAGGGGATTAACAGAAATGTCAATTACTTAGCGCAAGGCATCTCAGCCAGTGACAGATCCCAGTGAGTCAGAATTCCCTCCCTCCATCCCGCCATCTTGCCTTTCGCTATCTGTCTTTAAATCCCGCTTAAAAACCTACCTTTTTGACCGCACCTACAGTCACTTCCCCACTCCTCTCCCTTGCTGGTCTTTGTGACCCATTCTGAGACGTTATTCTTTGTGGAGACCTATGGCGTAGTGGTTAGCGTGCCGTGTTTCGCCCACAAAATACACCATCAATCCACTTTACATTATATTCTGTCAAGCGTTTGAGATGTCTCAATGACCTCAAAGGTGGATAAGGAACAATCTCAAGTGCCAGGATTATTATTATTATATCCCATGCGAAGGCGCTCTTTGACTCCGGCTCGTTTTTGGTGCCCGCTGACCGGCATCTGGCTGAGAGGACAACCGGCTACGGAGACCTGCCTGGAAGTGGGTGCTGTAATGTGTGTCGGCGTTCACCACCTGCACTTGCACCCCGTTCCGGACCAGCACTGTCTGCACCTCCGTCCCCGCCAGGTGCGTGTGCAGCTGTGAGGCAAAGATGTGGATTCCAGATGGCGGGAGAGTCTGGTGAGAACAAAGCACAAAGCAACAAGGCCTGAGTAACTCAAACGCCAGAACTCACCTCGCCCCCTCCCTTACCTCCTTCAAGGCCTGTCTCAAGACTTCTTTTCGACTGTGCTTTCGGGTCACTCACTTGCCCCCACCCCCCCTGCCCTCCACTTCTCCTGATCCCAACCCTCAGCTCGGGTCCAAATCCCTGACTGTCCAGTTGCCTTGGGACGTCCTCCTGACCTGAAGGTGCAATACAAATGTAATTTGCTGTTGTTGTAGTGACACTGAAAAAGGGGCGGTGGGGGCCTTGATATATAATAATAATATAAAAATAATCCTTGTGTTTGATATAGCACCTTTCATGTTCGGAGGATGTCCCAAAGTGCTTCCTAGGATATACTGTAAGGTGTAGTGACTGTGTGAGTGAGTGAGTGAGTGAGTGAGTGAGTGAGTGAGTGAGTGAGTGAGTGAGTGAGTGATTGATTGATTGATTGATTGATTGAATCTGGGGGATTGTTAGCCAGGACACCGGGAGAGAGAAACTCCTTTCTTTTATTGAATAGTGCCGTGGAATCTTTATCGTTCACCTGTAAAGGCAGACAGGACCTTGGTTAAACGTCCCATCTGAAGGACGGCACCTCCGACAATGCAAACCCCTCCCCACCTCCATTACTGCGTTGGAGTGTCAGTCTAGCCCAGCCTAACCCAACCCAGCCCAGCCCTGCCCACCCAGGGCAATGCTCACCTGCTGGGTGCACTGTGCTGTGCAGTACCCAGTCAGCACCCAGGAAGCCTCGTGCGGTGGGATTGCCATCAGGGGTGTGTAGACCAGCCCCAGCTCCATGATGCCCGCGTCATAGCGGCGTAATGTGGGCGTGTAGTGCAGGCGGATCCCAGAGGAGTCCCTGCGGCCTGGGAACAAGACACAGCAACAACAACAACAAGATTCCATTTATTGAGCGCCTTTCACGTCGGGACGACGTCCCAAGGCGCTGTACAGTTGGGTCAGGACCCGAGCATTGGGGGGAAATGGTCAGGGTGAGGGGAGGGAAGGGAGGGAGAGAGGAGGGGGGAAATGGTGAGGGGAGGGAAGGGAGGGAGCGAGGAGGGGGTAGAGAGTCGAGAGTGGAGCTGAAGGCACGGTCAAAGAGAAAGGTCTTGAGACCGGCCTTGAAGGAGGAAAGGGAAGAGGCGGCGAAGGCACTGGGGGATAGAGTTCCAGAGCCTCGGGGCTGAGAGGCTGAAGGCCCGGCCACCGATGGTAGGGTGGTTGGGGCGGGTGATGTGGAGCAGACCGGAGCCAGAGGAACGGAGGGCACGGGCAGGTAGGTAGGGGGATAGTAGGTCGGAGAGGTAGGAGGGAGCGACGCTGTGAATGGCCTTGTAGGTGAGGATCTTGAATTCGATCCTCTGGGGGATGGGGAGCCAGTGGAGGCGAGCGAGGGTGGGAGTGATGTGGTCGCGGTGTCTGGTGCGGGACAGTACACGAGCTGCAGAGTTCTGAATGACCTGCAGTGTGGAGGGAGGGCCGGGAAGGCCGACGAGGAGAGAGTTCCCATCGTCCCATAGTCCCATAGCAGGCGGGAGACTGGCTGTTAATAGGCAGAGCGCGGTGCTGGCCCAGCGCAGGCGTTACACAGGGGTCACACAGACTTACCGCGTAGCAGCAGAGGGTTGTGGTAATGAACCTCCAGACGTAAGTACCGGGAGGAATTCGGCCCACCGATAACGAGCCCGGCCTCAGCAGGATAATAAAACGGCTACAACGGCCATGAAACTGGTTAGTGTATCAGTGACCCCCCCCCCCCCCCCACACCACTCCCATCACGGACCACCCCCACCCTCCCCGTCACTTACACTGTCACTGACTCTCCCCCACTCTGTCATTGACTGTTGTTCCCCTCTCACTTTGTTGCTGACCCAGTTTGTCACTAACTCTCCCTGCTCTCTCACTGACCTTTGAACCCCCTTTGCCCGCTCCATCGCTGACCTTTGCCCCCCGCCCCCGCCTTGCATGCGCTGTCACTGACCTTTGACCCTCCCAGACTCTCCTCCATCACTGTGACCTTTGGCCTCTCCTTGCTCCAACCAAAGCATTGGCCTTTGACGTCTCTTGGCCCGCCCCATTACTGACCTTTGCCCCCATGGCCCAGGCGGCCAGGACGTGACGACAGGAGTTCAGACGCCCCGGCTTCATCTTGGAGTCGCACGGCCCACTGTAGGCTGGGATCGTGTCAAACTCTGCAGCGCACTGGAACACCTCCATGTGGTGCACCAGAGCCTCGTTCCCCTTCACCACCACCGGCTCGTACTGAGGAAGGCAAACAAGACCTCACAAGGTCACGGGGCCACAGTCTGGATGAAGGAGGCCCTTCGGCCCATCCGATCTCATCCCCGCTCCAGACACCCATCCTAACGTTCCCCCCATCACAGCGTTGAGCTGCTTTTTAATTGAGTCCCAGTGTCCTGGCCTCAACCACCCTTCCTGGCAACTCTGTTCCAGTTGTTAATTATGCCCCGAGTAAAGATTAATGGTGGGTGAGGGAGTGAGTCCAAGCCTTGGGTGACCATACATCCCCGATTTCCATGGACAGTTCCCCGGAAGGGCTATTGTGTCCCTGGGGCCAAAATTTGCCCTGCCTTGAGTTCATCGACCATCTGAGCAAGAACAATCACAGTCTAAACCAGATCCGATCATCAAAGACAGAAATGCAGCCATTAATCCAACAAGCTTCTCCAGGAACTGTATTGCCAGTTTCAGCAATTGTGGTGAGTTCAGTTTTTTTAATATATGTGTCCCCGGAATTGGTTTACAAAATATAACCCACCCCAAGCCTCTGTTTGTGTGCGTGTGTGTGTGTGTGCGCGCGTGTGTGTAGGGATGTTCCTGTGGGTGTCTATTATACTGGGGATAAGGCTTTCCACCCAAACTCACTGCGGCTAATGAGCACAGTCTCATCCTTAGCCTCAGGCTGAGATACAGAATGTAATAATAACCATGGCTGAGGGTACATCCATTATGTGGAGAGACTAGAGAGGCTGGGATTGTTCTCCTTAGAGGAGAGAAGGTTAAGGGAAGATTTAATAGAGGTGTTCAAAATTATGAGGGGTTTTGATAGAGCAAATAAGGAGAAACTGTTTTCACTGGCGGGTGGGTCAGTAACCAGAAGACATAGATTTAAGATAATTGACAAAATAACCAGAGGGGAGACGAGGAGAGTTGCAACATGGAATGCGCTGCCTGAAAGGGTGGGGGAAGCAGATGTGATAGTAGCTTTCACAAGGGAATTGGATATTTATGGGGAAAGAGCGGGGGAGTAGGATTAATTGGATAGCTCTTTCAAAGAGCCGGCACAGACTGGTGGACTGAATGGCCTCCTTCTGTGCTGTAAGATCCTGATTCTATGAATAACCCTTACATTAGGTACCAGCGCCTTTTACGTCAGGAAGGTGTCTCAAAAAAGCATGGGGTGGGGAGTGTGGGGGGGGGTAACAGGACTTTGTCGTACTGTGTAACGGTCCGAGTACTTGCCATGACGATGTGATGTTTGGGGAAGTGGCGTGGCAGCTGGCTGATGTAACACCAGTAGGTGGTCTCCTGCTCAGGGATGTTCACGTTGGGGGCCAGGATCTCCAGCTGTTTGACGTCGGGGGGCAGGTGGGGTTTTGGCATCTCAGCCTTCAGCAGCTGCACTCGCTGCACCCCCACCCCCACCGCCCCCAGGTTCAGTGCCGCCAGCGAGGGGACCGGACTCTCCAGGAACCCGTACAGGAGGTGGACCGTCCCGTCCTGCAGGCAGAGCAACAGTCAGCTCAACTCAAACAGTATTCCTCGCATTTGAGACAGCGCCTTATCACGTTGTCGAGACGTCTCAAAGTGCTTGACAGAGTATACTGTAAAGTGAATAGACGATATTTTGTGGGCGAAACGCAGCAGCTAATTTCACACAGCAGTTTCCCACAAACAGTCGTGGGTTGCGTGACCAAATTATTATTTTATTTCTATATTTATTTATCTCATTTTGAAGGGATTATTACTCCCGGAAAGTAATCAGCCCATCGACTAACAACTGGGTTCCAACTTACCCTCAGGTAAACTGCTAGGTGTTATCACAGAGAGATTTATTACAGAGAGTGATTTACAGACCGAGTTACTACAGCGAAAGAGAGAGCGTGTTACTACAGAAAAACAGTGTTATACTGTAACAGCAAGTTATCACACAGAGAGAGTGTTACTACAATGAGAGAGGCTCTATTTTACAGAGTGTTATCACAAAGAGATATATAGAGAGAGAGACATCACCTCAATAAGGTAATCCCGAACATCACAAGTATCGAACTTTCTGCAGAAGATGAGGCTGAAGCCTTCAGGGCCATCCAGTGCCTCCCGCAGCTGGTAATCCTGGTGCTCATCCAGGTGTACCTGAGCTCGCTCGTCACTCCAGGCATCCTAACCCAGACACACAACCCAGGTCACTACAACAACAAGTTGCATTTGTATAACGCCCCTCACGCAGAGTTAGCCAATATCCAGGTAACTAGTGTTCGCGCTTTCATCATGTCCAGGCTTGACTACGCTAACTCCCTGCTCGCTGGGCTTCCCAACTCTTCCCACCGCAAACTGCAGGTTATTCACAGAATTCAGCAGCTCGTGTCCTCTCCTGCACTAAGCTCCATGAGCCCATCGCCCCCATCCAAGCCTGGCTTCCCTGAAGCCCCCACCTGTGCCCGCCAGGCACCCGGCACACACGCACACCACACGATTGCCACAAACGCACCGTTACACGTGCCTCAACGCGGGGCTATGTCTGGGATGGTGTCTCCCTCTCCCCCCACCCCCACCACCAGCCCCCGAGACTCACCCCAAAGTAGGAGCCGTGTTCATCGCTCCACAGCACTATCAGATCAGCGTTGCTGACCTCTCCTCTGTCCGACATCCCAAACACCAGCCCGAAGCCCACCTCCCGGACCAGCAGCTGGAAGCACACCGTTTCCCGGGAAAAGCTGACGTTCCAGGCCAGGAGCATGCGACCGTGGGGGTCCAGGGGCACCTGGTAGGGGAAAGGCCTCTCCTCAGGGACCGGGGGCTTGAACGAGGCCACGAGGATGCCCAGGACCACCAACACAAGTGTCAGATAGATGGACACAGCCTCGCGCATCCGCAGCGCTGGGAAACATCCTGAGCCCCTCATCCTAGACGGTCTGGAAGTAGGAATGGTGTGGAGTGCCACGCTCTGTCTGCTTTTAAACCTGCGCCCCTGAAACTCTGTCCAATTTCTCCAATCTAATTTACCTTTATTCTCCTGAGCGACATTTTGCATCTGCCTGGAAATTAGATTTCACCAGCGCCCACCACCCCGCCTCCGCCCCCCCCCCCCCCCCAACACACACACACTCAGAGCCTGTCTGACCTTCTAACCACTCCATTTGATTTCCTCCTTACTCTATTGACTGATAGCTCATTGCACGGACTGTCTTGCCCTTAGGGTGGTGCGAGGCACACAAATACTGCATCTCACCCACTGCTCTGCTCATTACTTTCAGTCAAATTATAATAATAATAATGCTTGCATTTGATACAGTGCCTATCACATCAAAAAAGCATTTTACAGTAATTACTGTTAAACCCAGTGACTCTGTATTTTGTAGGCAAATGCCGTAGCCAATTTGCATGAAGCAATGTTCCAGAAATAACCAAGAGGTGAATGATCAATTTAATCTGGAAGACAAATATCCACCGCTGCAGACGGGACCTTGGTTTAATGTCTCTTCTGAAGGACGGCACCTCTGACAATGCATTGCTCCCCCCAGCATTGCACTGGAGAGTCAGGCTAGATTGGGAGCTCAAAGTCCTTGACCTAGTGGGGGCTTGAACCCACAATCGTCTGGCTCAGATGCGAGAGTGTAAGTGACTGAACCAGGCTGACATTCATTGACAATCATTGAATGAGAGATGTCCAATTTCCCTCCCCTGAGATAATGAATCGGAGCTGGCAATGAGCTGTCTACCCAGTCCCAAAGCCCTCAAGCTGCCACCAGTCACAGCCACTGCTATCCATCTGAAGGAGGGTTAACGTCAGCAGAGCTGCACGTCTGCAGAGCCAGCGGCACTGCTTTAGATTAGGATCATTCAGAACGGACGTGACTTGCTCGTTGCTTCCATCAGCAGCTCAGAGAGCACAGTGAATGCCTGGAGCCCAGCTCCTGTTCGCTCCCACATCCTCCATGGTTTGGATGAGATGTGAAGCGCTTTGAGACGTTCTCACTGTATTAACAACAACAAATTACATTTGTAATAAACATGGAGTTTCTCTTTCCCGGTGTCCTGGCCAACAATTCCCCAAATAAAATTCTGAGTCTGACTCAGAAGGTTGTGGGTCCAAACCTCGCGGCAGGATTTTGAGCTCACAGTCTAAGCTGGGAAGGAAGACTGCATTGTCGGAGGTGCTATCCTTTGTTAAACATTAGACGTTAAACCGAGGTCCCATCTGCCTGTTCGGGAGGACGTTGAAGATCCCATGGCTCTATTCAAAAAGAGAAAGGAGTTTCTCTCTCCCGTTGTCCTGGACAACAATCCCCCGAATAAAACTATTCGGATGCTTCATGGCTGTTTGAGTCACATCCAGCACCAGATAGTCTGGGTCATGAAAGAGTCACTTGTATTGCTCACATGGCTGCGTAAGTGACAGCGGAGGTGACTGAGCTGAGCGCAGACTGACACCAGAATGGTGAGAAAACGGAACGGGAACTGAGGAATTGGAAAGAGCCAGCGATTGGGAAAAAGGAAGGATCGAGGTAGGTGGGAACGAGAGAGAAGGCGGCTGGAGAGAGAGCCTCTGCCTGAGTCAAAGGCAGAGAAATACAAAACTTGAGGATAGCTGGATGTGAATCTGGTTTCCTTGTTGTGACATTGAACAGTGACCAGCCCCTGGCAACTCACCATCAGCTCACACAATACCTGGAGCCAGAGAAATTATCTGAGCCTGAAAAACAAAAGGTTTTACTTTAACCCGGTTACCCAATTGAAACCTGGTGACATGTTAGACGTTTTCTTAAACTCTGACCTGATTTGGAAGGAGCTTTACTGCAGGTCTTAAAACGTAAAGTGGCTTGCAACTCAATAATAACAATAATCCTTGCATTTGATACAACATCTTTTATCAGATTATCCCGATGCCTCAAAGTACTTCACAGGATTTTTCTGTAGAGTGCAGTGACTGTGGATTATTATATAGGTGAACGCAGCAGCCAATTTGCAGGCAGCAACGTCCCACAAACAGCCATGAGGCGAACGACCATTTTTTGTTTACAGAATTGTTAGCCAGGATAACGATCTTTATTAGGACTTCAGTAAGATTTTAAAACCATGGATGAAGGACTCTGTGGATTTTCCAGAATTCTGGACAAGGTAGAATTTTTTCAACCATGTTCTAAAGGCTGAAACTGCGAGGAATTTTGGACTAAAGACGGGTTTGACAATGCTCCCTGCACTGACTCTAACTCGCTGAAACACGCACAGGCCTCGGTTCAAAGACTGACTCACTCGCTCGCTCCCCGGGATGTGATTCCTAACAATAACATCCCCAGCAGGAGGTCACATATGCCACTGACACCCTCATCTCAAGATGGGAACTTGCTGGAGGCAGCACTGTGACTCTAACCTTCCAGTCCAGTGTGAAAGGCATCTGTAAGATTGTGGAATAAGATCATCAGTTACCACAGCCTTTCCTGATCCAACTTAAAAAGTCCTTTAGTCGATTGGCCTCTTTGGCTGTTTTGGGATGCTTCTGAACAGCACAGGTTAGATACAGAGTAAAGCTCCCTCTACACCAGTGGTGGCCAACCTTTACGGTCGGCCAACAAAATAAGTATTTCTTACTTGATTATTCCTTGATTCATGCCATCAATCAAGAAATACTCAATCAGGAATAAACTAATAAAACACCAATTGAACATGGACAGACATCTTGGATGCTAATACGGATTCTGCCTCAACCACCACTCCCAGGAGGACATTCCATATCCCAGTGACCTAGCCACTCTGGGTGTGNAAAAAAATTCACTAACCTCTCCATTTACTGGTGCTTATCTTACCCCCTACCACCTCACTCGGCCCCTCCGCTGAGCGGGCTCCAGTCTGCTTCACGTCCCCCGCCTCGCTCGCCCCACTATTGGCGGGCAGGCCTTCCGCCACTCTGCTTTATTAATTTAATCATCTCACACAGTGCCTGGAGCCAGAGCAATTATCTGATCCTGAAAGATAAAAGATTTTACCTTAACCCGGTCTCCGAATTGAAACCTGGTGACATGTTAGACATTTTCTTAAATTCTGACCTGATTTGGAAGGAGCTTTTCTGCAGGTCTTAACAAATAAACCGGCTTGCAACTCAATAATAATAATAATAATCCTTGCATTTGATACAACATCTTTTATCAGATTATCCTGATGCCTCAAAGCACTTCACAGGATTTTTCTGTGAAGCATTTTGAGGCATTGTGATAATCCTGGTCCTGTATAAATGCAAGTTGTTGTTGTAAATCTATTATCGATTAGATAAAGCTCCCTCTGTACCCTCCATCCAGCACTCTCAGGTCAGCGATAGTATGGGATAGACACAGAGTAAATGTGAAGAGGGGCTGGTATAGAGAGCGTGGGATGAGACATACACCATTAGTGACAGGGACAATGGGAGAACGAGGGAAAAGCGATCACTGTATTTATTGTGTGACATCTGTAGCAATTTCCTCACAAATGATTGATAAGGCAGGGAGTGAATTATAGCTGAAAGTCGAATTAATAATAAACATAAATGCTTGTAGAAATCAGCGATGGTGTCAGCCTGGATCGCTCTCCCCTCTGGGTCTGAAGTTTGTGGGTTCAAGTCCCACATTGAGACCTGCAGCTCACGGTCTGGGTTGACACTCTGGTGCGGTGCCGGGGGAATGATGCAGTTTCAGAAGTACCATCCTTCAGATGAGACAATAAACCAAGGTCTGTCGCATCTAGCTCTTCCTGTGGACGTTAGAGATCCATGATATTATTGGTAAAGAGATGGGAGTTTCTCCCGGTGAATTGACCAACGATCCTCCAGATAAATGGGTTATTTGCTTCATGGCTGTTTGTGGAACATTGCTGTGTGCAAAAGGCTGCCGTGTTTGCCTGCAAACATACAGTCACTACATTTCACTATTCAAAGTGGTAAAGGGGTTATATCCAACGCAAGGATTATTTTGAGCTGACTTTGAGTTGGATGTTTAGAACAGACGGAGGCAAGTTGATGTAATCATCGTGTTTTCAGGACTGCTATTTTGCTATTTCGATGTTCAAGCTACTTTTACTATGAATAGCGCACTCGCATTTTGCAGCACAAATTAACAGCGAATTTTTAAGCATCGCTCTTCAGCCCAGTAAATGCCAAGTGGAATCAGTTATCAGCCGGTGGAACCGACTAAAAGGAGCCAAATAATAACCGTATGACTTATTCCGAATCGAGTGTGTGGGCCGCACAAAACCATTTGGAGTAATGCTCAATCCTCCTCTGTGCAAGGAAGTTGACTGATCACAAATCTGACAGATATCCCTGTGTTTATTAGCATTCTCTGTTATAATCACACTCAGCTATGTGTAAGCATGTGTAAGCAGCAGGCTTTTCTTAGACTGGAGATTACATTGCCTTCATTTCACTTAAAGGGGCAGACATAGCAAAATGTGTCGGCCTGGTTCAGTCGGTAGCACTCTCATCGCTCCGTCAAAAGGTTGTGGGTTCAAGACCTCATGTTGGGGACTTTGAGCTCACAGTCCAGGCTGATGCTTAACTACAGTGCTGGACCCCAGAGTCTGGGATGGGGTAACAGCTGGAGTTTAACCAGGCTAAAGCCAGATAGCTTGCCATCGAAGGCGCTGTCTGGCAAGATTCCCGTTGCTCATGTGGTTAAGACCACCTTACCCATAAAGGCCTTGGCTTGCAGGGTCTGTAAACACTCAGTTCATTTCTGATCAACTTTGCTTGTGCAGTGCTTCGAGACCTTTATTTTTATTTGAAAGGCGCGCTGGGGAGAAATGTGAGTTATTATTAACACTGCACATCACATTCGGTCCGTCAGTGCTGCCTCCACAATCCACGTCACGTTTGTTTAGAATGGAACCCGTTTTTCTGTAACAAAGGATAAAGTCTGAACGAAGAGCTGCTGGAGAAAATATTGATGTGATTATGAGCTACACCTACTTTTGACTGTTCTCGCCTCTGGAGTCAGCAGGTTGTGGATTCAAGCCCCACGTTGAGACTTCAAATCGCACAGTCTAGGCTAACACTCCAATGCACTGCTGGGAGGGTGTGTCGCATTGTCGGAGGTGCCGTCCTTCGGATGAGACATTAAACTGAGATCTCTTCTGCCCGTTCAAGTGGTTCGAGATCCCGTGGCGCTATTCAAAAAGAGAAGGGAGTTTATCCCGGTGTCCTGGCCTACAATCTCCCAAATAAAATTGGTCACTCACTCCAAGGCTGTTTGTGGGACATTGCTGTGCACAAATTGAGTGCCTGGTTCGTCTACAAATACACAGTCACTACACTTTACAGTGAAGTTATCTGAAACCTCCTGATGATGCGACAGGGCTATATGAAATACATTAATTCATACGATTAAAGCCTACTTCACTTTGGGAAGGAACTGGATGCATGTGTTAGCTTGGGGGTGAGTATCAGCCTGTCCGGTCTGTCAGAGACCTGATTGGAGACATGAGGAACATGCGATGGGATAACAGCTGGGGTAAGAGAGAGAGAGAGAGATGTGTAACTTTTAGATCGGTGAACTGACCTTCCTCTAACTGAGTCAGGTAATGCACAGCACAGCGATGGGAGGGTTGAAGAGGGAAGAAAGCGCTTGGTCTCGCAACGGCCATAAAACTTGTGTTCGACGCACACATCACTGCAACTCCCACAGTCTTTACTTGTTTACTTGTTATTCCTCCTCCACAGTAAGAAAGAGGTTTGAAAGGGAATTGTCTCCACCGCTGACTGTTGAACAGTGACTGTCACTGGCTGCGAATGTCACATGGAGCTTGTGAGTTAGCTTCTGGGTGAGACTGAGCGGGCGGCTGGCAATTAAAACAGCCTGTGTACTCTGCAGGGAAGGAAAGATTTAAATCTCTCACGTGAAGTCCAGGCGTGGATGGAAATTAAGGTCAGTTGAAAGCAGCCTTTTTAACCCCTGCATTGATGTGGAGAGCGAGGGCGGGTGATCGATCGGGTCGGTGCCTTGACACAGTCACGTCAAGTCTATCTCGGCGGGGAACGGTGTGCAACGGTGGAGCTGCGATTGCCGGCAAGCTCACGCTCGCTCCCTTGTCTCACGGGGTGAAATCCCAAGAAGCGCTTTATTTCAGACGTCCTTCCGACGTGATTAGGCTCCGTACCAAACTCAAGGATTATTATTATTTATTATTATTGTTGCTATCTGAGCGTATCGGTGGGTTAGTTGCTGGTCGTGATAGAAAGAGCGCTCATCCACATCCACTGGCTTTATCTCTTTTCTGTGCTGGGGAGGGTGTGGGTGGGGGGGGGGTGGGGGTTGTGACTGGGGGCAGAGGTGGGAGAGGGATCCAGGGCGCTGTTGACCTGCCTGTTGACTATGTGGCTGGAGTTTGATTGCTGCCCTTGACTGTTCGGAGGGAGGGAGGTGGGGAATGGGAGAGAGAGAGTGGTGGGGAGGGGGAGGGGAAGGCAGAGGGAGGGAGGGGGGAGGCAGAGGGAGGGTTGACCACAGACCTGGACAGAACCGTTCACGTTTTTACTGCACTTTTCCCAAATTGATCGCCCCCTCCCCCCCGGGAGAGAATCTGATTAACGGGAGAGGGATTGGGATTTGCGTCACTGGGACCCCAGGACGATTCAATCCCGAGGTTAAGAGCTGGTAAAGATTCTGACCTCTGGCCGGGCTCAGCCCCCCCACCACTCAGCCCCCCGGGACCCTCCGGCTCCCCCCACCCTCTCTGTCCCGGGTCACAGCGGGATGGAGCCCCGGATAAGAAGTGAAACATCTTCCTCGCGCTTTAGCCGCTGCCCCGACACCGGGTGCGCGGTCACCGGCTCAATGGGTATCCCGCACTCACAGGTTAATCGCTTATCTCTCTGGAGCCGCAGCACACACACAGTCACACACACACAGTCACACACACATAGAAACACACCCAGAGTCACACACACACACACCGAAAAACACACACACATAGAAACATACATACACACTTAGAAACACACAGACACCGTCACACACACACATAGAAACACAGATACAAAGAGTCATACACATACGCATAGAAACACACACAGTCACAGAAAGAGATTCACCAGATACAGAGACACACACAGAGACACACACTACACAGAGACACACACACACAATGTCAGATACACAAACACACACACAGAGATACACACAAACACAGTGATTCAGACAGACACGCATGATGAGGGAGAGACGCACGCAAGCACACACAGATAGGCACAGTCAGAGAGAGAGATGAATGCGAACAGTGCATAAAAACATCTCAAAGCATTTTAACAAGGAAAATGTGGATCCCAGCAACATGCGGGAGGCTTGTGGAGCCGAGAGCAGGCGAGTATGATCGTGGGGAGAGAGGGGGGTGGTATGAGTGTGATGGTGAGTGGGCTTGCGTGTGTGTGTGTGTATGAGTGTTAAGTGGGGGCGACTGGCTGAGTATGACAGGCTGAAGGAGTGCTCGGTGCATTAAAGTAGCCTTGCGTGTACATGCATGAAAAGCATTGATCTGGAAGCTGAACGCCACCTGTAAGTGTAGGAAAGAGACAATGTGAGGGAGGGAGTGAATGACACCAAGAGTAACGACTGAGTACCAGTGAGAGGCAGGATCGAGTGCGGAGAGAGACTGCACACACTCCCTCTCAGGTGTACCACCACCATAGTTGGAGAGATGTCTCTCTGTATTGTTAACCCTCAAACCCTAAAATTCATCGAGACTTTTTCTTTTTCTGTCTTAAAATTCAAGTCTGTCCAGAATTGTAGAAAAATGCATCAATCCTGGTGCTGATTTGTTGGATGCTTTCCGCAGTTCCTAAAAACAAATGAAACAGGGTTCAAAATTGAAAGCGAATTCAATAGGAATTTTCTGTCAAAGCTGCGTGATCTTAAATTTTGAGACAAAACAGTCTTGTGGGATAAGAGTGGGTGGAACTTAGGAATAAAACAGTTTGGAGAGCACGAGCATTGCGCTCTCCAAATTGTTTTTGTCTACAGAATACAGTCAATTCATTTCACAGCAATAATCTGTGAAGCGCTTTGAGACGTCTAGAAGACATGATAAGGCGCTATAACAAATGCAAGGATCATTATTATTATTATATTGGAACCTTGTGTTAGCTCAGGCTGGTGGCTTGTTCTATCAGGTGTAGGAAATATTTCCTGCTCCCACTCCAAGATCAGTAATGGCTGATGTGTGTGTGTGAGCACTCCCCTAATTACAGAGGCGTTACCCCACATTGCTCCCCTGAGATAGATGTTCTTTGTGCTGCTCGCAAAGGTCAAAGACATTGAGCGTAATCAACGACAACTTGCATTCATATAGCGCCTTTCACGTGGGGTAGCGTCCCGCAGCACTATCCTGTTGCTCGCTTCGGGGGCTAGACGCTATGGGAGAGATGTGTCCAGCTATGGGTCTGATGGCATGAGCACTCTCAGACTCTACCCTGCGTGAGGGATACTCTAATTCTTTCAGGCTCCTGGCCACTGAACCTCTAGATGAATTCGTCGTTTCACTTCAAGGCTGTTTCACAAATTGGCTGCCACGTCTGCCTATAAAAAATACACAATCCCGCACTGACAGCAATTCCTTGCAAAATGCTTTTGAGACGTTTTGACGTTATGCTGTGTCAAATACACGGATTGTTATTATCGCAAAGTGCATAACTGTTAAGTAACTGTTAGTACCAGGAGCTGACAGCAAGGGCGTTGTGTGATTGATCGCAATCCAAGCCGGGAGTGGGGTGATCAGAGGCTCAGTGGGGAGTGCCTGGTTACACACAGCGTCTTAATGTTCACTCTGCGAATGATCACTGTTGATGGGTGATGACGTCCCTGATGACTCCTGTTGTTTTTCAGGCTGTTAATGGAGAACTGGTCGAATGACAGCCGGCACCGTAGTGATCACAGGTGGAATATTGGCGGCAGCGATCCTACTGTGTATCATAGCCGTGCTGTGCTACTGTAGACTGCAGGTGAGTGAGTCTCAGGGCGAAACATCGCCGGTGCTAGCTTTCAAAATACAACCACCACCATCACGTGAGTGCAAGTGAATTGATTTCCCTGCCTCTGCATGGGGCATACATTGTGTCGTGCTGAGACCCCAGTGCCAGGAACTCTTCCTCAGTTCATCTGTTGTCCCTTTCAGAAACCCTGCAAGCCAACATGCTAATGGATAGTGGGGTCCTCATTGGACAAGTAACGAAAAAGCTTGCCAGGGTTTGCAAAGGGACTCTCCTCTTTTTTTTTAGCGGGTTCAACTCCAACAATCCACCCAACAAGGTAACTCTGGGGTCCCCGAAGAACTCGGCTTTTGCCACTGATACAGTACTATATTCCTGTATTCAGATCATTTATATTTATGGGAGAAAAGCCCCAGGCACAAGGACTAGTCTCTGGCAGATGCAGCTTGTCACTGCTACAAATTGGAGAATGTCCCTTTTATCTGGAGTCCCGTGTAGTGTAGTGGTTTGCACGCTCGCCTCTTAAGTAAGAGGACCCAGGTTCGATTCCCGGGTGGGGCGAAACCTTAGGCACGTTTCCTTACTCCACAGGGCTGTGTATTTACCTAGCAGTACGTAGGAACCCGGTCAATTGGCGGATCGCTTTCCAGGGGTAATAATTCCTCAATGAATCCACAATTGTTTGTGAGACACGGCTGTGCGCAATTGGCTCCCGTGTTTTCCCCACAAAATACACAGTCAATGCACTTTACAATATGTTCTGTGAAGCGCTTTGAGACGTCTCAATGATGTGATAAGGCACTATATCAAATGCAAGGATTATTATTATCCGTCACCTGCTTCCCAAGCAATTTCCTACCCAATACTTAAAACATATAGAATTGAAGACAATCTCATGACTTCACCCTTGCCTCATGTCTTAAGCCTTGGGTAGTGAAACAGAGCAATGGTCTACTTCTTCCTGATACTAACTACGTGTAACCCTGTTGGACGATGTTGGAATCCCCAGAGGTGTCAGCTGTAGCTGGGAAGAGGAAAAGGCTGATAATGATCTGTGGAGGGAACAAGCCTGGAGCTGTGTGTTAAAGTCATTTTCTGTTCCATTGATAGTATTACTGCTGCAAGAAAGAGGAGTCAGATGAGGATGAGGAAGAGCCAGACTTTGCCATGCATTCCCGCTTCCCACCCGGTCACTACAGTTACAATGTAGGCAACGGACCTAATATCTTCGCCTCACCCTACGCCCGGGACCACTTGCACTCCAGGACTCTGTGTGCCAGCTGCTCCTTCTACGAGCAGCCGTACTTCCTCCATCAACTGGAAGAGATGCACAATGGGGGCGAGCGGGTCAGCTACAACACGCTGAGCGAGGAGGACCTGGAGATGCCATTAAACCTGCTGAGTGTCCAGAACCTGCCGAGTCTTCAGAGCCTGCCGCTGGGGAGACCTCGAACAGCCAGGGAGGCATTCAGCCGCAGCAGGAGCATCAGCACTGATGTCTGAGAGGCAGAGCCACATGGCTTCTCTACCGGTGAGAGAGTGGTGGGCTTTCTATATCAATACATAGAGGGAAGGAATTCTGTCCCAATCGGGTGGGGGGGTGGGGTCGCTTCTTTATTGGGGAAGGGGGTGGGAGGGTACTGTATAGGGGGGGGCTTCTGTATTGGGGAGGGGGAATGGGTTTCTATATCAGAGGGCTTATGTATGGGGGTGAGTGGGCTTCCATTTCAAAGGAGGTTTAATAGATTTAATATAAGTAAAGGTGGAAACCAAGGAAATTCTGAATGTATTTATATTTCACTATTAATCTTTTGATAGACAAGGTATTTGATGAAGTGGACGTTTTCAAGCGCACCCATCTTTTTAAAGAGTGCCCCAATGTACATTGTAAAGTGGTTTTATAAAATTCAAACAAGCCAAATTGTGTTTTAAATGCATCATTTTGTACGTGTTTTGCCAAATGTCGTTGGGAGCAGGTGTTACTGGCACCCAGTCATTGTCTGCATTTGTTGGTTCTAAGGGTCGATCCCAGCTCGGTTGATGGATCACGTCTCACTTTGAAACTGCATCATGTTTTGTGAATGAAAAATAAAAGGTAAAAGTTAAGCACCAGACGTCTGGAGCATCATTTCCCAGCTCAGCAGCTGCCTGAGGTGTCCGTGTCTATCTGTGTCACTGGCCCCTGAGGACAGACATGAGGTCGTGCAGTGAGTGAGCGACGAAGCAGCCACAACTGGGCACTGCGTTGAGAGAGGAGGCCAGAGAGAGAAGGTAGTACTCTACTCTTTTCCCCCTCCCCTCATCTAATGTGTGAGGCCCCCTTTGTCTGATACTGTCAGGGTTAAGACTCCTCCCCTCACTAGATATCACTGCTCATTTAAAAAGCATAAACACCATTCCATCTGCCTATTCAGGTGGGTGTTAAGATCCCCCAACACTATTCAAAAAGAGAAGAGTTTCTCGTTCCTGGTGTCCTGGTCAATAAATCCCTCAAGTATATATATTAAATTCACCTACAATACAGTCCCTTCACAACAATTTACTGTGAAGCGCTTTGACATTGCTCAAAGTGCCTTGAAGTGACAGGAGCAGCACAGCCACTGCTTGATGTCCTGAGGCAGGGCTGGTGCTCACACATATGGTTCAGACACATGCCGGGCCCTGAGTACTAAAAGATAAAATCAAATCCCTGCACTATGTCAAAGGATTTTGCAGGATATTGCTCTGAAGTGTAGGAACTGTATTTGTAGGTGAACACAGCAGCCAATTCATACCGAAGATTGGGTGAACTGGGAGTTTGTGGAGGATTGTTGCCAGGACACCAAAAGAAACTCTTTTCCAATCACATTGGTGGAACATTAAAATTCACCTGAACAAGCAGGAAGACTTTGTTTTAACGTCTCCACCAAACAAGACAATTGAGAGCTCCCCATCACTACACTGGAGCATCAGCCTGGACTGTGAGCTCAAAGTCCCAATGTTGGACTTGAACTCGCAACCCTTCAATTCAGAGGAGAGAATGTTATGAACTAAGCCAGGCTAACATACTGAAACAGGCTAATTGTATTGAACACAGACTGATCGATCTAACGGTAAAACACCTTCCTCTAACATTAAACCCCATTTCTAATCTATGTTCCAGCAGCTGGGTATCTTAGAAGGCAGTAAGAATTAGAGTCCAGAGCGCAAGCAAGGAGCTGCAGAAGAGAAGGCTCTCTGAGGGAAACAGCACCTCACACGCCTATAGTGCCTTTCACATAGGGTGTTTTTAAGCACTTCACACAAAGTGGGAGCAAGGTCAGAAAAAGGAGGGGATAGAAGGGAGTTGGATCAACTAAGTAGGAAATACTATTTTTAAAAAAACCTGTAAAATAGTGCCCGTGACAAAGAGGAACAAACTGGGGTTTAAATTTTTCTTTATCAAGTATTTTCATTTCATCAGAAAAGGCACAATTTAGAGTATATACAAACTGTACAGCGATATTAACCTCTCGTTTCCTAGTTGCAGCCACTTCCCGCAGCTAATGCTCGAGGTGGGGTAGGAACAGTCATTCACAGCTGGCAGCAAAATTAAAGTCCACAATTAATGGCATTATGAAATTAAAAGTTGGGATGAATAAAAGCTGGCACAATAAGAACATTTGCAGTGCTCAGCTGCAGGGGCTGACACACAGGACTGTACAGTATTTAGGATACAGAAGGCAAACAGTTTTTTCTTCACAAAAATTAGCTGCATCCGACATTCTACCGGGAGCAGCTGCAATCCACGCTTTGCATTTTCACAATTACAACAGGAACAGAGTACTTCGAGATGAGAAGCCCCGAAACACTTTGTTTTGGTCGGCTAGGTGTTTGACACACACGGAAACCTATCACCGTGCTTAAGAGTCTCCAAACCGAACTACTGAGTTGCACACGCAAATGGTTTCCGTCCGTCTGGTACAGAGAGGAGTGGTCATGCTCTCCCTGGAGAGTCCAGCATGTTGACAAGAGCCAATGCTTGGAGACCTCCGAGCGTGCTTTGGAATACTGCTAGAATTGGAACAGTTTAAACTGTGATATACAGACACCTGGTATATATACCCTATGTTGTTAAGCTTAAAATTTAAGATTGAGGGAGGTGTGGTGGTACAAACAGCTCAGGAGCAGCTGAGGTTGGGGACGAGATGGACAGGCAGGCTCTAGCGCTACCCCCTCACCACCTTTTGGGAGACAGGGTTCCGCATCTCAGATTATCTGTGTTACAAGCGAAAAATTGTTTGCGATCAGTACAATTCACAGCACAAGTGTTTAACACAGGAAGACTCAGGCAGATTTTTACATCAATGTACAAAGTCTAACGTTTAAGACGTCAGTCACACTGTCACATTAAGTTAAAGGGCGCTATCACCATAGCAACCTTGACGTTACTTATTGCAAGAGATGAAAGTTTGAAGCTTAGAAACAACAGACTGGCTGAACTGTACACCAGCGGGAGAGAGAGCACTATACATGAGCAGGTACATGGTGACTGCTTCGATGTGCTAGGTCAACTCGCTGCAAAGCACAGGCTGCTGCTGCCATTGCACCCACTGCTGTGCCATGAGCAGGCACAGTGCCCAAAGGGTGCAGTCTCTGGATTCCTGGTGGGAAGCTAAATGGCCTAACACCATTCCCATGTCCATGTGTGGGAGATGGAGTTACCTGGCCGGTCGCTGCTACGAATGGGCAGTGGTACAGGATCGGCAGCACGCTTTGCTGTAGTACCAGTGAGAGCACAGGTTGACCTTTATGGCCAGTACGCAGTTTGTCCCCAGCTGATCCTGACAAGCGTCATCTGTGGATGAAGAATGTTGATCGTCAGTTTGCTCAAGCAACCTCAGGTCACTTTAAATCACATTTCAAACCCACGTGGCACTTTGTGTCTGCCTTGAAGAGGTGATTCAATGAAAATACTGACTATGCCTGCCAGGCAGAGGCCAGTCAGGCACAAGCTGAACAGTAAAGGAAAGTGTGAAGGAGGAATAGAAAGATCACTAGAGAGGCTCTGATTGCTTCAGCAGCTGCAGCAACCTTGTCAGACAGATGAGGACAGTGGGAGAGAAGCCAGCGCCTCTGGAACTCTCCCCCAACCACCTGGTTTGCACCTTCTCTCTCTCCCCCCACCCAACACTACCCCTCCCTCACCTCACTCCTCCACTATCCCACCCTTCGTTTTTCCCTCCTCTCTTCCCACTTGGTTGCATCCCTCTCCCCTCGCCCTCACTTCTTCCCCCGACTATCTTACAAATTGAAATTGCTCAATTGGCTGCCGCGTTTCGCCCACAAAATAGTCAATTAATTTTACAGTATATTCTGTGAAGCACTTTAAGACATCTTGAAGATGTGATGAGGCGCTATATCAGATGCAAAGATCAGTATTTATTATTATCTTGGCCCTTGCCTCAAACAGTGAGAGTCCCAGTCACCAGCGCATTGCAAGTTACATGCTCATTATCCTTACCAGGGGCTGGGGTAGGGCATTCCTCCAGGTCACAGGTTTGCTTGGCCACAGGTTTGAGGAGAGGGTCACAGCCTCGGATGATCTCCTTGTCCTGGTAACATTTGACATCTCTCGTTCTCACCCCCACACCACAGGTCTTGGTGCACTGGACACAAAGTTACAAAACATCATCAGCTTTTCTTAAAGAGATCGAAAATAAATCACAAATCTGAGGCAAAGGGGGGGGGAAAAAAAAATCTTGGAATATTTCATATTTGAAAATCATCATTTCATTTCAAGAGGAATGCTCTGCAGCTGCAATATTGGTATCCAACCAGAACATGTATTCAATTTCTGAAATATTGCAATAACTTTTACTCTCGACAACCGAGAGTTGGATGATGGTGGCGCGGAGCTGGGCTGTGACTCCAAGGCGCACCACAAGATGGCAGCACGGACTGAGTGGCGAGGGCTGGAGATGCCCTTGAGGCAGCCGGGATTAAATGTAACCTCCAGCACTGCTTTACTCGTTGCTCTATAGCATTAGGGTATACGTCAGTGCTCAGGGTTGTATGGGATCCAATACCTGTAGGAATGGACAGAACAGAAGTTGGCTGTGATGTCCAGTCCGTCCACTGGTGCACTGTTTGCCAACACTCTCTGCCTCGGCACATGACGGTTGCTTGGGTACCAAATGGCTCAACTGTAATCGTGTGAGACATCAGCTCCAGAACTCTTGCCCTTTTACAGCCTCTTATCATTGCAAAAAGCTGTTGATAAGGGAAAAGGGTTCTTATGACAAGAGGTCAGAAATCTACAAATAAGTAGTTGCTGCTCCAGTTATGTAGAGCACTGGTCAGACATCATTTGGATAGCGTGTTCAGTTTTGGGCACCCAATCTCAGGAAGGATAAAGCTGCCTTGGATGGTTTCCAGGGACGATCCCTACATTAATACCTGGGCTGAAGGGGCTGAGCTATGATGAGAGACTGTAGTTTTATTCCCTAAAGCCGAGGAGGGTAAGGGGTCATTTTAATTGAGGGATTTAGCATAATGAACGGAATTGACAGGTTATAGTGGACGACTCTTCCCTCTAGGAAAAAGGATCTATTACAAGGGACAGAGTGTTACAAAATCAGAACATAACAGTTAGAACTGAGATTAGGAAGCATTTCCTCACATAGAGGGTTGTGAAGATGTGGAACACTCTGCCCCAGAAAGCTGTAGAATCCAAACCAATAGAGATATTTTAGAGACAGACAGAGACTTGGGGAGTAGCGGTAGAAAGGGATATGGTGAAAGTGCGGGGCATTGGGATTAACAGAACTGACATATTGATGGAACAGGCTCGATGATTGGAATAGCTTATTTTCCTAATATAAGTCCAAAAGCTTCACTTCACAGATAATTACTGTCAAGTATAACTGTAGCCAACGATATCCCACACATAGCTATGAAGTGAATAAAACACATTATCTGGGGAATTGTTGGCCAGAACACTGGGAGAAACTCCCCTCTGTTTTCCAATAGAACGTGTTCTTGAACTTCCACCCAAACAGGCAGACAACAGTTTTAATATCTCATCCGAAGAACGGCATCTCCGGCAATGCAGACCGAGCTGAAAAGTCCAGTTGTGGGACTTGAACTCACAACCCCAAAGCTGATTTATTATAGTTAATGGGTTGGTACCGTTACCTCAGACCAGGAAGTGCTGAACCACTTGAAACATGGCCGCTCGAAGCAGGTGGTTTCGTCAATTGGCTGCTGAGCAGCATCACAATCCTGAGCATCGGACATCTGCACTTTGCCGTTCACTATGCCAGCGCACACCACCACCCTCGTCTTCGTGCCTCGGCCACACGTGGTGTTACACTACAGAGAATAGAGCAGACGGCAACCTTGTTAGGGCAATAGCTTTTCGGCTTTAATAATCATTATAACATGGTACTTGGACATCTTCAGGGTGACAACAACTTAGAAAGTCTCAAAATACTGTAACATCTGTTTCTTGTTTCCTAATTATAATAGCAATCCATGCATTTGATACTGTATCTTTCATGTCAGAAGATCTCAAAGAGCTTCACAAGATTTACTGTAAAGTGTAGTGACTAATTTGTAGGCAAGTGCAGTTGCCACTTTGCAACACCAATGTGAATGACCAATTTTACCATGGGACTGTTGGCCAGGACACCAGGAGTGACTCCCTTCTCTTTTCAAAGTGTAATGGGATCACTAAGCTTTGCTTAGTTGCAAGGTCTGTTGTAAGTGTTTGCTGCACAATCAACAAAATACCTACATTGAGTAGAGAAACCTCTGATAACTCACACTCCCAGCCTGGCTCAGCTGCAGGACTTGGAGGGACAGACACTGGGATCAGGGATTCTTCCCACTCAGCGCCTGTTAACCCTGTAAGCCAAGACTGGTCCTAGCTAGGCGAGCAGCAGGAAGTTTCCCAGAGAGTGCTCTCAGTGGTAAACTATGCGATTTTAGCTGGTTAAAGTCTAGCAGCTGGCCCAATGCACACATGATTTAAGCTGTACTTTTAGTATTGACGAGATGCAGACAGAATGGAATGAACACTATGCAGGAGAAATGAGGACACGAGTGTACGACTGATTAAAGCTGAATTTTACAAATTCCCAATTCCATACAATCTAAAATTTTAAGATAACTGCCTGCGGCTAAGAACACGAAAATTTTGAGGCATGCATCAGCCTCAATCTTTGCTATACAATAGTTTTGCGCAGGGTTTTAGTCTGGGTTGAGGGAGTGAAGGACAACACAATACAAATTGACTGTTCCATGTACAGATTTGACAGAAATCCCAAAGCAATTATTCAAACCTGTAAACCAGAATGATAAATTGATGTGAAACTGTTCAGTATAAATATTCATTTCTGCATTCGTTTGGGAAGCCAATATTATATGTTTCTTTACTCACCCGCTCCCAGTCCTGGGCTAGCCAATAGGGAGAGCATTGCTTGGCTCCACAAGGGTGAATGGCCAGTGGTTTGGCCTGAGAGTTACACTGGGATTCCGGCATTATACGTCCATCAGAGCTTTTGCAGTAGACATGTCTGATCATTCTGCCTTGTCCACACGGGCCTGAGCACTGAAACACACAGAGAGCTTAGCGTCAGCTCAAAATTGCCCTGAGCACCAAGATACAATCTGAGCACGCTCATGCACACACAAAGCTTGAGCCAAGTACACAGTGATCTAAGGTTCTGGATCACTCTGACCAGACAATCCATCTCTGGAAAGCTTTCTCACTTAAAAATGATTCCTCATATTTTGTTAGCCATGAAGGTAGGAGAAAATTGACATTTATTTTTGAGAAACGGGAAGAATGCAGCAGTCGCACTTACCGGGCCCCAGTCTGAAATGCTCCACTGTCGATCACAAGGTGCTCCCACACAGTCCTTCTCCGAGGGCGGCTTGGTTTTCTCATCACATAACCATTCTTCTTTAGAACATCGGACTTCCCTGGTCACAGTCACCCTTTCCGCACACTTTGCTGTACACTGGGGAGAGTGCAAACCCATTAGTCCCATTGCATCACACGTTAAAGCACATTATCTGCAGAATAAACCAGAGGTGAATCACAATTCTGCAGAACACACCCTGGGACATGCTCTCACTGACTGAGCAGCCCCGGTGCTGGGCAATGGGAAGCTATAGGCAGTGGGAAGAGGAATGCGATTCTAGGTACGAGGGGGAATTTTTACTGGGCAAGAAAAGGGGAAATTAAGCAAAAGGGCCAAGCGTTCTCCAATCTTCCTATTGATGACCTTCCTTAAACGACCATACAGTCTTTGCTCATTGCTAAGAGTAAATCAGGGGGAATATCTCCCTAGATATGAAGCACTTTAAAATGTTGCAAATTCTTTTAAAATTCAAGTACTTTTAAGAAACTCGACAGAAAGACGACTTCAAAGCTAAGACTGAATTCAACAATTTGACAGATTTGCTCAATTCTTGAGATGAAACAAAAATAGAGCAGAGTAAATTTAGACCTTGGTGATACATCTCTCCGCTTAATTTTGGCTTCCTCCATTTCCGTTGTGCCAGATTTCAAATGAAGATGCAGATTGTTGCCTTGTTTTGCTGTTTTCAAGCTCTTTTCAGTGACTTGCTTCCCCAGTGCACAGTTGACGGACTGAATGGCCTGTGCCATAACATTCCAAGACTCTCAGTTGCAGGTGGAAGCAATTTCCGTGGCTGAAAATCAGTTTCACAAAAGGATTCGCACCCCCCCCACCCCCAAACACATCTAAATAACAATAATAAAACTGGACGGACTATTTTGTAGGTGAAACACGGTAGCCAGTTGCGCACAGCAGTTCCTACAAACATGGAGTGAGTGACCAATTTTATTTTGAGGGATTGTTGGCCAGGACACAGAGAGAGAGAGAAACTCCCTTCAATTTTCGAATTGTGCCATAGGATCTTTAAAGTCCACCTCAACAGGCAGACGGGACCTCGGTTTAATGTCTCATCTGAAGGACGACACCTCCGATGATACAGTAACCATACCTCAGACCACTCCGACATCTCCCATTGTGGCCCGCAGACTGGGTTTTTGCAGATTTTTCGCTGTGCGGGTCGGTACAGGTCAGCTGATTCACACATCTCATTGTACACCGAGCTGTCAAACCCGGGAGAGATCATCTTCCAGCACCGCACAATCCGATACTGATGCCCTTCCCCACAGGTCCGCGAGCACTCGCTCCAGCTGCTGGTCTCCCACCTGTAACAGGTAACAGCAAATAGAGCAGCACACACCTCAACGCCAACGCAGCAGATAGCTGCACACCACAGGCACTTTATACAGCATATATCTCAAATTGTTATTTTTCTTTAAAAAACAAAACAAAACCCCCAGAATATTTAATGCAGTTTCTCACTCAAAATTCATGCAGAGCTTTCTGATCATTTTTACATTGCAGTTTTTTTTCACAGGGCTTCATAGAGATGAGTCAGCCTCACCAGACAGATTACAGGGCTTTATGAGGCACTTTTAAATCAAAATAAAATGGTTTATACTCAATCTATAATCCTTTCATTGATAGTGTCTATAAACTTCAAAACTTCTTAATTCTGGAAATTGCTACCGAGTGTAATGACTGTATTTGTAGGCAAATAAATCAGCTTGTGAAGGCACAGCAATGCTCAACAAACAGCCATGAAGTAAATATGAAATTTATCTGGAGGACTGTTGGCCGAAAAAAACAGGAGAAATCATCTTTTCTTTTTCATCCATCTGAACAAATGGCAAATGGGAACTTGGTTTAGACATCTCAACCGAAGCACAGTACCTCAAACAATGCAATCTACCTCCTCTATTCCCCCACCCCCCACCCCAGCTCGGCTGGCATGTCATCTTAAATTGTGAGCTCAAAGTCCTGACGTGGGGCTTGAACCTGCAATCTTCTGGCCCAAAGAGAGTGTGAGCAACTGGGCCAGCCTGACACCTTGAAGCACCAATCTGAACAAAAAGTCAATGGCTTACCTCGCCTGACATTCTCTGCCTTCACAGAACTCATGAACTGGTTCCGGTCGTGTCAAAGAGTCACAGTACGAATCGTCAACTTCAATACCATCATAACGCACACACAAGGCGTATGTAGTGGCTACTCCTGCGCAGAGAAGGAAAGAGTTAAATTCCAGATGCAGCTTCCCTCATCTCTTTTCTTCCTTTGCCCCTGTGTATCGTTCGATCCTCAGCCCAGGGGAGTCATCTATTTTAGCCGTAGTCCCAAATACTATCAACCTTGATACATTTTTACAAGATAACTATCTGCTATTAGCGAACCGTCCCCTGCATACGATCCACACTTGAGGGTGTTGGGGGTAGGCGCTGGCATTTACTGGCCAACGCACTGAGACCGCTGACACTCACTCGGTCAGGGCTTGTGGTTTTCAGTTAACTGCTCCTTAGTTGAAATCGTACTACTCGTTGGCTTAATAATAATATTTGCATTTGATACAGCGCCTCATCACTTGGGCAGCTAATTGCGCACAGAAGTGTCCCACAAATAGTCACGGATTGAGTGACCAAATTATTATTGTGAATTATTTATCCATCCATGTCAACTATGCATGGAAACTGCTTTACTTTGAATGGAATGAGCAGTCTCTCCACAAGGGGACCAACCCCGTCCCAAATCACATGTATTGTAGATACAAGACGCACAGCAGAATAAACGGGAAGAGGCACCTGTTGTACACGTGGAACTGCAGGGCTCGTGAGAGGACAGCTTCCATCGGTACATGTCCGCAGCGCTCACCACACCTTTCCTCAGCAGCTTGAGTCGCTTTCTGAAAGAAATCAACAAGGAAAGAGCTCAGGCCCCCCCCCAGCAGCTGAGAGACACGTGAAGCTCTGCGCAAACAGCTTAGTTACAAACCTACCTGTCCTGCTGACCAAGTAGGATCCCAAGACTTGTTACAAGCAGAGCTTCAGCTGGCTAGAAACAGAGAGAATGGAATAAAGATTGCCAGCTTTAAAGAGAAGAGCATTGAGTATCAGACAGATGTCTTGTGTTACACCATGTGCTGACAGAAAGTCCAATAGCAATATTTAAACACCAGCCCAACAGGAAGCAATTTGTATTTTTTTTTTAAAAACACACTTTTAACCGTTTTGATGTAAAAGGTTTGGGCTAAATATAATAATCATACTTGCATTTCAAATAGCGCCTTATCACGTCTTTGAGACGTCTCAAAGCGCTTCACAGAATATACTGTAAAGTGAATTGACTGTATATTTTGTGGGCGAAACACAACATGCATCCAGCAAATGATCTGTTCTGTGCAGATGTCTTTCAACTGTTTGAAATATGAAAAATATTTCAGCCACATATATTAGATCACACCAGTTGTTACTGCGTGGGTTTAGCGTTACAGCTGCTCATCTCTAGGCAGCAGAAGCTCTGACATGAACCGTATTGTTAAAGCACCATGAGATAACCGCACATTGCTGCTGCTCTGCAACGCACACAGCAACCTGATCTATGCTGCACACAGGACTTGTACAACGTGCCAGTCTTTTAAAACAACAACAAACTACATTTGTGTAGCACGTCGTACTGTAAGATGGAGTTCCAAAGGGTGGAGGCAGAGAGGCTGAAGGCGTGACCGCCGATGGTGGGCGGGCCAGGTGGGGGACATGGAGCAGGCCAGTGTCTGATGAATAGAGGGGAGTGGACAGGTGTATAGGGACTTAACAAGTCACAGAGGTAGGTAGGAGCAAGGCCATGGAGGGCTTTGAAGGCGAGGACAAGGATTTTGAACTCTATCCTCAAAACTACCCTAAAAACTCTAATGCTTGGGAAAAAACTGCTCGTGTATTATTAACCTCATCTCCCGCTCTTAGGCCAGGGCTGGCAATCCACGTTCAATGACGTTATGAAGGTGCAAAGCAGCTATAATCTGACATTACTGTCCAGAAACAACATCAACTCAGCAAGACAGCCCCAGCATTGCGCACCCAGGAGCCATTGCTGGGCTTACCTCTCTCCTGGGTGGGTACAGACAGTACAAAGGAGAGCAATGACAACAATGCGCAATGTTAAGAGGGGTGAGCTAGAAAAAGAAAGGCACCTCAGAGGGACCTTTTAGAGGTATACAAGCAGATTGAGAAAGTAAACCAAACATTTTAAATACACCAAGGTTGCAGGACAAAAAGGTATGGGTTAGGGGGTGTGAAAGCAACTTTAGGCCAGGCAACAACAACTTGCATTTATATAGCGCCGCTCACGCAGGGTAGCGTCCCAGAGACACCAGGAACACAGAGGGTCATGAACAGGAATGGGTTATTATGGGTGGTTGAGGCCAGGTTTTTGGACTAATTTACGAAACAAGTTTAATTTTGAGACGAGATCAAAATGGCACAAAGGGACTTCATCCCAACTCTCAACTAGTTTGGAGAATCCTAAGATTGGTGATGGGTTTCTGCGTATGTAAGATACCCAGCTGGCAAAAAACAAAAATCAAACCCTCTCTGTGACCTTGAATGGAAACCACACATAACGCTCCATGTCTGAAGAAGTTTAAGCTCGTTTGTTATCCAGAAAAAACACTATGTGAAATTCCAAACGATAAATAAAGATACGTACCGTACTTTCTGTGTCCGGTTGCTTTGAATAACTTGCACAAGCGTTTCATTGGAGTACGGGGTCTCTGCTGACAGGTTCAATGCTCTGTTAACAGTCAGTTCCAAGAGTGTGTCATTTATATTAAACTGGTCCAATCTTTCACCGTCTTCATAATCCAACAGGAAGTGTGTTGCGCTGGACTCTGCAGAGGAGGCCAGTGAGCTTTCACTCACATTAACACTCACTTTAACGGGTCCCTTGACACCAGGGGAATGTTCATTTTTAAATGCGTCTACCAGCTGATGCTTGGACATAAATAAATATTCTTGGGAAGTAAACCGTGAGAGCAGGTCTATAGTGGTATAATCACTGTCTTCCACACTGTTGGGCTGGCTGCTGTTCCTGGTGTCTGAGACAAAGCATGAAGAGGAGTCAGCATTAACTGCAAACATTACAGCCTGAAACCAGACAAAAGCTGAGCAACTATTTTGCAAAGTTTGAATGTAGAAAGCCTTTTTTTCAAAAAAAAATCAAAGTTACTGCAGGCTGTGCCAGGCAGGCTAATGGGCTGTGCAGGTGCTGCATTTGATGGAAACCCTCAACTGTCTGGTGCCTTGGGACATCCTCCCGATGTGAAAGGTACTATATAAATGCTGATTGGTGATGGTGGGGGAGGTATGTTGGCTTATGTTAATAATCTGAAGTTTGGCTGCCAGTGCACCGCAGATGAGAAATTAAATTGAGGAAGAAACTAGAGGGAATCGAAATAAACATTTTGGTCCTGTGTCTGTGCTAATAATTGTGAGTCCGTGGTCCCCTCCTTTTCCCCAGATAAAGGAAATAGTTTTACTTTATTATAATAATATTTGATATAGCACATTATCACGTCACGGAGCCATCTCAAAGCACTTCATTGAATATACTGTAAAGTGAATAGACTGTATACGTTGTGGGCAAAGCTGACTGATGGGAAGAAAGGTAAAACCTACTGGAATGTATTTTATGACACTCGGTCAGATTAGGAACAGCTTACTACACCCTCAATGAGAGCTTACATACCTCCCACTTGCTCTTTGTCTGGAGTTTCTGCTTCACCATAAATGGCATTGCTATCCTGAGACTTGCTGACATCAAACTCATCCAGGCTCCTCATCTTCTCCAGCACCTGGTTAGCGCTCTCTGTGATTTCCTTGGATGGTTTTCCGTTGAAAGTCCGATTGCTCTCCAAGTCACAGCCTTCGACAATGAGTTCACCGTCATTTTCACTGCTGTGAGAATCTGCTCCCGGCATGTAATAATAGGCATCCACAGAGGGCTGAAGGTGCTTGAATTCAGGGCTCCGAGGGACTGTGAACTCATAGGTAATATAAGGTCTCTTCCCACTTTGAATTAATAACTAAGAAAGCAATGCAAACAATGCTGATTAGATAATGAATGAACCCAACTGCAGCAGAACTGAGAACATTTCAAAGAAAATTAAAGCATCATAAGTCTGAAATTCTATCTGTTTTAAACCTTTAAAGTCTTTTTTCTGTATCTCTTAAAAGAAACCGCTTCCAAATTAAGACTGAATTTGAGATGTTCCCCTGATGTGAAAGGCATTATAGAAATGTAAATTGTATTTTTAATCGACCCCACCACCATTCAGCCTTTTGGTGTCAGCTCTCCAGAACTCCATTTCCAGGTGCTCGCTCCCTCCCTCCTTCAAGGAACATCTCAAAACGTACCTGACTATTCTTTTGGTCTTTTTTTTTGGTTAGCCACTAGTGGGTCGACAGGCTGATGTTTAAGTAGGACAAAAGAATAATAAAAAAATAATAAAAACAAATCAATAATGGGGCACAAACTCTAAAATCAAACTGGACAGAGGGGTTAAACGTGATCTTACAAGTGGCAATGCTACAGTTACTCTACATGTTTTCTTAAAGCTTATAAAGGAATGTAGGAAAAGATCAAATGATCAGTCTCAGAGTAAAGGAAAGGAAAAGCAATCCCACACCACCCTCTGGGGCACTGCAGAAACATTCGGCAGTTAGTGAAAGGTATACCAGGATGTTAAGTCCCCGACTGGTGGGCCCTTGAGCGACGATGTATTCAATCCCTGTCTCGTAAACGTCCGTCGGCCGCCTGTATTTGAACACTGTGTCAGCCAGGTGGAAATTCCTCGGGCCGTCTACTTTAAAATTGCCGTTGACAAAGAAGGTACCGGACTCGTCAGCGATAGCTGCAAATGGGTTAAAGGGAAACAAAATGGAAATCACTCCAGCTATTGGCACACTGAAGTATGGATGAGAATAGCACCAACAATGGCATACTCTGATCTAGGGGTGAGAATGTATATACTGCCTAGCTACATACATTAATAATCACTATATTTGATACATTGCCTAGAACTTTAAAACATCCCAAACCACTTAATAGCTAATTGCTGTTACTAGTGCAGTAAATGTTTTTTTAAGAATCAAATGTTCAGCCGTATGCTCCAGCAAGGGTCCATCAACAGGTGAAGTGAATAACCATTTTATCTGGAGGATTGTTGGCCAACACCCCGGAAGGAACGGCCTTCTCTTTATTCCAATAGCAGCACAAGATCTTTAATATCCACCTGAAGAGGCACAGATAGGAACTCAGTTTAACATCTAATCTGAAGGACAGCATCTCCAACAATTTAGTGCTCTACTCAGTACTGCACTGAAATATCAGGTTGGATTCTGAGATCATAATCCCTGACATGGGTTTGAACAACCCACAAACTTCTGACCCAAAGCTAGGGCTCTTCATTCTTCATAGAAAGTAACCCATAGAGGGTATATAAATGTTAAACTGGATTGAAAGTAAAGTAAACCCAGGATGCACCAAGACAGCAGAACAAGAGGACACAGTTTTAGAGTTTAAAAAGGCAATTTCAGGATGTTTTTTTACTCAGCAAGTAATTAGACTTGAACAGATTGCCAGGAAGGGTGGTTGAGGCCAAGACTCGTTTAAAAAGCAGCTTGATACTCTGGTGGCAGTACGGTACGGTAGGTATTCTGAAGGGAAGAGATTCAGTGGGCTATAGGGACTTCTTCATCCAAATCAATCTTGTGATCTCATGAAGTGCGACAGTTACAAGAAGATCCAATAATAGTAATAATCCTTGCATTTAATATAGCACCTTATCATGTCGCTGAAACATCATAAAGCGCTTCACAGAATTTATTGTAAAGTGGATTGACTGCATTTTGCGGGCGAAACTCGGAGGCCAAGTGCTCACAACAGTGTCCGACAAGAGTCATGGAGCCAAGCTAGAAACAGTTACAATCTGAAATAGTACTGCAAATCATACGATAATCATCAAATGTTTTTGAAATCTTTACACAGAGGGTGGTTGGAATGTCTGCCTCAGTGTTGCTGAGCCCACCGATTCCTTTAAAAGGCAATAGCTCGAAGCTTGAAGAGCATGCTTGAATAGTAATTGGCGTGGGGGAGTGGGCGGATTGGATTAGGCAGCAGACTTGGACAGCGGAAACAAATTCTACGTACCTAAAACATCGCCTGATTTCCTTCTCTCGATTATCTGGATATCTGTGGCACCAGCTGGGATGTGCGTTATGAGGGAGTAACCTAGGAAACCGGGTGATGCATTTTCACATGAGTCAGTGAAGCCAAATACTCTACAGCACAGAGAACTGAAAATAGCGACATGTAGCCAGTCTGTCCATCCGTCCATCCTCTCCCCCGGTACACAGCAACACAGCACCACCCGCACCCTCTCCCACCCACAGCACCAAACCCTCATGTCTGCCCTCACAAGACTCATAGGGCAGATCTGGTTGTTCTAAAACAGAACTGCTCAGAAACCTCAAAGACCCCATCCCCGACCCGGGCAGGGTACTGTACACTCACTCAGCTTAAAATTAGAGCAACGGCTGCATTCTTACCCAGTTGAGATGCTCCTTTCCTGTAGTTGCCGGTAATCCGTATACAGCTGCTCCCATTGCCCTCACACACGCCACACTTATCCAACGTTTGGGTGGAAAAGAGCACCCCATCGCATCCAATGGGCTGCAGGGCAGAGATGGTATGTATCAGGAGCGGTCACAGTATTCGCAGGACTGACAAAAGGAATGTGTATTGCGATTACATTCACAACCTCACATCTGCCTGTGACGCACACGCCTCGGTATGCCTTGTATTTACAAGACGTTCCATCTCGTGCTGGAACCATTAGCTGCCGCTGTCCATCCGTTGTGGTACACTGAAGGTCACAAGGCTTGCTTGAAATGTGCACATAATCATCTGCAAGACAACACGTGAAAAAAAAAGAGTGATGAGAATGTGGAGGCGAGGAGGCCGTAGAGGCGGGATCAATTGGAAAGCTTAAAAGGGTAACAGATTGGAAAGTAATCTTATTAAGTAGATTTGGAGAAAAGGCAGGGAAGTGGGATTAAAAGATCTGTGGGATCTAAATAAACTGGTGAGACAGACTCAATGGGACAAATGGCCTCCTCCTGTTCCTATTAATTTTACCACATCCTACTAATTTACCATACGCATCTTGCACACTACAAGTCTGAACTGCAGCACTTCATTGTGCCATGGCTCGACACCTGAACCATGCACTTGGTTTCAGAGGCACTTCAACCTCTGATATTCCTCTCAATGTTGGCCGAGTGCAAATACAGAGAATAACCCTCTCTGAAGCCACAGACCTCAGACTTAATAATAATAATCCTTGCATTTGATATAGCTTCACAATTAATCTGCCCTTTGAACTGAAACTCAAAGATAATCGGTAACACAGAACGCCGACTCTGACGGAGCTGCACTTGGCATTACCGTGCAGTGTTCACATTCAAAATACAATGGGCTGAAGGACAGTTTTCAGGCAAAGCCCTGGGCTGGTGGGGAGCAAGGAGTGGAGCTTAAACGATAACCCTGTGTTGTGCTGCCTGTTGCGGGGACGTCCTATATAAATAGTTTGTTGTTGTTGGGCAACTTTGTAGTTGCTGTGGAACAGCTCTACAGTCTACAGCAAACACTACTAGAAGGAAAACCGGTTTCAAATAAATAATTAATCTACAGTGTAGAAATAATTGTGTAGCCTTTATCCTTTCTAACATGTCCCAGGATCACACGTGCGATATGAAGAACGCTCTTCAGCCCATTTAACGTAAGGAAATTAACCCTCTTGCTAAAAATATAGTTTACTGGAATATGGGCAAAGGTAAAAGATGCTGCTGACTTTCAACACTTTCACCGTTTTGTTCAGATTCCCAACCAACAGAACACATAGAATTTCAATGAGAACTGACACAAGTGTTAACGGAACAAAAGAGCTCAGAGTTCTGGGAATTAAAGGACTGCAACTTCTTGTACTCGTGCAGTCCCACAGGCACTAAAGATCACCACAAATGCATGCTTTCTCGTGCATTACTACTTACTGTAAAAAAGCACGCCGACAATGCAACAAATGGCTCCTCGCCTCACCTGGGTACAGTGGTTTCCATTGATACGTCCATCCATTATACACACGGGAGTTGAATGATGAACACTGCTCATCACGAAAGCTGCGCCCATTCGGTGGACACTCCTGAACCAGGTAACATAACAATCATGTTTCCAGTGTAAAATCAGAATTATTATTAAATCAGCAGATATCCTGTATATTGAGTGTCATACAGAGAGACTATATAACAGTTTTAACAATCTCGTCCTGAGAGCAAGAGTATAACAGACTAGAGTGAATGAATAACAGACTCAAAACTTGCCTTTATATAACCTTCATGCAGATAGTGGAGTTATAGGGAGAATACGGGTAAGCGGGATAGGCTAGGAAGGCTGAGGAAGTAGGAACTGCAGGTGAGAAGCTATTGACAGGACTCAAGGAGGACTGCTTCTGTTTTGTCAACATTCAGTGGCAGAACATTTGTGTTCACCCAGCCCTTGATGTCTGACGAGAAGTAAACAGAATATGATGGACCTAGGGTTGTAGCTGAAGGAGATGAAGTAGTTTTGGGCATCATCTGCCTACATGGGGAAATTGACCCCATGTCTGTGGATAACTCATCCTGAAAGTGGCAGACTGTGCCTGTATTATTAATCTCACTTTCCCGCTCTTCTCCCACATATCCCTTAAATAATTAGCTGCTGTAATGCTTTTAAAGTTCCCTTTTGAATGATTTTATTGATCTGGCTTCAATAGTAATTTGTGACAATGAATTCTAATGAATTAGAATTCATATCTAGAATTCATATCCCTCTCAAACTCAACTCCATTGGAAAAAGCCCCGAATTAAACACTTTCACTGTATGGATATTATCTCATATCCTGCATCATCTGAATGAATTCTTCTCTAAACCCTCCTTCCTAGGATGAGGTGTCTGTCCATTTACTTGCATGTCAGCCTGACTCAGTTGATAGCACTTTCACTTCAAAGTCAGAAGGTCATTCAAGTCAAAATCATTCAAGCCCCACGTCAGAAGTTGAAACTCATGCAGTCTAGGCTAACACTCCAGTACAGTGCTGGGGGTGTGCTGGATTCTTGGAGGTGCTGCCGTATGGATGACATGTTAAACTGAGGTCCTGCCTGCCTTTTCAAGTGGATGTTAACGATTCCATGGCACTGATTGAAAGAAGTGAGCATTTTTCCTAGTTTCTTGGCCATCAATACTCCAAATAAAAATAGTCATTCACTTCATAGCTGTTTGTAGGACAATGTTGTGCATAAATTGCCTAATACAGTCGCCCACACACTGCACAGTCACTCCATTTTAAAGTATATTTTGTAAAGCTGTTTGAAACATCAAAGGCACTACATCAAATGTAAGGATTATTAGTATTTCATTATACTGTCTCGAACGGTCTAAAACATTCATTTATGTGCAGAACAGACTTATAAGCTTTCCCGTAGAATACAGAATACCAGCTGGCTGGACTCCGTTTCCTCACAGTATGTCAACATGGGTGCCGAGACCTGTGTCTCATGAGGGCTGCAGGCACTTTTTGCCATTTTATTCAGCAGCACATATTATCAAAGCCATTAGCATCCAATTCTGCCTTGCTTGCTGTCAGTAGGCAAGAATTCTGGAGATGCGCTGAAGAGGAAAGTCTAGCATATGCCGATTGCTAAAAATAGGGCTCTTTGTTGTGGTTTTACAATGAAGGGTCCATTAAGTTCACGCTGCTGAGGTTCTTAAATATACAGACCCACAGATTCTAGGAAATTGATGGAAGACTCAGGAAAAGCAGCTAATGCTGCAATGATTAACTCCTTCAAAAGCAATAGCTGGAGAGGAGATAACACGCAGCTTGGAGAAGGCAGAGGTGATCAACTACCCAGGGGTACAACAATTCCTTATGTTTCTGGGAAGGGAGAAGGATTTTGTCCAAGTATTAATAATAATAGTAATACTTGCATTTGATATAGCACCTTATCACATCGTTGAGACGTCTCAAATCTTTCCTATTTACTTCTAGGTAAGCAGAGGCTTGTGGAATAAAGAAACTAGCCTCAGGTTTCATCCTGCCTGGGAATCAAACCCAGGTCCTCTCGCTTGCGAGGCGAGTACTCTAACCAAAATGCTACAGGACAAAACATTGCCCAGCCCTTCAAATATGCACATCACATCCAATTCTGTGCTAGCAGCACAGACCAGTTGAGTTGAGAGAGATTAGGGATTTTTGTTCACAAGAAAGTCAAGGATGGTTAAAGATGACCTGACAAGAGTCTTCAGAATTATAAAGGACCATTCAATAATGTACACTGCAAGTAACTAACTTACACTGGGCAGCAAGCCAACACGAGGCACAAACTTTACATTTAATACATTGCCTTTTATATTGGGAGGATGTCTCAAAGAATTTTACAGGATTAACTGTAAAGCGCTGTGACTATTTTGTGGGCGAATGCAGCAGCCAATTTACGCACTGCAACGTCCCACAAACAGGCGCGAAGGGAATAATCACAAAAATAATTAAAGGGGATGTTATTCAATGGACATTTACACAGAGAGTAATTGAAACATTAGAATTCTGCCACAACCCAGAAAATAAAACAAAGCTTATCAATTCTTTCAAATGCGAGAGGAAGAGTAAAGAATATAGGAAGCGAACATGAGAGGGGGAGTAGATTAAGGGCCTCAGGTGGAGAAAAACACCACCGCATACTCTATGGGTGAAATGGCCCATTTTCAGGCTGAAACATTTTATGAATATTAAGTTTTGCTTAATAAACAATCAGGATCAGAGAGCGTCTGGCACAGAACTTTCCCTCAGGACAATGACAGAGGGAGGTAAGGCCCACAGGAGCAGATTGCAGAGCTCTGTGGAAGCAGCTCATCCTTCAATGGTTTATCTCAACAAACAGCACTACAGCACTGGATCAGGGGTTGCTTCAATGTGATTGTGCTGCTGTTAAATGAGCCATGGCCTTCAGCAACAAGTTTAATTGCATGCAAACAAAGATCAGCTTCCAAAACACAAGCAAGGTTTTAAAAAGTGAGGCCTGGAACAGAGAGAGAAACAGATCAGAGTGTCCTAAACTGGATTCTGTTTGATAGATTTGTAATAAGATGAATTGAAATAACAAGGGCAACTGGAGTATTGCTGGCAGAGGCAAACCATTATTACAATTTTAGATGAAATGGTCAAATCTGTGTTTATGCTCAATACTCAGGTTTCATTAGTAGGAAACATTAGTACATTTTTGAGCAACTTCACTCTGCTAATAATAAGGCTGGCAACAGGTCCAGAGTGTCCTAAAATGCCCTGGCTAGGAACCTTGCTCTGCATTGCTTCTGTTAACCAGTAACTGAAACAAAGCCTGCCTCAACCCACCAACAGAAATACAGGTGTGATAAGGAATATATAGGAATAAATTGCCAGCCAGGACACTGGGGAAAATTCCCATCACTTTTTCAATAACATTATGGGGTCTACAATTTACAGCCAAACAGGTGGACAAAGCCTCTGCACCGTTACAAAACTGAGCAGCCCCTGGTACTGCACTGGAGTGGGCCAGTGTGGATTGCGAGCCCAAGTCCCAACATGGGGCTGGAACCCACAACTTTCTGACCCAGAGGGTCGTTGTGCTATTGTTTAGAATGAACTTAAAACAGCACTGGAGTGGATTTCAGTACATCTCCGGTATTTCAAACAGGAATGCACGAACTGCAGGACCCATTTGTCACCGTTTTTAAAGTAACAGCACCACTTGGTGGCAATAGGTAGACGATGCAGCCCCCCGCCAGGCTCACCAAACATCTCTTAAATCTCCTCGTGTAGGTGGAATGCACGGATTTTTCAGTTTGGATACTTTTAAGAAGGGTGATGGGTTTCCACACGCATCAGACACCCAGCTGACCCTGCCAAAAAGTCAACCATGCGCTGCGTGAAGAGCGCTACATAAATGCAAGTATTATTGTTGGCCATTGTTAAGGACGTTAATGAACCAGTGGGGTTTTTAAAACCACAGTCTTGCGGCTAGTTTATCAGTGCTAGTTCAAATTACCAAATCCAAAGTGACTTTCTTAAGATTCCAGCAGTAAGTAGTGCCCCCACCTACTTGAACATCGCAGAGTTGATATCTTTTGGCTGTTCCTGTACACGTCTGGTTGCCAGCTCTTGTTATAGTGGTTTTCCTGTCAAACAAAGCATTCATTATATCAAAGGATTTTGTGGTCATCGGTAGCATATTGGTACACACAATATAAATCACCCACTTCACACCCAACCCGAGGAAATTCAGAGAGAATTTGTCAAGATGATATGACTGGACAATGAAGAGAGGTGGATTAATACATGTTCAGGAATTTGAGCAGTGATCAGATTGAGATTTTAAAAATAGTGAAGGGCACTGACAAAGTCAATAGTCAGTGACCATTCCCTTCTCGTTGGGAAATCCTGGATAAGAAGAAACACCTTCAAAATTAGAGCTACTGGTGAAAGGGGAAGACGATAAAATATCTCTTCACGCCAGAGGGTCCTAAGAACATGGACTGGAATGCCTTTCACATTGGGAGGACGTCCCAAAGCACTTAACCACTGCTCCAGACAGGGTATTCCACGTACTAACTTCTCTGCAAAACAAAAGATGAGACTTGGGGGCAGGAATAGGATGGTGCTGACCTATGGCAGGGTCAAAAAGATGGAAAAGTTTTGTAAGCAGAGGAGAGTTTTTTTTGGGGTGGGGAGAGAGAGTTCCAGAGAGAGGGCATAGTGACTGAGAATATTAATATTTATTTCCATGTAAGAAAAACATTACACAATTGCCAACTCTCCTAGAATATGCTAGATTCATCTTATGCCGAGAAAAGGAATTTTGTTTCATCTCTGGTGTCCAGTGTTAGTTTGCCTACAAAGTACAATCACTTCAAACTACACTTTACAGTAGGTCCTGTGAAGCAATTTAGGTGCCCTCCAAATGTGAAAGGCGCCATGTCAAATGCAAGAATTATTTATTAATGATTGGCACGATAGACATCTTTTTGGCAAGGATTAATGTCAGGTTTCTCGCTTTCCCTAGAATGTACACTCGGCGCATTTCTGCTCACCATCCCTCCTCTCTAAATGGAGGGATGGGGGAGGGGTGTGTCATTTTTGTTTCCCTATGTAAACAGGGACAAATAAACATTTGTCACTATGTTTTTAAAACACATTTGTCTTTATCAGTTTCTCTGTCCTCAATCCCCCTCTTTCTCCTTCAGTCATGCATAGAGAAAAGTGCCAACGCCCCCTTGTAGCTCCAGACTGTGTGACTGCAGTAAGCAGTACAGTCCACATTCAGACAGAGTGCAGCTCTTCTATTGTACCACAAAGTTTCAGTTTGTAGTTACGGAGTTGGATAAATGTCAATTCTGCTATTTCAGCTTGTTCCTTTCAATTTCCCCTTCCTCTGCTGAAGGTGTTGGCTTATGCTGGGAGCAGTTCGGCCACCCTCAAATACCTAGACAAAGTGGACATTCCACTCATGTGTGAGGCTAGACATCGAGTTCCTCTCTCCCCCCCTTCCGCTTCTCCCCAACAGCAGGGGAGCTGGATTGTAGTATTTTAAGTACGGAGGGAAAGAACAAACTAGACATTAACATGCAATGTGAGAAGGAAACAATTTGGGTGGCAACAAACTACCTGCTGTCTCAGTCCAGTGTGGAATAAATAAGTCTATATACAGTACACTGGAACTGTGAGGTAGAGGCCATGCCCACAGATGCTCCAATGAAAGGTGCCCCATTACAGCCAGTCTGTTATACTGTAACCCACCCCTGCCCACTGTGCCAGTCTAATACTATAACACTCTACCTTTGCCGTAAGCAGTGCCTTTCTTGCGTTTTCACTCCACCTCCGCAGGTCCGGTGCATCCTGTCCATTTGGCCCATTCACCCCACCAGGAGGCAGTGTTGTCCGCTGCTTCTTCTAAACTATTGGATGCCTGGGCCTCCTGCTGAGAGGAAAGTACCTTTGAACCCTATTCCGTCGTGAATCTTTTGAAATGTTCAAGATGATGAGGGGGAAATGGTGCTTGCTGAATTTAACACGTACCAAAGATGGGGGCAGTGAGCAGCATCCCTTCCCCAGTTTTAGAAGCCATTGAACAGTAAACACGTGAGGAACAGAGGACAGCAAAAACTGCAGGAGCTTTCAAATGGCTACAAATTCCTCCTCTAGCTGCACACAGCTTCTGGCGTTCAACATGAAAGCGGTTTCTGGTTTGTACCAAATTGCATTAAGTGTAAATAAAGTTACACCATGAAGAACAAATACTCTCCCAGACGACTGCGCCCATCCTCCCTTCTATTAAGTTGCAAAAATTGTTGTTTATTAGTCGTCTGCAAAAACCAACAGAAACAAGTGTCCCGCAGGGCACAGCTGGGGCTGGGCACTGTGCCCAACGGACATGCACAACACTAACTTCAGCAGACATCTAACTAGGCATCTCATAGAACTACAGACAAAGGCTAAACAAAGATCTGGTTTCAAAAACACTGAATCCCATCGTGGACACGTTATATTAATGTCGGGCTTTTGCCATTTTGTGTTAATCGGCAGTGCGCTATGCAGGCAGAATGTGAGGATACTTTGGCAGGTAAGATTGTGCCAAATAACTAGTGCACTCACAATAACACGTAACCTCATAAACAGACCTGGGACCAGACACAAACCCAGTCACCATCATGCCACCCACTGTAAGCAGATTACCGCCTCATTTTAATTTCAATAAAAGCAGCTGGCGAGCTTTCCTGTACTGTCCCACAAACACTGAATTCCACATCTGTCTGGGAGGCACTTCCCACTGGGATGGAGGAAAGTGAACACAACATGAAGCACTAAAGCAGGAAAAAATACGTGTTGCTGTCCCACACCCACTCTTAATAAAACAATAATTTCATTTATAAAAAAACAAGACAAATTCTTGGCATGACAGAATTAGAATAGGTTGCATTTTGGAATTTGCTAAGGTTTTTTTAAAAAAATCACATTAATGCAACTTGCAGAAGACTAAGATCTTGAAGCAAAGGATAAAATCTTTCTCGAAAATGCCATGATGGGGTGACAAGGTCATCAGCAAGCAGCAATAAAGCACAGACGGTTGTAGCACATCATCCACAGTGGTGGAGGATCCAGTCAAAATATCCCCCAATGTGGAGGTATCTGAAAATACTTGCCCTACAGGTCACCAGCTCCTTAATAATAATCTGCAAATCAGCCTGAAAACTGTGGAGTGAGGTTTACTCTCCGGTCTCTAGTTGAGGGGGCAGTGGTTACAGAAAATCAGGACAGAAGTTAAACAGGAGATCTTGTGACATTGTGCATTGGCTTCATAAACCACATTTTCACAGAAAGGAACAGCACCTGTATTGTGCAGCACATTTCAGTCTTAATACAAACAGTTCACAGAAACAGAACACATTACTGCACAATATCTCCCCGTAAACAACTACAATATTACATTTGTAAAACGCCTTTCACATCCCAAAAATAGAAATGACTTACTTGTACGGCAATGACAGCAAGATTTTCAACAAATAATGCAACCGTGATCAGGTAGTGCACGTAAATAGCTGCATCCCAGCCGCAAACACCTTTGGAACTCCATTTAGCTACCGTCATACTGGAAAGAAATCAAAAATACAGAACATTCTTACTCCAGCTCAGCAATTTGCTTCACAGCAAACGGTATTGAGCAGAAACTGGCAATACTTACATTGATCAGGAATAAAATTGAACACGGTAACTAATGTCTCACAAGTGTTGTATGACAGTCGCACTGATTGAATCAGCCTCAGATTGTTCCCTCTGTGGGAAATACATGCATCTCATTCCCTTCCACTTGGCACCTTGTTCTGGTAACATTGCGTGGTTTAGATCAGGACCACACAGCTATGTTTTCCATTGTTCCATCAAGCAACGAGAGGAACAGACACACAGCTCGTCTGAGCAACGACTGCTGAGACCTATTAGAGGACTCTTGCTTTAATTACGGTTATTATCAGGACCAACAAATGTATCCAATGTGCGAGAGGCAACACAATGAAAAGACGAGACAAGAATTCAAAAAGCAGAAAGCAACTCATTACTGTACTTCCAGTCATTAATTGCTTCCTTCAACTCCCTGAACAGTCACAACCTATTTGGGGCATTTCCAGCACAAGAATGGAGGAAATTACTTGGAACAGTTATTTCGGAGGGGAGGGCAGAGTCAGCTAACATTGCTGCTCAGAGTGGATTCACTTTATTTTTTTCAACAAATGCTATTGGATAACTCGGTAAGTTTCATTCATATTTTAAACAGCACTAAACTGCTATTACATAGGAGGGAATATCAAAATGCGGTATCGATTTTAAAATCTAATACAGCATTGCACCACTCTTTGCAATAATACACAACCCTTCTCTTACAATCAGTTTTTGTGGATAAGTGCAAAAGTCTATTAAAAAGAGAATAAGGTTGCTTTATGTAAAACACTCTCGATTTCCTGGCAACAACTGAGCCCTGATGGCAGGTGGCTAAAACTACACGAGCACCTGGTATTGATTAAATTCAGACATTCTAGGAATAAAATCAAGAATGAAAACAAACGTTTTACAACCTCAATTGGACAGTGTCGGCCAAAAATAGCTGAGGAACATCATTTTTAAAGCCACTGGGGCAGACATGTCGAGAGCTCCTGCAACCCTTTAAGCAAAACAGCGACTGCATAGTAATAATAGTAATTGTAACCAAAAAAATACCACTTGAGAATTGCGCCCAGGACATTAACCAAAACACTAGAAGTCGCAGTGTAACGGTACTGCACTGGTCTGGGACCATTGGTGCCTGTGAAAAAAAGAGTCCATGAGCAAAACAGTTATTACTCTAAAATACAGTGAGAACTTATTCGAGTTATGTGTATGTGTGGTGGGGGGGGAGGCTGGTGGGGGGGGGGAGGCTGGTGGGGGGGGGGGGGTGGTGGGGGGGGGTGGGGGAGGCTGGTGGGGGGGGGGGAGGCTGGTGGGGGGGGGGGGAGGCTGGTGGGGGGGGGGAGGCTGGTGGGGGGGGAGGCTGGTGGGGGGGGGGAGGCTGGTGGGGGGGGGGAGGGGGGGGGGGGGAGGCTGGTGGGGGGGGGGGGTGGGGGGGGGGGAGGCTGGTGGGGGGGGGGGAGGCTGGTGGGGGGGGGGGAGGCTGGTGGGGGGGGGGGGAGGCTGGTGGGGGGGGGGGAGGCTGGTGGGGGGGGGGGGGTGGGGGGGGGGGGAGGCTGGTGGGGGGGGGGGGTGGTGGGGGGGGGAGGCTGGTGGGGGGGGGGAGGCTGGTGGGGGGGGGGGAGGCTGGGGGGGGGGGAGGCTGGGGGGGGGGGGGGGGGGGGGGGGGGGAGGCTGGGGGGGGGGAGGCTGGTGGGGGGGGGGAGGTGGTGGGGGGAGGCTGGTGGGGGGGGGGAGGCTGGTGGGGGGGGGGAGGCTGGTGGGGGGGGGGAGGCTGGTGGGGGGGGGAGGCTGGTGGGGGGGGGGAGGCTGGTGGGGGGGGGGGGGGGGGGGGGTGGGGGGGGAGGCTGGTGGGGGGGGGGGAGGTGGTGGGGGGGGGGGGAGGTGGTGGTGGGGGGGGGAGGCTGGTGGTGGGGGGGGGGAGGCTGGTGGTGGGGGGGGGGGAGGCTGGTGGTGGGGGGGGGAGGCTGGTGGTGGGGGGGGGGAGGCTGGTGGTGGGGGGGGGGGTGGTGGGGGGGGGGGGGGAGGCTGGTGGGGGGGGGGGGAGGTGGTGGTGGGGGGGGGGGGCTGGTGGTGGGGGGGGGGGGAGGCTGGTGGTGGGGGGGGGGGAGGCTGGTGGTGGGGGGGGGGGAGGCTGGTGGGGGGGGGGAGGCTGGTGGGGGGGGGGGAGGCTGGTGGGGGGGGGAGGCTGGTGGGGGGGGGAGGCTGGTGGTGGGGGGGGGAGGCTGGTGGTGGGGGGGGGAGGCTGGTGGTGGGGGGGGGGGAGGCTGGTGGTGGGGGGGGGAGGCTGGTGGGTGGTGTACAGTGTCTTTCACACATATAACACAATTCGCCTATGACATTCTCACTGTATTTCAGAGTGTGTTTAAGTACCGGTACACACACGTTTGTACCAATATTTAGCTCCAGGATCGCGACGTTCCTCGTTCACTCAACTCGAGGAGCGAATTGCACTTATAAGGGGGAGGGGGTGAGGGGGTGAGGATGAGGGGAGTAAAGGACACTCAAGAGACAGACAGACAGAGAACCATCGCGAGGCACAGACCGGGCAGTGGGCGCTGAGCTACACCTGGGCCGCTCGGGGAGGCCAAGGCGAGCAGCCGACTGGCACTCACCTGTACGCTGGATCCCCGGACAGTGCAGTGCAGCGACTCGGCTCTCCCTCTCTCTCACTCCCTCTCTCTCACACACACACACACACACACACGGCCGCCGAGCGCACCGCACCGTTCCCGCTCGTGGGCGCCACCGGACACGATGGCCGCCGGTACCTCGGGTCCTGCCTTCCCCCTCCGGCTGTGACTGACTGACTGACTGACGGACGAGGTGAGTACTCGCTGGGGCTGCCCGGGGCGCAGGTGCGGGGCCGGTCCCGGAGCCTCGCTCGTTGCCGCTGCCGCCGGCCGCACGCTCCATACCCCATTTTATAGCTGACGCCGCTTCGCACTTCCCGCCCAGCGCAGCCCTTCCCGCCCTCCGGCGGCACCGCGCCCGCGCCCCGAACTGCGCCTGCGCCGCCCGAACCACCAGCCACCAGCCCCCGCCCCGCCTACCCGCCTGCGCGCGCAGACACGCTCCGGCCCCGCCCCCCCCCTCTCCTCCTCCTCCTCGTGCTGCTCCGGGGTACGTACTGCGCCTGCGCCCCCTTCCCCGCTTTACCCCGGAGCGCAGTGAGTCTGCGCCGCCCCGCCCTCTGTCAGGCACTGCGCCTGCGTCGCTCGCACCTCGGAGCGCGGGCTTTTCAAACGCACCTGCCGCAGCCTCGTGGCCAGACCAGACCGCCTGCTGTGTGCTGCTCCTGGATCGGCTGTTCCACGTTGGCGCTCGGCCTGGAGATGCAGTCAGGTAAAATATTTCATAAATCCCATTGAATTGATAGAGCCTAATTCTTTCATTTCCGCAGACAGCCGCAGCCAGTGCTGTGACCACATTACAGTTGATGCTTTGCCAGAAAACCCAGTTTTTTTTTTTTTTTATTTCCATGTCTGGTTGGCACAGTAAACATAAATATATTTTTAAATTGGCAAGTTGCAAAGGAACTGATTTTTTTTTTTTTTTTTTTTAGTCAGCCGGGTGTCTAACATACACAGAAACCCTTGGCCATGCTGAGGAGTCTCCAAACCAGACTGAGTACCACTTATCCCTGGAAATATTCCCTTTACCTGGAATGGAGTGTACACTCTGTCCCTGTCCCCCACCCAGAGCAGAGGGGTGCAGCACCCCCTTGCTCGCGGAATCCAGCAGAGTTTAGTTGGAGATGGGCAGGAGCCAGGACTTGGGGAACCCCAGAGGGTGCACTGAAAGGCACTGCTGGAGTTTAAGCAGAAAGAACGCACAGCTTTGCCATTGCAAACACTCTTTGGCCAACTTCCCACTGCTGGTCCACCTTGGACCACCCGACCCATTAAGAGCTTTGGCTTTGCAGGGACAACAGAAGCCGAGTGAGAAGAATCCCTGCCCCAATTCAAGGAACCGCAGTGGGGGGGAATCAGTGCGTGTCTCTGGTCACAGTGGTTAATGGTAAAGGACACATTGCCAGTACTTTTATTTTATTTATGGTCTTGTTATTGTTTGGAGTGGCAGAAAGTCAGGGAAACGAACTGTGACAAGTTACTAAGAGAGAAGGTAAGCTGGAGGGAACTGTGTGTAACATGAAACAGCATTCGGAGACCAGCAGCAGCTTCAGACGAACGTCAGAACTCAAATGTCTTCGTGGAGCTGTGGGAGACGAGAATAAAGAATTCCCTTTGCTAAATTGGTGAATTAGAAACAGGAGTCATAAATAATTGGATGGTGAAAAAAAAAACACAACTGGATATGGTTTCTCCAGCAGTTGTTATTACTGTTTTTTAACGTTTAACCAATTGATGTGATTTGAAGATCACAAGTGTTCCAAAGAGGCATGAAAATCACTCCGCAGAAAGAAATGGAAAATGTTAAATGTTGATTTAATGAAGAAAACCAAAGGTTTTTCCATTATTATTTTAATACCACACTCGCGGTGACATAAACAGATCATTGACTGTGATCCATTGAGAACATAGAACTGGAGAAATGTATAGCACAGACAAGGAAGCCATTCAGGCATCGTGCCCTTCCCAACTCCCTGAAAGAGCAATGCATTTGGATCCATTCTCCCGCCTTTCCTTCCTCCCCAACCACACCCACCCTTTTATATTCCTCCCTTTTCAGTTATTTAGGTAATTTCCTCTTAGAAATGAATACGAGTTCGACCTCAACCACAGTTCCACGTCAGCTCCGAGATGCCATACAGCGCTATACAAATGCAAGTTGCTGTTAGGTGTTCCACAATGGGATGTATATTTTCTGAAAGTTCATGCATGGTAGTTGCATACATTATTTAGAGCCTCTAATATAAAGGATAACTTCCATATTCCATATTTTCCTGCAAAAATACATAGGCTGCACTTTATAGTAAATCTTGTGAAGTACTTTGAGATGTCCGCCTGACGTGAAAGGCGAGAACGTGCGAGTCAAATGGATTCCGGGAGTTCCAGAAAGTGGAGGAAGATACGCTGAAAGCCTGACCGCCATTGATGGGGTGGGGGACATGAAGTGGACCAGTGCCTGCTGAGCAGTTGGTAAGGAGGTCGCAGAGGTAGGGTGGGAGCAAGAGTATGGAGAGATTTAGATTCGGATGAAGATCTTGAACTCAAACCACGAGGGGATAGGGAGCCAACAGAGCTGGTCAAGGATGGGGGTAATAGGCTCACAGAGCTAAGTGCGGGACAGGACGTGAACTGCAGATTTCTGAATAACCTGTAGATTGTGGAAGGAAGAGACAGGTAGACCTGCTAATATAAGACACAATATCAAATACAAGTTTTTTTTAATATTATGTACGGGNAAAAAAATTGTCCGCAAAACATACAGTCAATCCACTTTACAATATATTCTGTGAAGTGCTTTGAGATGTCTCAACGATGATATAAGGCACTATATCAAATGCAAGGATCATTATTAATATATTTGACAATTCAACACAAGTGAGCATACTCTGTGTCACTTTAAAATATATAACATAGAGAAACAAGCCATAATTTCACTGAAGATTAATTGAATTATTGAATAATAATCAATAAGAACCAAATTCATTGAGGTTCATTTCTCAGTGCAGAAACCATTCAATTAATTTAACCACAAACATTTTAAACACAAAGCACAGTGGATACCGAGGCAAAATACCGAGGCAAAATACAGTGGATATCTTTTAGCTGTTTAAACTCCAGCAGTTCCCCAGTTGACTCTTACCAACCTGCATTTAATAAATTCCCGGATTAGATGTGCAGGGTCTTTACGCAGGCATTTGTTACAAAGGGGTTAGAATATAAGAGTAGGGAAGTCTTGCTGCAACTGTATAGGGGTCTGGTGAGACCGCACCTAGATTATTGTGTGCAGTTTTAGTCTCCTTATTTAAGAAAGGATGTACTCGCCTTGGAGGGGGTACAACGTAGATTCACTAGGTTGGTACCAGGGATGAGGGGGATGAGTTATGAGGATAGGTTGAGCAATTTAGGCCTATATTCTCTAGAATATAGAAGCATGAGAGGTGATCTTTTAGAAACCTATAAGATTATTAAGGGGCATGACAGAATAGACCGTGGGAGACTTTTTCCCCTGGTTGGAGAAACTATAACCAGGGGTCACAGTCTTAAAATTTGGGGTAAGCCCTTTCGCACTGAGTTGAGGAAAAACTTCTTCACTCAGAGGGTAGTGAATTTATGGAATTCTCTACCCCAAAGAGCTGTAGATGCTCAGTCCTTGAACATATTCAAGACTGAGATTGATAGATTTCTTGTGGATTAAGGGATATGGGGATAAGGCAGGAAGGTGGAGTTAGAATAGATCAGCCATGATCTTATTGAATGGTGGGGCAGGCTAGATGGGCCGAGGCAAAGGGAAATTTCCATGCATATGTGGAACTTTAAGTAGTTTGTTTTAAATGCTTTCAAGCATGGTGAAGGGTATCAGCATGTATCAAACAGTCGGCTGACCAAAAATAAATAAATGTCTTGTATGATAGAGAAGAAGCTCAATATTTTGCCTCGGTATTTACTGAGGAAGAGGATGGTGGTGAGAGTAATAATAATCCTTACATTTGGTACAGTGCCTTTCACATCGGGTGGACGTCTCAAAGCACTTCACACGATATAACAACAACAACTTGCATCTGTATAGCGCCCTCCACGCCGTGCGGCGTCTCAGAGCGCTTGACTATGGCAGAGCCCAAGGCCGAGCCGGGGGGGGGGAAGGTGACCATAGGCACTGTCGAAGAGGAAGGCCTTCGGGCGCGACCTGAAGATGGGGAAGGAGGGGGCGAAGCGAAGGGTTTGAGGCAGGGAGTGCAAAAGTTAGAGTTCCAGAGTTTTCAAAGATATACTGGAAAGTGTCATGACTGTGTCTTGTAAGGGAACATGGAAACAAATTTGTACAAAGCAATGAAGCGCCATGGAGTGAATGACCAAATCTAATTGAGTGATTGTCAGCCAGGACACCAGAAGAAACTCTTTTCAAGTAGTGCCAGGGATATATAACGTCTACCTGAACGGGAGACGGGACCTTGAGTTAATGTCTCATCCGCAGAACAGCAGACAATGCAGCACAAACGTTGTTCAGAAGGGGGAAAGAGGAAGAGCTGGGGAACCATAGGCTGGTGAGTCTCACGCCAATGGCAGGTAAGCTGTTTGAGGACATTGTTGCTGAATATGTAGAGATTATGGAGCTGATACCCAGCATGGTTTGCAAAGGGAAGTTTGTGTCTGATTGATTTCTCGGGGGGGTGTGTGTGTAGGAGATGGATTAAAAGAAATAAGTAACCCTTGCATTTGGTGTAGCTCCAAAAACATTACAATCGTTCCAACTTCTCTTGTGTGCTTCTTGTAGCAAAACCCAGCAGCAAGTTTGCACACACGATGAGGAATATTGTCAAGTCAGGATGCTGGGAGAAACCCCCTTCTCTTTTCCAGTATAACCTTAGTAGGATCCTCTTTGTTTGAAGCACAGCACCTATGAAAATTAACGCTCCCAGAACTGCAATAGAGTGTCCGCCCTGCGTTGGTCAAAAACCTAGAACCTTCTGACCTAGAGGCAAGAGTGCTACCAATCTGACATCTGCTGGAGAGCTCGTCGGGGAAGGGTTGGTTTCCTTGTTGTTGGCAGAGTTTGAAGGTGAACGGGGTACACATCTATCAACTGGTGACAGGTGCTTTTATAAAGCCTGACCCACTGGCATGTAAATGTTACCCACAAGATGTTAGGGAAAAGGCTGTGTCAGGGGGAGGCTGTTTTTACTGCATTATAAATATTGTCAGCTGCTGGAGGTTTTGCAGTATCATGTAGCTCATTAAAAGACAATCAGTTTAATTTCACAGAAACTTCCTAAAAAGTCAGTATCATGGAGACCTGGAGCTGTGGAGCTGCAGCTCAGAAGAGAGATACTGCTAAAGCTGTAAATGTCTTAAAGGATTTTTTTTTTACGTGACTAGTATAACGTCTCGACCAGTGAATCCAGATCAGACATGTGCTTCCTGAGTTGTGGCTGGAGCTCCCATTCCTGGGTGACCAGCTGTTGGCTCCAGTGAGGAATTACAAAGGGCTGAGTGTTGGCCATTTAAACTTTAAACCCTTTTTAGTGCAGCTGTTTTTTCAGCACTCAGCAGCCATGCAGCATGTTTCAAACCATTAACCCAGATGAACGGGACCTTTAAACGTGCTGGATGTGATTTCTTGGAGCTGTTGATTTCATGTCCTTCAGATGGGAGCCGCCATCGCCAAACTCCTTCTCCCAACTCTCAGCAGCCTGGTCTTCCTGCCGACCATCACCATCGCGGCCCGGCGGGGCTTCCACATGGAGGCCATGGTCTACTTCTTCACCATGTTCTTCATAGCGGTGAGAAACGACTGGGACATCACACAACATTTCAGAGCTTTCCCTCCAGGAGATAGATACTCAGAGGTGGAGACAAACACAGAGCGGAGACAGACACGGAGGTGGAGACAGAAAACCAAAGAATCAGTGAGACAGACACACAGAGTGATAATAATAATAATCCTTACATTTGATAGAGCACTTTTCATATCGAGAGGATTGTAAAATGGAGTGACTGTGTATTCTTAAGTGAACGCGGCAGCCAATTTGCCAACAACAATGTCTCACAAACATTCAGGAAGTGAACAATCAATTTTTGTATTGGGGGATTTTCAGCCGGGATACCGGAAGAAATGCACACAATGATAGAGACAGACACATATGGTGATAAAGACTAAGATGCTTAAGGTGGTAGAGACAGACGCATAAGGTAATAGAGACAGACGCATAAGGTAATAGAGACAGACGCATAAGGTAATAGAGACAGACGCATAAGGTAATAGAGACAGACGCATAAGGTAATAGAGACAGACGCATAAGGTAATAGAGACAGACGCATAAGGTAATAGAGACAGACGCATAAGGTAATAGAGACAGACGCATAAGGTAATACAGACAGACGCATAAGGTGATTGAGACAGACGCATAAGGTGATAAGAGACTGACACATATGTTGATAGAGGCAGACTCTGATGGGATGTTGGAGACAGACTTTACTTAGTTATAAAGTCGATGCTCGGATGAGTTGGCTATCAGATTGTCAGTGGGAGAGATGGTGTTTCTGACTTTGTGTCTCTGCTAAAACCGAGCTGTGTTTTGTGTTTCAGTTTTTCCATGCATGTGAGGGACCGGGGTTCTCCGTGCTCTGTATCATGAGATACGAGATCCTGGAATATTTCAGCGTTTACGGCACTGCCCTGTCCATGTGGGTCACCTTAATAGGTAAGTACCCGAGGTCCTGGCACATAATAGTGATGGAACTGAGTGCCTGGGTGATTGCATACACAGTCTGAGCTACGGGAATTAATGTGCTGTTTTCCAATCAGCTTTAGCAGAATTTGAGGAGCCCAGACGGTCAACGCTGGTTATGTTTGGAATTCTGACACTGAATGTGCGGATTTATCAAAACCGATGGGGCTACGGAGTTTACTCGGGTCCGATTGGAACAGCTGTCTTCATGATCACAGTGAAGTTTGTACGTGATTTTATCTATGTCGTGTGTGTGTGTATCAAGTCTCTCATCTTCAGATTCCTGCACATGCAAGATGTGATCAAAGAATACAGTACAGAATAGCTGCTCTGTGTCTGACTCTGTCTCAATCTCTGTGTTTATCTCTATGCATCTCTTACTATGTCTATGTTGTTTGAGATCAGGACACTGGACTCATTTAAAAAAAACAGCTTAATGCTACAATGGGTACAATAGTAGATATTCTGTGAGGATGAGATCAAATGGACCAAAAGGCCTTCTTCATCCAAACCTCTCATGTGATCTTCATCTTGTGTGTGTATCTACGTATCTGTGTGTATATATCTGTGTTTATGTAGGTGTGTACATCTTTTTGTGTGTGTACCTCTAAGTATGTCTGTCTGTGTCTGTACTTAATCTCTGTATCTGCATCTCTGTTTCTCAGAAAACTGGGAAACAAAACTCAACAAGCCATGTTCTCAGCCCTATTTGGGTCTGCCATCCTCCTGGGTTCTAGAATGGTGTATTTTTACAGTCTGTTCCAACATCCCACGCAAACCATTATCTCTCCAGCCCTCTTCCCCAATCCAAATACACACCTCCTCTGGACCTTCCCTCCCCACACTCTGCACAGTGACTTCTTGCCCAACTCAGTGGGGGAATGTGAACAATAACCACGTGCTGCCACGTGGTGGCGCACTGTCATTTTCTAGACTGAGCTCAAAGTCTCGACATGGGGCTTGAACCCAAAACCTTTTGACTCCGAGGAATAAGGAAACTTGCCTACGGTTTCGCCCCTCCTGGGGATTGAACCCGGGTCCCCTCGCTTGCGAGGTGCTATCACTCACTGAGCCGCCGACAGCGTCACTCACACTTCACAATGAAAACAACCTGCTTTTCTTGGAGGTTGGCCACACCGAGTGGAACTCACGAGCGGCAGACGCAAAGGAGACACTGCTCGAAGCTTCCACATCCTAACGCTTGTCTGCCAGCGGAAAGTAGATCAGATGAAATAAGGTTTTCAATGACGTGGAGAAAACAAGGGGGATTCGAAATTCCACCTAGTCTTAGCCTGTGAGACTGTTTTCATTTACAGATTAAAATTCAGTCCTAATTTGGTTGCTGGTAATTCTTTAAGAACTCCAGCACAACAGTTTCCAAATTCAGCCGGGATTTTCCACAAATTTGCATTTTAGACAGACAAAATGACCCTGCAGGCTAATACCGAGTGTAATTTCAGACCTTCTACTTCAATCGTGCAGTTAGGCTCGAAAGGCAGCACTCTCGCTTCGGAGTCAAGGTTGTGGGTTCAAGTCCCACATTGGGACTTTGAGCTCATAGTCTAGGCTGGCAGCGCTGCAATGTCAGAGGTGCTGTCCTTCGGATAAAATGTTAAACTGAGATGCCGTCCAGCTCTTCAGGTGGATTTTAATGACCACATGGCACGATTTGAAAGGAGAAGGGAGTTTCTCTCTCCCAGTGTCCTGGCCAACCACCCCCCGGGTAAAATTGGTCACTCAATCCATGGCTGTTTGTGGGACATTGCTAGGCACACACTGGCAATTGAGTTTGCCGACAAAATACACGTAGTCACTATACTCTACAGTCAAGTCCTGTGAAGCGCTCTGAGGTATCTCGATCACATGATGATAAAATTTGCTATATAAAAATGCAAGGATTATTTCAACATTAATCTACAAAATCATCTCTTGTTTTTTAGCTAAAGAAGATGAAAGAAAAGAGAGGGCTGTACCCGGATAAGAGTGTGTACACACAGCAGATTGGACCTGGCTGCTGCTTTGGGGCGCTGGCTCTAATGCTGCGTTTCTTCTTCCAGGTACGTCTCACCCTATTCCCACCACTCCACTCCCGGTAAAACATAGCATCAGATTTCCCTCTGTGCACACAGCGGTACACAAGTGTCCACATACAGCATCACGCAGACGCCTCCTCATCCCTGCCCTCCTCTAATAATAATAATAATCCTATCATCTGATATAGCGGCTGATCACGTCTCAAAGCGCTTCACAGAATATATTGTAAAGTGGATTGACTTGTATTTTGTGGGCAAATGACCAGTTTGATTTGGAGCATTGATGGCCAGGACGTTAACAATTAAATTAACCGTCACAACAAGAAGGAATTAGCAAAGGTTGTCGGTGACATAATTAAGAGCAGGCGAGCATCGCTGACAGACGGGTAGTGCTACAGCGGGCCGTGACTGAGTTGCCAGCGCAGACACTCGCTCTTTGCTTTGCAGGAATGGGATTACAGCTACGTGCACAGCTTCTACCACTGCAGCCTGGCCGCCTCCTTCATCCTGCTGCTGCCGAAAACTAACTCCCAGGGCACAGGCGGAGGCAACCCGATGAAGCTCAGCTGCTGCACCCTCTGCTGCTGCGCCTGAACGCTTTGGCTGCGGCTTTCCCCGCGTCAGCATCGCGTGGTGTTCTACAGCTGCGTCAGCCGCGTGACCATTCCTCCGCGCAGCACGAACAATCCTTACGTTTGGTATCCTGCGCTTTTCAAAGCTCTCTCAGAGCTGTGTATTTGTAGGCGAACGCGGCAGCCAGTTTGCGTACAGCGTTGCCCCACAATCAGCCGTGAAATGAACGGGAGAGAGAGAAACTTGCTTCTCTTTTTGAGCAGCGCAACGGGATGCTTAACGTCCACTTGAACATCCGAAGGCTGGCATCTTCAATGGTGCAACATCCTTCCCCGCCCCCCCCCCACTACTACCACCACCACCAGGGATGCATTGTAGCGTCAACCTAGGCTGTGTATGTTATATAGTGCCCCTCATGCTGGGAAGCGCTCTGGGACGCTATATAAATGCAAGGTGTTCAAAGTCCTGACGTTGGGTTTGAATACACAATCGTCTGTCTCGGAGGCGAAAGTGCTACCCACTGTGCCAGGCACCATGACGCAGTTGGGGTCTAATTTCCGATATTCACAAACTCGGCAAACCCGCCACCGGTTAAGGCGGCGAAATTCCAAGCAGGCAAATGTGGGCATTGAGCGCCGTGGGCGACGAGCAAATCCCAGGCCACTGGCTCCACTAGGTCCTGCGTCAGCGGCGTTTACAGTCCCCTCGGTATTTCAAGCGCTCCGGGACCCTACCCCACGCAAAAGGCGCTATTTAAATCCAAGTTGTTGTTGTGGTTGTATTCTCACCATTCGGTGTGTAACAGACAGAGCAGGCATTCCGTCAACTGTATAATATACTGAGTGACATGTTGTGATGATTTCCAGATTATAATATTGTTGTGGTCCCAAGTGTATAAAGTGAGAAGTTTTCCCTAAATCTGTGGTTCCTGTCTTAAGTGTACAGTGGAGGTGTGACCGCACCCCTGGCTAATGCAACTCTTCCCCCAGCACCGCATCGGAGTATCAGACTAGACCATATGACCCCAAGTCCCAAATGTGGGATTTGAACCCACAACCTTCCCGCCCACAGCGGCAGGATTTCTACCGACTGAGCCAGACTGACACGAAACACTGGTAAATCACAGGGAAGACGGAGAGGTGCGGAGCTCGGCATCAGGCGGAGGGTGATTGGAGCACAAGGTGGGAAACGTAGCAATAAAAATAACAGGACATGAAGTACACTTAAAGCTAGTTTATTAGCACAGGTTTGGTAACAGCCTCATAAACACAGAGCAGCCGTGGCAGCAGTGCTTCGAGCTGTGACTTGCAGAGGGAGACAACTACAAGCAGAAGTCTGATAGGTTGAGTGGTCTGTTTCTGTGCGGGGACATTCAGTGACTCTATGCCTGGACCCCCGAGGTGGAGCCAGGTTTCTGCAGACCCCTGAACCCCAGCGGGTCACTCCTGCTCCTCTATCCTCCCTTAAACTTAACACGTTCACCTGAGACACAAAGCCAGCCCCAAAGCTCGGGTGCAAACCCTTCACTGTCCAGCGCCTTGAGACGTCCTTCCGACATGAGATGGGCTGTATAAATGCAATGTGCGCTGACACTTGGGACGAAATCAAGAACCAACACGGTAAAGATTCCAGTCGCTGATCAGCAACACGCGTTTAACTATCTCCCAGGGACCTGCGACTGTTATTCCCGGTCCCATAGCGGAGAGAATTGCAGACGGGCGGCGTTTCAACGTCTCAGTTACAGGCCGGTGGTTCTGCCTGCTGGAAACCGGCCAGTAAGTGGCCCTGCTGCTCCTGCAATCTGGTGACTCTCTTCTCCAGCGAACTCAGAGCTTCCTCTTGTTTCCTAAAGACTTGAAGGACCTCTGGAACAACAGGCAGAGAGACCAGGGGTGGCCACGGCAGGGGTAGTATGTGCAGCGGGGAGTGGTGCAGGGGAATGGCACGTGGAGTGGGGAGAAGTGCAGGGGAATGGAGTATTCAGTGGGGAGCAATTGCTTGGAGACATACAAAAGGAGCTACACTGGATATTTAATCCGAAGCCATAAACGCAGGTATTTTCAACAGGTGAGTGGAATACAGTCGAATAAGGCGGGTTGTCATTTTATAGACCCCAGCGCTTATCTTATAACAGGGCTCTACTGTAGTCCTCAATAATAATAATAATCCTTGCATTTGATATAGCGCCCTATCACGTCTTCAAGATGTCTCAAAGCGTTTCACAGAATACATTCCAAATGGAATTGATTGTATATTTTGCGGGCGCAACGAGGCAGCCCATTGCGCACAGCAGTGTCCCACAAACGGACAGCAGCGGGTCGAGTGACCAAATTATTATTTTTTCTGTTTGTTTTTTTTCCCCAAGATTTGTTTTAAGATTTAAACCTTTCGCAAAGAAACCGGTGATTCTCCCGAACTGGTCGCTCAGAAATAGTCGAAACGCCGGACGTTCAGCACCACAACAACAACAACCTGCAGATGTACGGCACCCTCCGCGAGGAGGGTTGGCGTCCCAGAGCGCTCAAACACTACCGACCTCTCAGTTCCTGCAGCGTGTTGTGGGTGAGTTGGGTCTGGGCTCGGGCCAGCTGCTCTATGCGTCGCTGGGCTTGGGAAGCTCGCTCCAGGGCTGCGCCTGTAACCCGACTCTCCTGCTCCACACAGCTCTCCGCCACTGACATTGCTCCACTTCTGTTTCTCCTCCTCTGTGAAACCACAAGTTTGGCTGAAAAGTTATTCTGTGCAACTTTCCCTTTTCCAAAGCAACAAATCAAACGATTAGGAGAATTGAGGCCAGAATTCCACCTGGTCTTAGCCCGTAAGACCACATTATTATTATTATTAATAATAACAATCTTTGCATTTGTTGCAGTATCTGTAACATCAAAACACTTGCCCCATTCCCGGATGCTGTGAAGTGTAGTGACTGTTTAATTGTAGACAAACTCGACAGTCAATTTGCGCACACACACAAATAGAAGCAAGTGACCAATTTATGTGGGAGATCATTTATGATGACTTTTCTGCCATAATTTTAAGATTCTGCTACAGTCTTAGCAGCACAAATTCCAGTACAGAGGTGTATGGCTGGGTAATAGTAATAATAATAATCCCTGCATTTGATATAGCGCCTTATCACAATCCTGAGACGTCTCGAAGGACTTCACAGAATATATTGTAAAGTGGATTGACTGTAATTTGTGGGTAGAACGCGGCAGCCAATAGCGCATAGCTGTGTCCCACAAATATTCGTGAATTGATTGACCAAATTATTATATATTTTTTAAGAGATTATTACCCCAAAAAGCGATCCACCAATTGACTAACACCTGGGTTCCTACTTACTACTAGGTAAACAGAGGCCTAAGGTTTCGCCCCGTTTAAAAAGTACCAATCCATCAATGCTAACTACTCCAACCTCACTTCCCTGCTCTTTCCCAGTACCTTCTTAACACCCTTCCTCGGAATCCCAGCCATAATATAAACCATTACAAAACAGACTGCAATAGACAGAAGGCCTGGCCTGCCATTCAGCAAAGTCTCAAAGTGGTTTCCTAATTAAATGAGTGCAATCGCTTTGTGCCAGTGATATGTCAGAGGCTCCTGTGTGTGCAGCCTTCACTCCAGCCTTTAATAGATGCTCCTGACAGGTATGTGTAGCACTCCCACTGTGCGGAGCGGCAGCCTTGGTCAGACAGGAGGCTGTCCAACTTGTGTGAAGGTATCGAGTGGCACCTAACCATCTGGAGGACATTCCGAATGGACTCGCTTCCAAGACGCTACAGACGTTGTAACCGTGGAATCCGCACAATAATAAATCCCTTAAAACAAATCCGGGAATGGGGCCAAGCATTCCTACAGAGAACTGTGATGCAAAAGGCTGCTTAGAAAGAGCTCCGGGACAGGAAGTGCAGGAATCCAGAGGGTGTGGTGCTGGACTAATCTCCACCGGTGATTGCAGTTACCTGGGCAGCGAGGGGAGTTACCTGGGCAGTGGCTGTAGTTACCTGGGCAGTGAGGGGAGTTACCTGGACATTATGTTGCAGTGCTTGGTGTAGGCTGAGCAGGTGAGTGTGGAGCTGGGACAGCTGTAGTCGCTGGGAGGTGTGGCACTCAGTCTCTCGCTCCACCTCCGCCACCAGCGTCTCAACCTCAGCAACGTCCTGCAGTCTGATCTCTAGCAATTCCTCCTCCTGTTAACAAAATAAAAGCAATCAAGTAAGTATTGAGTTAGGTGTAGATTACAACAACAAATTACATTTGTATGGAGCCTTTCACCTCGGAAGGACATCCCGAGGTGCTGGACAGTCAGAGATTTGGACTCGAGCAGGGGACTGGGTTCAGGGGGCGGATGGAGGGTAGGGAGAGTAGGGGACTCTTCCAGCACTCTACAGCTGACGATTCTCGCTTGGGTCCTGTAGCGTAGTAGTTAACATGCTCGCCTCACAAGCCAGAGGACCCAAGTTCGATTCCCCGGCAGGTCAAAACCTTTGGCAAGTTTCCTCACTCCACACGTTTCTGTTTACCGAGCGGTAAGTAGGAACCCAATTGTTAAGTCAATTGGTGGATCGCTTTCCGGGGGATTATAATTCCTTCAAAAAAAAAATCACTATCCACAACTGTTTGTGAGACATTGCTTCGCGCAATTATTGACTGCCACGTTTTGCCCACAAAATATACAGTCGATTAATTTTACATTATATTCTGTGAAGCATTTTGAGACATCCGAAGAACATGACAAGGTGCTATATCAAATGCAAGGATTATTATTTATTATTACACCATGTGCTCTCTTGAGTGCAAAATTAAGGCACTCGACAGCTAACGACTAACTTACACGCCTGGCTCTCTTCTGAGAAACCGCTAGCAGTGGTGCGATGTGCTCCAGTGTGGTTTGTACACGTTGTAGCTCGCTCCTCACAGTCGCTGTCTGTGTTTCCATGTCTCGCCTCGCTGATACAACACCTTGAGCTGCAAGCCTGCAAAATCAAGATTTTTTTCTGGTTAGCCGGGTGTCTGATACCTGCAATCACCAAATAATCCTTGCGCTACATCAAATGCAAGGATTATTATTATTATTACGATTATCATTAAAACTAAGCAGCCTTTAGGATCGATCAATGTAGTGCTCAGTCTGGTGCAAACACAGGGCAAGAACCTCCACCCCTACAGACACAGACACACACACACGTCTGCTATGATGGATGACGCACTCTGTTGTACCTGATATTATAATACTGACCGGACAAGAAGAAAAATACGATATTCTTCTTCCTTTCTGCTCATTATTTAATATCAAAAAATGCATCAATTGCCACATTCTGGAGCCGGCTGGGCTCTGCTCCACATAGTTAGGGGCTTGTTTTACTAGTGGGCTGCGGTCGGTTTGCTCAAAAGAATTCATTGTGCTACCGCAAAGCATTGTGCAGACTGGCAGGAGATGTAATACTCGCCGCGCGCGAGCTTACGTTTCTGGAGAAGCTTCCAAGCAAAGCAGCGGCACGTCACCCGCTCACCGCAGCCACAGGCCAGGAGGTGACGCAGAGCGACTCGGTGTCGCTCCCCGTTAAGTTTATCCATGGCCCGGAGACCAAGGGCCTCGCAGTGTTGTGTGTAAGTTAATATTTGCTCTGCAAATGATACCAGAGAGGACCCGCGTTCAATTCCCGGGGTGGGGGGGGGCAAAACGTTAGGCACTGTTTACCTAGCAGTAAGTTAGTTGTTAAGTCGCTTTCCGGGTGTAATAATCCCTCCAAAAAAAAATCTGTCCACTCAATGCTGACTGTTTGTGGGACACTGTTGTGCACCTTTGGCTGCTGCGTTTCACCCACAAAATACACAGTCACTCCACTTTACAATAGATTCCGTGAAGCGCTTTGGGAAGTCTCAACGACGTGATAAGGCGCAATATCAAATGCACGGATGAAATAACTGCTCTTCAAATGATACTACACTTTACAAGGAGACGCAGCTTGCTGCACGGCCCCTGCCCATTCACGGTGGGTTTGGCTGAGGGGCAGGCTCTGTGGTTTGGCTGCACAGGGGTCATTTTAAGCAGCATCTGGGGAACGTAATTCGACCCGAGAGAGAGAGAGAGAGAGAGAGCGAGACGCCAAACATCAGAATGAAATGGACTCTGGGCGGCAGTGGGCACCTCTCTGTGTGTATGTCTGCTCGCTGAATTAAGCTCTTTGAGACTTCCTCTCGACCCGAAAGGTCCTGTATAAAGCATATTGTAGAATTCCTTCAGAATCGGGGTGTACGAAAAAAAATGCGGGTTTTGGTTGACACCTTGAAATCTCTCCCCCTCCCTCCTCCCTCTCCCCACCGCACCCACCCACCCACCCACCCACCGTACATCCCCCTCCCCAGCCAGCGTCTGCGTCCCTCACACCCACTTCCTCACTGCTCCAGCCGGCGAACTGCTTTCCTGTGAGGTTCACTCAATCCTGACATGACCTGCGAGGTGCACAAGAGAAAACACAGCGCACCGCAGTCACAGGGGCAGCAATTCTCTAGCAGGTGGTGGTGGGGTGGAGGGGCTCGGGATGCTTTAATGGGGTGGGGGGGGTTCAGGATTTCAGAGGGATATGGTCAACACAGACCTGTCCGATGCAGGCTCCCCAGGGCTCCCAATAACATGTATGAATGGCGGGTCATTCGGGGCAGGGATTCTTCCCACTCAGCTCCTGCTAACCCTGCAAGCCAAAGCCATAGCGGGTAGGGTGGTCCTACCTGGACGAGCAGCAGGAAAGTGTCCCAGACAGTGCTCTCAATGGCAAGCTATGCGTTTTCAGCTGGTTGGACTCCACCGGTTACCCCACACACTCTGGGGGCCCCAAGCCTTGACCCCCTACCATCCTGTGCCTAATACTTTCTGGAATCGAGTAAACCGGGTGCATCCCTCTAGGGAGAGAGTGCGCATTCCATTCCAGACACAGGGAAATTTCCACGTGCAGGTGGCAAACATACGTGGTGCTCTCAGTCTGGTTTGGAGATTCTTAAGCCGAGTGATGGGTTTCCTCATGTGTCACACACCCAGCCAGTAATGTAAGGATCATAAGGGAGAAATTCCAGCTGGATATAGATTTAAGGCCTCTGAGTGTCTGGAATTTGACAAATTATTGAATTCAGTGCTGGCGACGAAGAACTTATAACAACTTACAGAAAAACAGCTTTAAAATTATGACTGATATCTGAGAATTTGTCAAATTCTGGACACACTGAAATGTCGCATAAATCAACGAAAGATTTTCCTCTCTTCCTTACCCATTGTGGCACATTTCTGAGCGCTCGCTTCGTAAGCGAGAAGACCCAGCTTCGATTCCCAGACAGGGCGAAACCTTAGGCAAGTTTCCTTACTACTTGCCTCTGTTTACGTAGCAGTAAGTAGGAACTCGGTTGTTAGGTCAATTGGCGGATTGCTTTCCAGAGGTAATAACGTCTCTAAAAAAAAATTGGGGTCACTCAATCCATGACTGATTGCGGGACACTGCTGTGCACAATTGGCTGCCGCGTTTTGCCCAGTCACTACACTTGATTCCACGAAGCACTGGGATAGGTTTTGCTATTATTATTACTTGTAAGTGTGCTGTGCTGCTGTTAGTGCGTGGTCACATTGCCGGGCAGAGTTCTAACCCACAACTGTCAACAGCGAGGAGAGAGAGAGAGGGTGGAGGAGAGAGAGGGAGCGAAGGAAAGAGAGAGAGAGAGAGAGAGGGCGGAATGAGTTGCCAGGGGTTGCTGTTGGAGCAGAGCTAATTGGGGCAATTAAAAGGAATGAGAGAGGCATACAGGGGGAAGGGGATATGTGCGGACGGGGAAAGAGCAGAGAGTTAGGATCAGGGTAACGCTGGCTGACACCTCATGTCCCCCTCTCTGACTTACAAAGCCTGTGTGGATCTGTGCAGGGAGCTCTGTGCCACCTGACGCCCAGCCTCAGCCTCTGTCCTGGCCACTGTCACATCACCATCACTGGCACTCATTGCCGTCAGCTCATCCACGACTTCCAGAATGTTCTGCAGAGCTGCTGGGGGACTGGACGTTGTGTCCTGCAAGAGACTTAGATGACAAACGTATGACAGCTCCACACTGAGCCCAGCTAACCCCAACCACACACCCTGGGCTCTCTGTGATCTGGTATACCTGGGCCCTGGGATCTCCAGGTTCATCTTCCCCCTACTCATGGCTCTGGCTTATGTTGCTGCGTTGAGTGTCAGCGCCCCCCCACCCCTCCTTTCCCTCCCCCCAGCGCTCGCCTGCTGAACATATTGAACCCCAACCACCTCTCGTCTAGTGTCTCGCAAGACCTTGAGCAACAACAATTTACATTTACACAGCGCCTTTCACGTCAGGAGCACATCTCAAGGCACTGGATAGTGATGGGTTTGCACCCGAGCTGCAGGTTGGGATCAGAAAGGGGAGGAGGGTGGGGGGGGCTACGGTTGGAGGGAGAGTGACTGAAGGCACGGTCGAACAGGGAGTTCTTGAGGTGGGTCTTAAAGGAGGCAAAGGAGGAGGCGAGGCTGAGAGACTGTTTGATGGAGTTGTAGAAGGTGGATGTTGAAAGGCTGAATGCCTGACTGCTGATGGTGGAGCAGGTCAGTGCCCGCCAAGCGGAGAGAGCAGAGAGGTCTAATCCTGCGCCTCTCACCGGTGCAGCGACTCAGTCCCTTGCAGCACTGAGTCCGCCCTGCGCTGCTTCTGCTGCAGCTGCTCCAGGTGTGCAACCAGCTCCCGTCTCGTCTTCTCTGTCAGGGCACCCAGAGCGCCCACAGCCCGCCCCGACTCCTCACTCTGCTCCTGAGAATGCCGCAGGTGCAACCGGGTTTCCTGCAAATAATAATAATAATAATCCTTGCATTTATATAATCCTCTGCGCCTTATCATATCACTAAGGGGTAGGTGCTGGAACCCTCTTGATAGAACGTAAATGATATCAGACGAACTGTGAGGAACTCTTATGTACGACAGGACGCTTAGAAAACAGCAACAGCATGGGTGTACATAATCCTCTTCGCGCAGGATAGCGCCTGGGAGCGCTGAGACATCTCATGGGGAGCCTTATAGAGCTTTACGAGACGTGAGATGAGAGAGAGAGAGAGAAAGCGAACGCAGAACATTACTTCCAGACACACCTGAACGTGGTGTAAATCCTCCAACACTCGGCTCAGGTTGTTGGTGGTGTCGAGGACGGCCGTGCGAACCTGGCTGTCTGCCAAGGCCCGAGCGAGGGTCAATTGTGGATCTGCCCCTTTAAGAGGCTCAGGTCCGGCTGGAGTTGCGCCAGCCGGGTGTCCAGCTGGGCGGCTTGTCTCTGTAACGTCCTTGCGGCTTCGCTGGAGGTCCAACCGTCCGCCTCCTGCCGCAGGGAGCGAAGGGCGCTCAGGCTGCGAGCGGCGGCGTCTCTCAGCGTCCGGCTCTCTGCAGCCAGCGCGTGTGAGCGGGCCGCTGCGGAGCGCGAGCGAGAGAGGTGCAGGCGGGTCTGCTGCGCGGTGGCGTTGGCCTGGCTGCGGAGGTGCCGCACAGCGCCGAGGAACCCGTCGATGGTCCCACGCAGCCCAGAGAGGTCGCTTGAGCCGAGGCTGGAAATTGGGTCCAACCGCAGCAGCTGCCGCAGGGTCTCGTTCTGCGACGACAGCTCTCGCCGGCTCTCCTCCAGCAGCCCGGAGCACCTGCTGATACCTGCGGAGAGCTGAGGCACAGGAGACGTTAAATTGACTCGCTGTGCTGTCGTCAACCCTTGCCCTGGAGCACCGCGGAGCCGTTTGGTTCAGGAACCGAACCGGAGACCGTCACGGAGGGTGGGCTCGATTCTGACATCTTGTGGTCAGGCAGGTCACCACTGAGCCAGCTCAACTCCCACGTGACCCCTTCACCGTCCCCCACCGCCCCACACCCCCCCCCAAGGAAGATTTAATTTTGACCCTTACCCACAGCCCCCACCTACAGTGTTACTGCGCGAGCTGAACCCGAGCCGGTGGGGGTTGGGGTGGCGGTGGGGGTGGAAAGGAGGGGGGGAAGCTGGCGGGAGGTGATACCCACTTTGCTCAGAGATACATCCATCGCTGTGAAGGCTGAACTTGCCAACAGCTCTTTGCCCAGGCTCTGCCTGGCACGTTCCCACTCGCTCACCACCGATCTCACTTCCAGCGAGAGATTCTGCGTAAGAGAAAAGTAACAAAGCTACAAACACACCCCCTCCCCACCACCCGTCTCCGGTCACACTTTATTTTTCACCACGCCCGCGACCTTACATTTGAGACAGCGCCTTTCACATCGGAAGGATGTCCCCGAGCGCTTCACAGGATGGGACCGAGGTGGAGGGGTAGAGGAAGAGTGTTCCGGGGAGTAATGGGTGAAAGTGCGGCCACTGATGGTGGAACGGAGGGCGCGAACGAGGGACAAGCGGGAGGCCAGATTCAGACGAGCGGAGACAGTGGGTAGTGGGTCGGGGAGTGAACAGATCAGAGTGGTAGGGAGGTGCCAGGGGGCCGGGAAAGACGTGGTGGGGAGGGGAAGACACCGTGGGGTGTGAGCGGGCATGCGTACCTGTGGGTTATTCTCACTGTAAATTAGCGCCTCAGACTGCAGTGTGCCTGACAGCCGCAACAACTCAGAGCCCAGGTCCCGGAGCGTGTGGTTCCACTGAACAAAACACTCAGGACACGGGTGACAACGGGGGAAATCCTCTGGGAAACAAGGAATAAAACAGTCAGGATTCCTGGGCGTGGAAACACTTTACGTCTGTCGGTAACTCTCAACCTGGTCAACAATGGTGCTACGAGTACTGTAATACCCCTTAAACTGAGTAACGTCACTCCGCCCCAGCCCACCACCAACCCCCCCCAGCCCACCACCACCACCACCCCCGAGGTCTGTCGCTCCCCCCACCCCCTCCGGTGCGGTCGCTTACCCTGGGTGCCGAAGGGCTGACACCGGTCACAGTGCTGCCCTACCACATCTGGAAGGCAGTGACACTGGCCAGTGTGAAGGTCGCAGGTCACAGCTCGGGCTCTCGTGCCCCGCACGTCACACTCACACGCTGAGAGATAGATCACAACACAAGCCGGTCAGTCACGAACCTGGCCTGAGGCATGGGGTGGGGTGGAGGGGGTTGGGGGGAGGGATGCAACGATTGTCCTGTGGGAGGAAGATTCTGCGAGTGCTAAAGCATCGTGTGGTGTGTGTCTATCTATGTCTGTATGTGTCCGTCTATGTGTGTGTCTGTGTATATTTGTGTGTGTGTGTGAATGTGTGTCTGTATCTGTGTGTACGTGTGTGTGAGTGAGTGACTGTGTATATATGTGTGCGTGTGTGATTGGTGAGGTGGGGGGGGGGGTGATGTGGTGGGGGGGTTGGGTTTTTCTGCGTTGTGGAGTGGGGCTGATGTCGGAGACATACCTGTGCACCTCTGCAGCGAATCCCAGTAGAAGCCGTCCTCACAGTCCTCACAGTGCTGACCCACAGTGTGAGCCAGGCACTCGCACTGGCCTGTCACCTGGAACCACAAGACACCACTGACCTCAGCCTCCTTCCGAAGACACCCGTCCTACTGGAGACACTGACCTGACACACACTACAGCACCATTACAGTCAGACTCTCACCCCCAAAACATGACAGTCAGAACTACACCCAACCACTACAGGCAGATTGTCATCGCAGCTGTCAGGGGTTGAGTGGTCACCAAAAGCTCTCTCACAGCTCCTTCACTTTAGGATAAGGTCTCTGCCAGCATCAGAGTCCAGAGTGTGCAGTCCTAATGGCTAGGGTGGTCCTAGATGGTCAAATAAGAGGAAAGCTTGCCAGACCATGTGGTTTTAGCTGCTTAGATTCCAGCAATTACCCTAACGCACACTCTGGGCTCCCCAAGCCTTGGCTCTTGCCAACCTGAGCTGAATACACTCCCGGATTAGGTAAACAGGATGAGTCCCTCCAGGGAGAGAGCGAGAGAGTGCACACTCCATTCCAACAATCTATCCCTGGGATTTCCACGTGGAGGTGGGATGCATGGAATTCTCCGTGTGGTTTGGATATTCTTAAGCTTGGTGATAGGGTTCCACATGTGTCAGACACCCGGCTAAACCCCTCCAAAGGAAACCCGCCAGGTACTCACAGGGTGACAGGCAGAGGAGGCTGACCCTGGCTGGTGACAGGCACAGGGCTGACATCCCAGGAACTGGCTGCTGTGAAAGCCCCAGAAGCTGGCACTCCGGCATCCGCTGCACTTGGGCCCCGCCACGTTGCGGAGACAAGGACACGTTCCCGACTGCCTGTCACACCACCCTGCGCTGCCTGATGGCTCACAGTCACACGCTGCCGGAGAGATGCACAGGAATCATTACTTGCGGCCGCAGGCACTCGACATCCTAGCAGTTCCCGCTTCCTTCATCCTTTCTCTCCCTTTATCCTAAACTGGCTTTGGTGAGAAACATCAGTCTGGCCTGAGAGCAGCCTGCACACAACCAGGAGACCCTCCCCTCACCTCTCTCGTCACCATTCTCCCCCATTCCCCCTCTCTCTCTCCCCATTCCTTCTCTCGTTCCCCCATTCCTTCTTTCGTTACCCCATTCCTGCCCTCTTTCCCCCATTCCCTCTCCCCCATTCCCTCTCTCTCCCCATTCCCTCCCTCCTTCCCTCCCTACTTCCATCCCCCTCTCTTTCTCTCTCTCTCTCTCTCTCTCCCCCCCTCATCCCCTCCCTCCCTTCCCCATTTCCTCACTGAGCCCTGTGCCAGCTCAGTGGTCTGCACCTCACAGTCACAGGGAGACATTTCACTTCCATTCACAGCACTGCGGTTGGATTCAGACACAGTGATAGGGTTGAGGCTAGTGTTAGATTTTAACTTTGCGGACGGATAGGCATTAGACACATCTCGTGTTCCTGGTCCCTCCGGGTTCTGAAGTTTGATCAAATTTCCCCGGGGTTGGGAATGTATTGCCTTACTCGAAATGTTGAACAAGAATTTTAGACGTTAGGTTTTAAATCCCATTTGAGTGTGGGATTCTCTTCTTGGTTTTGTCGGGGTTTATTAATTGCATATGGCAAAATACTGCAATGGCTGGAAATCTGAAACAAAAACAGAAGTCGCTGGGAACACTCAGCAGGTCAGACATCTATGGAAAGAGGAAAGTGAGTTAATATTTCAGGTCGATGACCTTTTGTCAGAACGTTCAATGACTTGAAACTTATTAATTTCATATTTAATCCTTTCTTGGGGCCGTGGGTACAGGGATCTAAATTGCAGGCTGGTGTTTTGGTGAAGGCAAGCCCCAAGCTGTGCATTTCATTTTTTTAGGATTAGGGTTTAGGGGTCGGGATAGTTTGTGTTAAAGGATTCAGGGTCTAAGCTGCAGACTGAGGATTTGGTTAAGGTTAGTGTTAGGGTTGGGTCAGGGTTAGTGACTGGGTCGAGGTTAGTATCACTCTATGTAACTCTGTCTCTTGGATTGGTTAGGGTTAACGTCAGGTTTGGTGTTAGAGTAGGAGTCCTGGTTTGGATCAGAGTTTTGGATTAGATTCAGAAGCAGATTTGGAGTTGGGATCGGGTTTAGGGTTAGTGTTAGGGTCAGAGTCCTGGGACTGGGGCCCAACCCACTCTTGTAATTTATTGAGCTCTTCCAGTCGGATTCAGCTTAAGAGCCTGACCTGTATTTTTGCCCAACGCATACCTGTGCAGTTACTGCCCAGTCCTGGGGTGACCTGCCCGAAGTATCCCTCCTTACACTGCTCACAGTGAAAGCCAGAGGTGTCCTGGGCACAATGGGTGCAGAGTCCTGTCGTTCTGTCGCACAGAGCAGGGCTGTTGGTGCACCGACATCGCCTGCAGGCTCCCCCTTCAATCTGAGAGAAAACAACAACGACAACGTGCACTTAGATAGCGCCCTCCCACTCAGGGTTAGCATCTCAGAGCGCTTGGTCTGAGAAAAGATAACATAACGCACAGCGTTCAGCACCAGCTTATCGTCTAAACCATCAGAGACAGGATTAAAGACGAGGGAAAGATGGAGAGAAGGGGAGTGGGAGGGGGAGAGAGAGAGAGGGAGGGGGGAGTTAGGGAGAGAGGGAAAGGAGTGAGAGACAGATTGAGAGAGAGGAGAGAGGGAAAGCAGAGAGAGAGAGGAGTGAGGGAGAACGAGGGATTTATTTTGAAGACAACAGGGTTAGGGCTGCTCTCTTGCCTGGTCGGTGCTCTGTG